CTAGTTGCATGTAATTTGCAAGTGTTGATAAAGTTGCTTATACATATTCTGCACCTATTTTCCCTCCATTATTTGAAAATTGGGCTTTGGAAAGAGCTGGATCGATGGTCCAACAGGAACTGTGCTAATGCTTGTTTGGAAAGAACTGGGGCACATCGTGGTCCAATAAACTCTCGTTAATATTTCTTATACTCTTTCTTTCTTTTACGGATTGGATTAAGATGTGAGATAAACGTGATCCGAATATCAACAAAAATAAAAAAACGAAAAAAAAGTAAATTTGGAACGCATAAACTTGAATTCGAATGCGTGTAGTCAAATCTTACCTTAGAAAGAGAGAAATGGAAATAATATCAGTGAAACTTTCGGAGGCCTTTCTTAGGCAACATCAGAAATGAATTTAGGAAAAGGGGATAAAAATAATGGATGGTCACATGAGAATTATTTTTATAAGACAAAATTATTTTTTAAAATGTTTTTTTTTTTTCTAGAATGGAATGAATACATGATTTCCTGTTTGGTAATAGCATGTGTGGCCTTCATATACTTATCAGTTATCATTTCTAAACTTATATGCGTGAAAATATTACTACCTCCGTCTAAAAAAATAGTCAACATTGAGTTTTCAAATTTGTACTAAAAACAGTACAATACTCAATGTGGACTATTCTTTTGGGACAAAGGTAGTATATTAATTTAACTATTGCCATACAATCGTACCCTAAATGCCTCTTATATTGACTGTAAGATTTGAACCTCCAAAAAAATAATAATAATAAAATAAAATAAACGAAGATGCAATGCAACCAATATCATAGCACAAGCTGATTTCGTAGAATTATTATTTCTCAATAAGAGTGGGAAACAAAAAGCAACGCATCAAAATGTGAAATGCACACTTCTTCAATCGAGTGTTACTAGAAATTAAAAGAATCCTTTTAGTTAGAGTTGAACATCTGAGACCGAGGGGGAGATGATGATATTTCTTGAAACTAGAGAAAGTCAAGGCCACATTCTTCTTTCGTAAATAAAGGATTTCTTCCTTCAATCATTGGCTCGTTGGCGTTCAACTCTCTCGGCACCAAATTTATTGGGATCTCTTTCGGCCAATTAAGAGTTAAATGGATTTAATTTAATCCTCCCGATCGAGTCCCGACCCCAATTATCTCCGTACGAATATGGACTGTTACTGTTTTTAGTACGAATTTTAAAATTCATTGTGGATTATTTTTCAAGGACGGGGAAGTAATTTTTTGTCGAAATAATTTTTCTGGTAATATTGCTTTTTGTAGAAATATACTGGCTATTATTATATGGACAAAGTGATTAATTATACTCCCTCTATCCTAAAATGATTATTTAGTTTGAATTTTCATTTTTACTATCTTTTAAACTAAAAAATTAAAATCCAAACTAAACAATCATATACTTTTTCTGCCCCAGAAAAATAGTCTATGTTGAGTGTTGAGATTTATACTAAAAACAATACAATACTCAAAATTCAATGTGAATTATTGTTCTGGAACAAAGGTAGTTTATACTTATGTTGTAACTACTTACTTGTTATCAACCAAATGGCTCGCAATCACCATGCATGTAAATGTACTTTCTGATTCATCAATAAACCTTTTTTTTGGTTAAAAAAAAAAAAACCCCTTCTGTCCCACTTTATTACTAATATATTATCGGAAGTAGGAATTAAAATGTCCGTATTACTAGCAACTACAGTGTACTTTAGGTAATTGTTATACCGATGAGAATGTGGTGTGTGGGAGTGAGAGGGGAGAAAATCCATGTGAGTTCTGATGGGAATTGAAATATATATACATAATTTGCCAGCTTGCGGGAAAACGAACTATATTTTTACGTACAAAATCGTCGTCTTTTCCCAGACGTCTCTCCCGTCCGTCGTGGCCCGTACAATGAACTTATGCCGTAAAACCAGCCACAATCCAAATCTATATACTATTGTGATCCCTGATCATTATGATATATTGTAAGATTATTAGTATTATTAAACAAAAAGATGGAGCTCTTTTGTCTCCTGGCCTTCCATCACGCTCACTTTGTTATGTTTTATGGCTCTCTAACTTGATCAACCCGTCATTCCTGTGTGGTACCACTATTGGTCTGTTAAAAGAGATGGAAAAGTAATCCCTGTGTAGTGATGAAAGGATCAGTGGAAAACCGTGTGACTTTTGACCTACCACGTTGTGACACTGTAGAACTACGTGGTTAGGGTTTATATAAAGTTTTTTGTTGTTTTTTTTTTTTCCCTTTCAAATGTGGATGTTGAATTGAAAGGAAGAGGAAAAGTACTACTCAGAACATATAGAGCTAGACTGTGGAAATTTTTTATTTTATTTTCACATCGAAGCGACACTAAAATTCTTTTGTAAATGTCATAAATCGATATGCAAATATCGTTAATGAAAATACATGAATTATAACGTCCAAAATAATACTCACTCTGTCCTAAAATTATTGTCCAGTTTGAAATTCCACTTTTAGTACGATTTGAATTATAAATGAAAACTCAAACTCGACAATAATTATAGAACGGAGGAACTAGTTAAGTGTTTCCGATTTTTGAACACTTCATTTATTCACTCGATTCAGTGTTTCCATCATCATCATCATTCTTACACTCATGCTCGTTTTGAGAAGTAGATTAATCACACTTTCATTTCAAATAATTAATTAATCTACGAGTTTGTGTTATATCATCTTATAAGATTTCTATATATATGGTGTTATTATCTCTTTTTCCACTACCAAATTGAACCCAATGATTCTGGATAAGGAGCAAACACACAACTCAAATGAACATCTTTAATCATTATGTCTACACATTAACTACTGTTCATTTAGCAAAAATTAACTTTCAATTATTTTTCTCCAAAGGAAAGTATAGACTATACCCCTTCCTATAACATCTTCAGTGATAGTAATAATTACATGTTGCACAAAATGAAGCAAGTACACCACCGGATTAATGGCACAATGAAAAGTTTAGCCCATTGATTAGCTTTCTTGATTCGAAAAGTTGAGACAAATTCATTATAAAAAAACAGTAATTTATATATATTACCTAGAACTCCAGAGAGATGATATCAAACTACTCGTACGTACGTAGTAATAGGATTTGCATATGAATACTCATCTTAACAGCTTGGACTTCTGACAAGATTCACTTTGAAACCCACATGGATTTTCATCAATCTGCCCAAAAATTTCTGCAGTTTCGCACACTCTTTTCCTTTGGAGTTTGGACCAGTAAGCTCACAGAACAGAATATTAACGACCTAAAATAACGGTGGTCCAACTCGAAACTGAACTAGATAGTGATTAACGTTAGTAATGTTGTTTTAGATTTGTCAGACGAATCTAGTGACTGAATGAATAATTACAAAGTACTACTAATTTCCGTAAATGCAAAGCTAGAACAGGCTGTTACGGAGGAGTACCATCTGACAAACATGACATTCTTTTGAGGCAAGATTATTGAAGTACTAGTATCATATGCTTGAAATTTAATGAAGGGGAAGTCTTTTAACTTAATGATGATCATTTAATGGTGGAACTAAATTAATCAAAGATAGAATTAAATGTACATTGCAAATTGTGAGAGAGGAAGTCAAAGGATAAACTAACAACAACAACAACCAAACAGCAACCCAGCTAGCTTAGCTAGCTATAGGCCAATCATTATTAACGTTGAAGTTAGCTAGCTCGCTAGGGGATGACAACTAATCACAGAATTTAACTGAAATTATTGGTACGTGTGAAGTTGTGGAGTAAACGTTTTAAAAACTTAATTCTTGGATGGACCCCATTAGGCATTTAGCAATATTAATTAATCATTTTTTTTTTTGGTACAAGCTTTTTTCTTTAAAAATGTGAATTGATTTAAAAGGGTAGTAGGTGATAGGTACTAATGGTATTCCCTATAGTATACTTTAACCAAATTTTAACATTGATGTTACATTGAAGTTTTTTTTTTTTCTTCATTAAGAACGAACGGAAATTATGCCTTCTGAAGTACCATCTCAAAAAATAAAATCGTAACATTTGTGTTTCTTAATATGTTTTGACCAAGAGTTTTGTCATTAGGTTAGTTTTTGTACTCCCTCCGTTCCAAAATAAGTGTCATTCTAGAGTTTGCACATAGTTTAAAAAAACATTAAATAAGGTAACTAAATTATTAGAATATCATCAACCAACCCCATTAAAATAAATGCTCACCAATAATATTATTTCTTTTGAGGGTATGTTTGGAAATTTTTGACAAAAAATGCATTGGAATATGAAAACAACACTTATTTTGGAATTTCTCTATTTTGCCAAAACGACATTTATTTTGGAATGGAGAGAGTATTATCTTATTATATCGCAACTTATTGCTTGAATGAAGAAGATAATCCATACTTTTAGCCATATTGTCGTTTTAACCTAATTATGGGGTTCTTTCTCTTTCTTTTTTTATTTTTTCAAAACAAATTCAGTAATTTTTCGAAATTGAGGTGGTAGTAGTAAATCATCCTAATTTGTCAGAAATCAAAATCACAAGTCTTCCCGAACGATTAAATATAGTGATTACACTAAAGTAATTAAAACAGGAATGGAGATGATAATTAAAATCGGTCTCTGGGATCGAGATTTCATTTTAAAAAAAAAATTCCTCGATTATGATTTCCATGACATAGATCACAAAAAAGATCCGGGATTAACCCCAAGAATTTTACTACATTGGACTTGGAAATGTGATTGATTGACATAAAAAAAATTAGGAGATTGATTATATATCCATCTCTCAATTTGTCCAAGAATTAAATAGGGGCAAAAATAGATCATTAATTATGTCACGATAAAATTTCGTTCCAAATCTGCCATCTTATTACACGCAGATGGAATTATATTTCTTTCAACATCCAAAAAAAAAAAAAAAAAAAAGGAGGTGCCAAATTTATCCACAGAAAAATCAATCTCCATTTGCTAGTAGTATCATGGAGGGGGGAAAAAAGAAAAAAAAAAAAAAAAGAAAAACAAAAAAGAAGAGCCTAATCTTCAATAATGCTCTCCAAATGGGGTTTCCAAACACCATTAGAACCTCTCCGGCGATGCCGGCGAGAGGACGATTTCTTTTCCGATTTAACTTCCGTCAAATGTTTTTCACACGAACTATCAGCTCCGGCAGCCGTACTAATAATATCAATATCGCTGTCGCTGACTTTCTTGGAAGACTTCTTGGGCAAGCTTCGGAGCTTCTTCTTTTCCGGCAGAGAAGATTCCGGTATCAAGAAATAGATGCTGCCCCTTTTGAGCTCCGTCTCCGGGGAGAGGATCATAATCCGGCGGGCGGCCATGCCTTGAGAGGAAGGTTTACTCAAGACGTGATGTGGGTTGTCCTTCAAGACTTCTTGGGCTGTGATTGGGCCGGAGAATTCCTCGACGAACCCGTTTAAGTGTACGATCCGGATCAAATCTAAGGCTCCGCAGGGAAGAACGCAGGCCAAACAGCATCTAAGACTGTTTCCCATGTTTTTCGTTTCTTTGTTGTTTGTTCTTTTTGCTGTTTCCGGTGAGCTGAAGTGATGAGAGATTTTTTCTTTCCGATCAGATTGGGAATTCTGAAGAAAAGACTCAAGCTGGATCGATATTTGGAAAAATGTTGGTGTTTTTTTGAATGGGAGTTTGAATGGAAGGGGACTTGGTTTTATAGGCAAATGGGACCGTACAAGTTTGGAAGTTGTACCGTTGTGCGAATGACGTGAATGCCCCTTGATTTGTTTATTCTTGTGCTTAATCCTTGAATTTTTATATATAGTTTCTTTCTTTTGAGGATGTCAAAAGAATATATGTGAAGAACGAATAGAAAGGAATAAAACGTGATTAAGTTTGTATACGAAGAAGAAAAAAATTCCGTTTCAGCTTACATAATCATATATATATCGCCACTCACTAATATTCAACTGTTCCAAAAATAATGAAACTTTAGAAAACCTTGTGTAATAGCTACGTCTTAAATATCGTTTTGAGTTTTTACTATTTTTGAATCTAATTGTTTCCATAAGTTTTTTTATTAATGCACAAAACTATTTGTAATTCAAAGTACAAAGCATCTCATTAATTTCCCATCACATAAAGTGCATGACATACTAATCCAAAATTTCAAATACTCTTACATATCAAGCTGAAAATGACAATGAAGATAATAAATAGCGATACCAAGTTTGTGCCTTATCTACCCATTTTATAAAATAGTGAAATAACACTATGTATTAGTACTTTTTTCTCCATAAAACTTGTGAAAATATTTCATTTGCTCATCATATTTATAAAGCACGAATATAAATAGTATATGATTTATAAATAGGACCAAACTAAAGGTATCCTTTAAAAGCATGGTTTCTAATTATCCTATTTTCACTCTCTTTCTTTGCCAAAGCATATTCACTTTTTGCAACCAAGCATGGTCCCTTGAGTTCTCTGTTCATTTTTTTTTCTTTTTCCCAATGGGGCTTAGAGGGTAATCTCGGAAATGAGTAACTAATTATCAACATGTGCGTTATACTGGTCTAAGGGGAATTGTTTAATTTGAGAGGGCTCCTCAGTCCTTTAGGTGGCAATCCTTGAATTGTAGGGGTGGGACCGGCCACATGAAGGCAGCCGGAAGTCCATCGGAGGAGAAGAATAATAATTAAGGCCGCGCAATGACAGCACAAGGTGTTAATGATAAAACGCATGCACCTAATTAATTTAACCTCCTTTTTTAAATTGGGCTCTGCCCAGCGGCCGTATTATGAGATTAGGTACGGATTTCCAACTTAACTCCGGCCACCAGTATTACTGCTACTAGTACTTCCATCAGTCTTATTTATTTACAATTTATTTATTGTCTAAAAACAACCAGGAAGTTATTTCCCTCAAATAATACAAAAGACCTCATTAATCTTGGGATCTATATACATTTTAACTCCTTAATAGATTTCAAATTTATACTAACCTAGTAATAATAGCAAATCCTACCAGTCAATGTGACAATGTTCGATTTGTCGAGTATGTGTAATCCTTTCCAATAGTAACTAGTAAAAATCAAATGTAATGTGTTTGGATATATTGGACTTTGTTTATGAGATAGACGATTTTAGAATAATTGTGTTTGTTTGGGAATTGATCAGATTTTTTTGAGTTATATCATTGCATTTAACTCTTTATTTGCTGAGTTGTAGAAAGCTACATTATCTTTAGCACGAGGGGTGAAGTTAGATCTTTTTGTGTTAATCATGTGTTAACAAAAGGGGGGTGTTTAATTAGGCCTAGAATTAGTGAGGGCCGGGGGAGGGTTTGGATTCTTTTGATAGCTAAAGTCCAAACAACACAGCTGTCTTTGATTCCAGGGGGAATGAATAGTATCATTTCCGGAAGGAGTTTTTAGTTAACTTCAGTTTATATTCTTGACGCGTTCCCTAAGCAAAATCAAAATCCCTCCTTTTTAGATCGGCGGCAGTAATTTTTAGGTTTTTGTAACTAGTTAAACTGCTACTACTTTTTGTCTTTTTCTCAAAAAGAGTTCATTTTTTATTGACTTAAATTAATTCAACTGATCATCATCGATCGACGATCTGATTAATGAACTTAATCAACTGATGATTATTTTCAGTTTAGCCACGAGAATCACGGCTCCGTCTCAGAGATGAATAGCTTATTCATCTCCCTCGTAGTTCATATTCTAATTTTTTTTTTTTCCCCCACACTTAATCACGGATTTCACCAATTTGAATCGAATATTCAGAACGGACTAAGTTTGACTGACTAGCTTCATTGGGAAGATAAAATTAGAAGGAAAAAAAAAAGATCGTCAGATGTACGTACGGTTTGTCCGGACATAGCGGTTTAACATGAAAATGTGAAAATTAGAACTCAAGTTACTACTTCCTAATCACTCTTATGATGAATTTCTCATAACCAAAAGTATGTCCCAAAAACAAGAAGAGAACGAATACAAGTGTGTGTATTGAGCATTTTTGTACATTGAGAAAGTATAAATATGCATGCTCAAATAATTTTTTTTTTCCCCAAAACAGAAACCAAGAATATATCACTGTAAGGGAACACAAATTACAGTTAGATTAATTAAAAACTAGAACATATGTTAGGGTTATACTTTGAAAAGGAACAATTAATACATACTATGCATGAACTCATTTTGAAGGACAAAGGAACATTTTCATTTGCAAGGAAACTAGGACTAAGGAGACACAAACAAACAAGAAAACATGGTTACTTAGAAGTGATTAGCTAGGTTAACCTTTCCTCTCTCAAACATTCTGACGCTTTACACGAATCCAGTTACTACGTATAGTCACATATACAATATATGGATTAGTTATAAAGCAGATTCATGAAACGTATGTTAGTTAACTCATGAACAAAGGGCGGTCGCAAATGTTCACTTTTGTTCCAATCGTACGTGGATGCATGATTACTTTCAAGTTCCAATGAATAGTTATGAGAATGTGGCTAAGCTATTTATTTAGTCGAGTTATATAGTTTAGGTAATAAGCAGCCAAAAATAAAGTAAATAACGACGACACGAAGCTTCGTAGAAGAAGAGCTACATATGTTCTATGAGACAAATGCACCGACCTCAATTAATTGAGGAATGAAGAATGAGTTCGAGAGGGATAAAATTTTGTTAGAAGAAGATGAATGAAAGGTCCCCATTATCTTAAGATTCTTTAACTAACCCTCAATCATACTAACGCACGAGGTCTATCTGTTCCTCTCACGTAACCAAAAGATTCTTTTTGTGTTTGTGTGAGGTTATATATCCCAAAAAGAGAAAAGAAAAAGAAACAACTAAAAAGGAGAATAGAATAGAAGATGATGACCCTAGTACTATTTGAGGAATATACATTATTAATTACATTGCAAAATGATTTTTCATTAGATTATTAACTAACAGTATCGACTATCCTCTCTCCTTTTTTTAGTGTGCATGAGTATTAAGATGGTCTATATAATTAGAGGATTAATTATAGTGGCGAACGAAAGAAAGAGTTAAATTAGCTGTTCTATATCTTAGTTGTACGTAAATAAAATTGAACTTGAAATCTCCATCATTCCATGACGGCAAACGAGAATTATCCATTATACTTGAGAGTTGTACACAGTCATATAACAAGCTATTTCTGTATAGTCTAAAACAAAGAAAAAGAAAACCATATTTGTGAAACTAAATTATTAAAAATGTACGTATAACCAACGCAACTTAATTTTCAGATATTCAATACCAAAATGATATTACATATGACTTTATTGTACAAATCGTACGTAATTTTATCTATGCGAAATTCCAAGTGTAACTTTTTACATTTGACCTGAATCTTAATTTTTGAGATATATTCATTTATAGGCTAAATGGGCATCCGTACGTATTATATGGGAGGAGAAATGAGGCATCAAGTTTGAACGATTTTTGAAAATCAAGACAGGACCTAATTAATTCTCTGGAGGGTACATGTATATTTTATTTATACAACATTATTATCCAATAATAATTTATGTGTATACATAATGATTGGTAATAATTTATACGACTTTGGCCAGTGCCAGCTACCGTACTCGTCTATCATTTCGTACTTTGCTCTCTCCTCCTCGTTCCCAGTTCTGAACTTCTCTACTGTTTAATGATTTTTATAATTATTCCATAAATGATCTGACTAGCTACTTCATATTAATCAATAAGCACTTGTGTTCAAGTAATACTAATCAGTTTAATTACATTAATGAAAGTTTGATTCTTGGTGTGAACATGCAGTAATCAAATTATGTTGATTGAAATAAATGGTGTCCTATGATAGATTATTTGATTCGAATATGAATTAATTGGAGAAAAATAATTTCGAAATGAATAAAAGGAAAAAAAAAAAAAAAAACTAGTTCTTCATATGATCATCAGCGAAATTATACGTTAGTTTGGCGTAACACGAGGGTTTTGGCTGGATGTGAAAGTTAATATAGGAAACTTAACAAATACGTCCAAAGATCCGGCCGGCGATTCAACGTGCGCAGATCCCGTCGTTTTCGATTACTTTAAAAATCTGCTTCTTTGTACTTAGATTGTAGTTTGTGTGTACCCATCGGTTTTTTGGTTTTACGTACTTTGTCCTTACGTACGAAACTCACACAAGTGTCTCCCTGATCAGGAAATAAGAAATGAAAATTAAGCAGTAGCTCAATTATCCACATCATACTAATTTACTACTTATTCTGACATCTTAAAAAAAATGACAATTACCTAGGTAACTGTTCCGATATATTTTTTTAAATTATTATACTCTTTACTACATTGTAAGTCACAAAAATTTGAGTAATCTGGCTTAAATTTTTGTAATTTCTGACGAAACTCTTAAAACAAAATTAAATAGTAGTACAAGTTAATTGGAAGTTTTGGAATATTAAGAGAATTAGAGGGATCTGAGATTTGACTGAGTGTACTTCACTGACAAACCAAAAAAGAAAAGAAACCACAAAAAAGTATATTTATTGTGTAATAATAATTCGTTGGGACCATATCATCACAATTCACAACCATTAAATTGAGAAAAATCCAAACTGAAATGCTAATATATCATGTGTTATGTCAAGGAAACTGAGAGCCAGCGACATAGTAGTTTTAGGCTTAAATGCATAAACTATAAAACAATAATTTGATGTATAATGCTTCTTAATTTTCAAACTTTTATTTGGTTTCAGACAAATGAAATAATTGATCAATACAGTGGTTTATATAATTGGCGTGCTGATGATCATATAGGGTCCTCCAACCATGATCTTCAACTTCATTGATGATTTATAGCTTTTTATTATTATTAAAAAGGAAAAGAAAATTCAAATCGTATGATTGAAGGTTAAAAATACTACTACATTTTCTTCATTCCCCATCATTTTTCATAGGTTACCATATATTTAAGGGTGAGTTCTTATTACTATCACTACATTTTAACCTAGTACTATATCTATCCCGAAAGAATTGTCATTTAACAAAGCTGGCTCTTTTTTAAACAAGAATAGTAGTATATACTTCCTCTGTCCCATAATTATTATCCTGTTTAGATTTTCATTTCTAGTTCAAATTGTACTAAAAGTGAAATCTTAAACTGAACAATAATTTTGGGACAGAGAGAACATATATATGTGTGTGTTTCTTTACAACAAACCGTCTTGATGTTCCCGACTCTTACTATAAGTAGAAGGGATTGAAGACCAAATTAATTTCGCTTTCCTCGGAAAGTGCGATGCTACGTTGTAATGATTTAATTAATGAGATGTGAAGCATCGTGGAGAATACGATGAGCAAATTAAATTGCAGAAAGATCTCACTTAAGTTGGCGGAAATCCTTAGCTGGTGAGATATGTGATCTCGTCGTACTTATGATCAGTCGATCTTCATACCTTCTATATTATTGTAATTAATGTAGATTGGAAATTCGATACAGTTGGTATAACAAATCCCCAGCGTGACAAATTAATTAAAACTTGTAGTAGTATGCTTCTTGTGGGTGAACTTCAAACATGATTGCTTCTTGTACTTGCCCCTATGATCTCATTCTCTTGTGTTCATCATGTAAGAATACGACCGATTTTAAGAAGAAAAAAAAAAATTATACTCTTGCACGTATGGGGGATGAATGGGTGGATGCATTTAATTGGATTTGCATAGATTTGAGATTGATATGTATATCATCCTATCCCACAAAATATGGTTTGGTTGGTATATATTTGGTAAAGCAAATTAAAATATGTTTTACAAATCTTAGGATATCCATATGCGCTTGGTTAGAATTTGGTAACGCAAAAATTAGTTGTGTCGTTGGTAATGCAATTGTTCAACATGGAGTTGGCTAATAAATCAACAAAGTTTCACATGGTGTTACTCAGTGGAATAGGACCTCCAAACTCTTTTCGTTGAAATCATAAAGTAGACGAAATATCAACACAAAAACATAATAACAAATGTAAAGCCTTTTATGAATTTTATATTATTACACATATTTTCATTGGATAAAAAAACAATAAAAGCACAAAGAAGAACTCAAAATGATAAAAATAAAATAAAATAAAATAAAATTTAGGCTTCGTCGACTTAAATGTCGACCTTATTATCTCGACGTATGTAGTCGACCTTTTCGTCGATCTTTCTATATCGACGGTGAAGTCGACGAGTATGGTTCTAACAAAAATTAGGTAAATCTCTTAGTTTTATATTAATATTAATGATGAAAGAAAAATAATTTTAGCATTCTTGAATTTTTTTTTTTGTGAATCTTTCTATCATAACTGTTGGACAGACAAAAATGTTGAATTAATCCCTTCTAAACCCAATAATAGGAAGCAATTCAGTTTTTAATCGATAGTTAAGATAAGTGTACTTTAACTTAAAAGGAGATTTTTAAGTTAACTTTGTTGAAGGTTCAAAGTTGTATATGAATTGTTTTATCTTTGACAACATTTACATGAGTTATTAAATATCTCAACCGTGATTCCGTAATTTATAAGCAGTTTAATTTAATTAGTTTTTGGTTTGATTTTTTGTATCCCTAATAAGATGTGTTAGTAATATTGACCTAGTATATTTCAAATTTAACGGTGTAAATAACATTTTGAAAAACCACAAGTTCAATCAAAAGGTGCACATCGCTCGCATGTATGTGAAGTTTTCCTTAGTCATCCTTTTACTTATAAGGATTGTTTTTCCCTGAAAAAGTTCGCCGTGGAAGCTGAATTTCCATGGGCAAGAATTTCGTTTGGACCAAAGCCTTACTTTCTTGGGACAAAACAATTGGGTACTTTAATTATTCGCTATCGCCAGATGAATCGACGCAAATATAATCGGTCTAATTTCACGAGAAAATGATTAATACTTTTCAACAAACACCACTAATTAAAATCAGGTTAGTGAGAATAAAAGTCAATATGTCTCCGTTAGTAATCCCTAATTTGTGTTGAATGAAACATGATGTTATTATTGTTTTTTGTTTTTCCCTCAAAATGTATTGATTTAACTTCCCAATATAATTTAGGCGCTCTTTCTAACACTTACACCGATTCATCAACTCTTCGATAGGAGTAGAAAATTTTGTTTCTAAGGGAATGAATTTGTACTAAAAATTAAATCTTATAATCACATTTTAATTACTGAATGACGTAACGGTTCATAGTCATTTTAATTACAGCAAGCAATTTCTGTTTCTCTTTTTTTGCCTCATTAAATTAAAAGTACTCATAAATTCCCGTCATTCAATTCTCCACCTTAATGGGGATTAAGTATAACTTCTTTTTAAATACTCCCATTATTCTATTTCTTCAAATCTTTGAAGAAACAAAACTAACCAATGGCGGGACCTCTCGTTATTTTTTACTTGTTACTGCAATTTACCGCAATTGCGACTTCCACCTGCCACAAACCACTAAACCACTCAATGTTCCCAGCCATTTTCACCTTCGGCGATTCATTTCTCGACACCGGAAACAACAATTTCTTACCCACAATAATTAAAGCCAACCACGCCCCATACGGCCAAAACCTCCCCGGCCGAATCGCCACCGGACGGTTCACCGACGGGAGAATCTTCGCCGAGTTTGTGGCCGGCGCCGTTAACATTAAAAACACAATCCCACCATTTTTAGACCCGAGTTTATCCACCAATTCACTCAGATCAGGGGTTTGCTTCGCCTCTGCCGGGGCCGGGTACGATGATCTCACCACCCTTTTAACCAACGCTCTGCCGGTTTCCAGACAGGTTCAAAATTTCGCCGATTACCTGAGCAAACTGAATTTAGCCGTCGGCGAAATCGCGACGAAGAATATTGTCAAAGATTCGCTTACCATTATTGTGGCCGGAACCAATGACTTTATCGCAAACGTCTATCAGACGCCTACTAGACAGATTCATTTTGGGCTCAGTGGTTATCAAGATATTCTGCAGCAGAAAATTCAAACTGTTATTGAGGTCCATATTCTAATATTCCATACATTATTTTTTTCAGTCGTCCAAATAGTCCTTTAATTTGGTAGCTCATTTTTTTAAAAACAAAAGGGTCACAAAATTGCTTTTCAATTATCCTTCCAATCAAGGATATCGAGTGGGAAAAAGTGTTACGAAGAAAAATTATTTCTAGTAGAGTAAAACGAGTTATTTTTTGGTACAGAGTGTAGATAATTGAAATTTGAGAATCGATTTTAAAAAGTTTGAAAATGAGGAACTATTCAGACACCAAGATACTCATTGTCCTAAAATTATTGTCTAGTTCAAGTTTTCATTTCTAATACAAATTGTTTTAATAGTGAAAACATAAACTCGATAATAATTTTGAGACAGAGGGAGTATGAGACTATTTGAGTATGTTTCTATGATTTTTCCCTTTATTTGAAAATTCTTAAAGGTTTTGATTTGGTTGTGAAATGTGAACCTGCAGAATCTATACAATCAAGGATTGCGGAAGTTCTTGGTAGCGGGGCTGCCTCCAATTGGGTGTTTACCATTTCAAATAACCACGAAATTGGGATTTATTAAGTGCATTGAAGACGAAAACTTGGATTCTCAGCGTTACAATCAGAAGCTTATTGCCCTCCTACCCAATATCCAAGCAAAGCTTCCCGGAAGCAAGATTGTGTACGCTGATATCTACACTCCAATTTCCGATATGGTCGCCCGCCCTGAATCCTACGGTATTTCACAAATTTTTGGTTTGTCAATTTTTTGTTTCTTTATGCATATTGCCTTCTCTAATGTCTTGTCAGTGGACATCGAACTCTTAATACTTTTTAAAAAAATGAATGCATAAGACATAGCTGTATGGGAGTTGTGACGTAAATGTTGTTTGTGACAGGATTAACGGTAACTAATAGAGGATGCTGTGGGACTGGACTTGTGGAAGCTGCATTTTTGTGCAAGCAATTTAGTCCAGTCTGTCCAAACCCAAACCAGTATTTATTTTGGGATGCTGCCAATCCTTCGGAAACAGGCCACAAAATATTAGCCCGGTTCTTGTTAGACCATGCTGTGCCCCAGTTCTTTACCAAGTCTGATTTGTTAAGCGATATATTTTAACCGTTTTCTAGTATGTGTGGATGGAAGAAAATTGCTCCAATTTGGATGGTAGTCTTTTCATTTTTAGCCTTTTAGGGGGGAAAAAAAGGTGTTTATCAACTAGTTAATTAGTTGTTTAAGTTGAGTAGATAATGTGTTACATAAGATCAAACTTGTATTGACATTTTATCAAGGTAACTGAAGAGATTCCTCATCAAGATGTATGTAATAAAGTTTGCAGTCCATGAATTTGATTATCATCACTTCAGTTCTTAAATAAGAGTAGCATATTTAATTCTATCATGACAATTAAAAAATAACAGTATATTACTTCTTCCGTCCCCAAATGATTATACAGAAAGAGTATATTGTTTATACAAAAAAGAGTACATTGATTTGTGCTCTATTTGTTGGTATCTTTTCATTACGTTTTATTCAATTTTGGAAGCTATAAAATCATACATAAGAGTTTTTCTTATTTTATTTCAGTTTGATTTTATCCTTTTGATAGATTAGTTCAATTGTTGCAGTAAATTTGCGATTAAATCTTTGCGGCAACTTATTAATTAGTAGTTATGGAGGAGTAGAGATGAAAATAAAATTAACTAGAGGGCGTTGATAGTTAAACTGCACATGACTGATTAACACACTTGAACTGTGTACTTAATTTTTTCTTATACTATAAGCCAACAACATTGCGATCAGTCTAGATTGATTTGGCCTGATTTTTTTTAATAAAAAGTTCAACAGGAGATAATAGCTCCCTTTATTTCACCGTCAGCTTATATTGTTTGCTTCAAAATAAATACTACTCCCTCCGTCTAATGAATACCACAACTTCTGCACATGTAGGTTTTAATGGGCAGAACCGAAAATTGTCAGCACAACTTCTGCTCTACTTAATTTGATTTTATAAACGAATTTTATAAAACATCTGATTTTCTTCTTCTTTTTTTTCAAGAGATATACTACATAATCTCTCATAAAAATCTATTGAGGTAAACCTTCCTCCAAAAAAAAAAAAAAGTGACAAAAATAGTTCTAAGAAGCAGTATTAATTCCTTCATAGATAGAACTGAACTTAGAAGGGATCAAAATCTAAATCAAATGGCAATTCAGAGGATTTTTTCGTCTCTAGACCAAAGTTTAATAATGCATGAGGGTTGATTGTCCCATTTCCTCATTTCTCCATTTGAGCTCCTCCATCACTTCTAGCGAATGAGCAAACAAAATTCCCTTCTTTATGTACGTGACTTGTAATGCATCAAACCTTCAACATGAGAAGAATCTACCAAACCTAATTTGACTCTCTTTTGATACATTCAAAGGCTCAAGAAACTTTCCCAACAAAAACCCCGTGACCAAGCTGAAACCTTGCCATTGAGTTCCTTCACAAGACATCCTTTCTCAACATTGAAGATGTAAAGCTTATCGGGAAGTGGTGAAACCATCACAATATCTCCATCGCTAGACGATTTCTGCAAGATAAGACGCTGATAAATTTGAAGGGTTGGAAGTGGGATGTCCATTTTGATGCAATAATCCTTTACCCAAATCCTTGAATCACCATCACTCCTCACTGCCTCATTCCTCACTGCCTCTCTGAGAGCCCATATTTCCAAAACAGAGGTTTCAACCATGATACTCACATCTGTGACGCATAACGTGTCTTTGATATCCAACAGATTGACCCAAACATGATTATTCAGCATACTCTCAATATCTGTTGCCCAACCCGGGGGAGGAGCAATGATTCCAAACTCCTCATTCTCAATATCCAAACAAAGAATGAGTTCGTTTTCTCTTCTAATATAACCATAAAACAAGCTAGAGTATTGATCAAATTCGATATTGTTGTAGGCAATCTGCCAATACATGTTTCCACCAACCACAAAACCACCATCTCGCTTAACCCACCTTGGACAGGGATGCTTCGTGACCCTCCACGACGGCCGGCCGCAATGAAATTGAAACGCCAGCTTGGTTTCAGTTCCAGATCTGATTGCTCTGTCATTCGGCCTAAATGTACACATATCAGCCAAAACTTCCCCAACTACTTCTGGCACTACTTCCGGATGTAAGTAATAATCCTGATCGATCCTACGGGTCAGGTTAACCACCGAATACTCCCCTTTTGCAGAAACGTAACCGAACCCAATCACGTGATCTACACAAAATTTGGATGGGCCACAATCCATTGAAATTGGTTTGGGAAGCATTTGAACCTGTCTGATGCTGGGATTACACAAATAAATATCCCAATTGGTAGCGAAGCAGAACAGATCACAACAAACGGGCGGATGACAAACCATATTATAAGGAGGCCGGGGGAAATCGGACCTCATCACAATACAATTATCATCGTCTGCTAAATCAATCCAAGTAAAACTCAGAGTGTCTTTAACACCAACCAAATGAAAATACATGGGTCTGAGAAGGGATTTTTCCCGATGCAACAAGTGAAACGCAGCGTTGCGCGATATTAGGTGGTTCCATGATTTGGAGACACACTTGAATTTATACAGAGTTTTGATGTTGAGCCTTGCTAGAACGTCGACCATCAGCGCCTCCGGGAGTGGTTCGCCGGCGAGGATATGATTGTTGCATGATGATTCTTCATCTCCGGTATATGTGGCCATATATATATATATATATATATATATATATATTGTGCTTAGCTGCTTGATAATTTCCCCAACTGATTTGATGAAATTGAGAAAATTCTGGAGGAACTATAAGCGATAGATATATCGGTTTGTGTGAATTCTTACTCCGTAATGGCGTAATCCATCAGAATCAGATTCAATGATTAGAAAGAACGAGTACAACTAGGTTAAGAAAGAACGTAGAATTTTGTTTGTGAGAAGATTCAGAGAACTGGCGGTAACTTCTAGGATGGTGCGGGAGTGGTTCCGAAACAATTTCAGTCCAATACGTCCAAACCCAAACAAGTTTTGGCCCGGTTTTTGTTTGGGCTACACTGTAACCCAATTCTTTTGGAAGCCCGACTTCCTATAATCGATCTGTCCAAACCAGTTTCTAAAATCATGGAGGAAAAACTCACCTTCTCAAATTTCAGTTTTAAAAAATAAATAAATAAGAAAAATTCCTGCAATTTGGATTGTTATCTTTTAGCTTTAGCCTTTGAAATCATTGCTGTTTTTTTATTGTAATCTCAAGTGTATATGCAAGTTGAACATTTTCAAATATTTTCTACCTAATAATATAGTAATAATGTGGATATGAATTATATGTAAGGCAATCTTATGGCCCAATTTTGGGACCAATAACACCAATATTAACTCCAACATGTACGTACCCAGTCATCCCCTTTTCCTTGCCCCTTCCTAAAAGAAATCCCATCATACTATGTTTATTATTATATGCATATACTGTATATATATTGTTCTTTTTAAAAATAAAAAAATAAAATCTACCCCAATGGATCTCACTTAAATATGGGGGAATTGAACGCTAGTCTATGAAAAACAGCAATCTAACTACTAGACTGTCAGCAATCTAACCACTAGAGTGTCATTCAATTTCCACTGTGTATATATTGTTCATTAATAAATGAATTATATAGTTTTGGATTAAGTTTTGATTTTTAGGGCAAGATAATTAGGAGTTATCGTGGCATCTGATGTGATGGCTCTAAGAACAAGCACATGCGGAATATCTGTATATCACCCTCCGACCTCATCCCAAATTATGGTCTCCATATATATTATTGTACCAAAGCCTCAAATGATTCAAGACAATGAACTTGCAAGTTGGAGAAGTTGCGTTTAAATCACTTAGTATTGTTTGGAGACCAGCAGCCAATAGTGCTATACCCTAAAGTTTATGCCATGAATGGTGGAAATATTGAGGACGGTGCTACAGCTAATATATAGATCCACCTAATAAAGGAATTATTGCACTATAATATTTTCTCACCCTATAATAAATATTCTTTTCGTATTCTTACTTTCCTACGGAATGAGTAATCTCTATTGTTTTTGTTTTTTTTTTTTGTTGTTGTTTTTTTTTTTTTTTTTGATAACTACCGATAAGAACACTAAACGTATGTTTGTTTCGTTTTTTAATGTGTATTTTTAGGTATTTTTTGTATTGAGAATGTAAAAAGATGTATTATAAATATAAAAAGATATGCTGGAATGGGACAGTTATTATTATTTAATTTTGAAAAAACCAACTAAAAAAGAAAATAAATAACCTTTAAGCAATTTCCTAGGACTAGGAGATACTGATATTGGCTGAATCCTACAATCCGAAGGTAAACGGAGTCTTGAATGGCCTCAAGAATACAAAAGAAGTCTCGGTTAACAAACATACACCTAGTGAACTTATACATGAAAAAAGTTTTAAATGGTCACAAACTTAGGTTAATGGTAATTAAAAGATGTGGTGATAAGGTTTAGTAATGTAATTGTTCATCTAATCTGTTACCTAATAAGTAAATGGCCATAAGGAACAAGTCTTTTACAAAGTATGAAATATGAAATATTCTATCTATTCCATAAATTTTTTTTTTCTATCTAGAGACTTATCCTACTCATAAATTTTTAGGCCAATTGCATAATATACCCCATCCCCCTCCCCCAAAAAGTCAATTACAAAGCTTAAAAGTATCACATTTCTTAAATGAGAAACACCAGTAATATCATGCTTTAATCATGGTTTGAGACTGATTAATGGATTAACTAACAGTTCAATGTCCTCCATACAAATAGCAATTACGAAAGATAGAGCTAGAAATCTGAAAAGTATATTAAAGAAAATTCTACTAACGTTACAATATTTGGGGAGTAAGTACGAAAATGAGTAAAATGTATAAAGTTCTGAAATTATTAGCATATTCTACTACATTGAAAAAATTAAGAGGTTACGACCATATTTGCCTGTCCTCATGTCTCCAATGTCAAAATGTTTACTCAACGGTAGAGTTAAGTGTTGGAAGTAATAGTTTTAACTTTAAGCATGGGGATTAAAAGTATGGTTTTACTTAAACTTATTTTTCAAAAATTACAAAACTAAACCAGCAAGTATGAAAACGAAAGTGAAGAGGCTAGAAAAACCGTTGATTATCACGTACATGTGAAGTATGAACACTTGCGATATGTTGATCGTCCTAGATTCCCCCAAGCAGCTAATTACATTTGTCTTATTGAGATTCAGCCAAAAAGGCTTGGAACTTGTAAAACCCTAAAAAACAAGCACTTCTGCGAAAAGAAAACAAAGGCTTGACCCCATAGCTACCCCTCCCTGAAAGCGCCATATCATTCCCTTCACTTTTGTTAAAATAGTGAATGCTTAATCTCTTAAAAGCTCTACGTCGGAAAAACTGGTATGGGAAAAAATATATATATAACAAATATTTTTCCTATAAATATTTAATTTGTCCTTTGCACATTATATCATTTTCCCCACACGACCGCTAGCTAGTTATTGTTTCGGGGGACAGGATCGACCGTGACTAAATAAACTATACGAACGCTACATGTTTTTTGGCTCCAATGATAGGGTTTATCTTCCTTTCTTCCATCCTAATGGTTTCTTTTTCCATTATCATGCAAATTGAAAGGGTTGCTTTTTAGAAAAAAATAATATATAAAATAAAAATGGTCATGTTCAAAATGTTTAAGTAAATCAAAAAATCTGTATGTTTAATTATTAGAATAAATTGAAATCACAGCTGGCCATCTAAGTTCCCTAAACTGCTTTTGTTGGATTTTTTATTTTTTTTTTTATTTTTTTCACAATGAAGGAAGCCGAGACCTAATTACAATATACTCCCTCCGTCCCATAATTATTGTCCAGTTTTACTAAAATGAAAGATTTTATTTTTGGTCAAACTTAACTATATTTTACCTTAAACAACCGGATATACCCCTACATAAGTAATTGTTTAACCACTAAGATTTTATGGATAATATTTTTTACTAAGGACAAATGTGTAACTTGATCTATAAAAAGTCAAATTGGACAATAATTTTGGGACAAAATTTTTTGAGCAAAGTGGACAATAATTATGGGACGGAGGGATGTAGTAACCACCGAGTACGACATGAAGCAACCAAAGGTTGTACAACTGTGTTGGAACTTAGATAATGAAAAATTATATAATGCAATAACTATATCATATAAGATAATAATATAACTTAGAACCATTATTTGGACGAATATTATATTTATGTTTTTCAGCCAATGTGAAAAGTAAACTAGGAAGGTACAGTAGTTACCTGTTACCCTGTCAATCTCTCCGTTTATATCAATTTACTTTGTTGAATTACTTAATTCCATGATGAAATGGATGGGGATGATTACATTTAAAGTAAGTAAGGATTCAACAGATGTACGAAAATACAACTTTTCTTAAAACCCGAAATATCCTTATTTGCGATCAAATTCTAACTACTAATGAAAAAAGTGATGTAGGACATAGGACTAACACTCATAATTTTCTCATAAATATGACTAGTTGTCCTAATCCTCCTTCTACATCAAGATAATAATAATACTAGTAATATATAAGGAGCACAGAAATGCCAGTTTCACCAACTTCAAAATATATCCTCTCCAAATGGCTCCGAGGAGTTTGCTTCTCATCATTTTAGTTGTATTTTGCAGCAAAATCACTGCCTTCCAATGCAACAACAAGAACAAATTTTCATATCCCAATTTATTCCCTGCTATTCTGATCTTCGGCGACTCCACTGTAGATACAGGGAACAACAACTATATACCAACAGTGTTTAAAGGAAATCATCCTCCGTACGGCGATGATTTCCCCGGCCAAGTTCCGACGGGAAGGTTTTCAAACGGCAAACTGGTTCCCGATTTCCTGGCTTCCATGTTCTGCCTCAAGGAAACAATCCCACCTTTTCTGACCCCGAATTTACCCGACAAGGAATTACTCACCGGCGTCAGCTTCGCGTCGGCTGGTTCCGGCATTGACGAGCTGACCACGGCGGTTTCGAAGGTGATTCCGGTGTCGAGACAAACAGAGTACCTGAAGGAATACATACACAGGCTGACTAGAATCGTGGGGAAGAAACAGGCCCAGAAAATTGTTTCGGAAGCTTTGGTCATAATTAGCGCCGGAACCAACGATTTCATCTTTAATTTTTATGATGTACCCACAAGAAGGCTTCAATTCAGCGTCTATGAATACCAAGATTACCTTCAAAGCAAGCTCACTAAATTCATTAAGGTTCATAAACTCCAATTCTTGGTTCCTCTGTTTTTTCCCCCCTCTGTTAGTTTAATTAGCCTCTTTTTTTTATGATGTGGTGTTCTAAATTATCAGGAATTATACGACCTTGGATGCCGGAGAATGGTGGTTTCCGGGCTTCCTCCGATTGGTTGTCTACCAATTCAATTAACTCTCAAGTTATCCATATTACGAAAATGCGTCCCCATGGAAAACTTGGACTCTCTGTCTTATAATACAAAGCTTGTTAAGCTTCTGCCCAGAATTCAGCAAACACTCCCGGGGAGCAAACTCTTCTACGCAGATTCATACAATCGTTTATTGGACATGATCAAATATCCTAGAAAATATGGTATGTTTTGTTCATTCGTTCACATTCCACAGCAGAATTATTATTATTATTATGAAACAGGGCATTATCTATTTAGTAATTTACATTTTCTTTTCTGTTTTTCAATTCATTTTTTTTTTTCAAGGATTCGTGGAAACATCAAAGGGATGCTGCGGAACCGGGACGGTGGAAGCAGGGCCGTTGTGCAATCATCTGACGCCGGTGTGTGGGAATGCATCGGAGTTCATATTTTGGGACAGTATTCATCCGGGTGAATCAGTTTATCGTTACTTGACAGAGCAATTAGTCAAGGACCTCCTCCCATATTTTAAGCCCAAGGCGGTGTAGCAGTCGGTTAAGAATCCGGATAAATTGTTTGGCTGAATGAATACTTATGTAAACTTTATTCCCTTAATTATGGTACGCTCGAGATTGAGTGAGACGCCAAATGAGGTCCTACAATAATTTCACCATGATATTATAAGGACGTTGTAGTAATAGTATATCCTGTAATATATATAGCTCGTTGGCTTATGGCCTATAGCATCTATTATGTACTCGACTCGAAAGATAATATATTAATTCCGTCCTCAAATTATTGTCTAAATTAAGTTAAATTAAAAATGAAATCGACAATAATTTTAGACAGAGGAAACATATTCCATTGGTAATAATGAACTGCTGAACAGTGATCATTTGTGATCACTAGATTTTGCTTAGCTTGGCCGCGGTAACATTTTTCACAGAGTTGAGGTAAGGGGCAAGTAATAGTTAGTAACAAGATTTTTTCTTTTCTCGAAGGAAACTATCATGGATAATAATTATGAAATAAAGAAAGTACTCCCTCCGTCCCATAATTATTGTCCACTTTGCCCAAAAAATTTTGTCCCAAAATTATTATTCAATTTGACTTTTTATGGATCAAGTTATACATTTGTCCTTAGTAAAAAACATTATCCATAAAATCTTAGTGGTTAAACAATTACCTATATAGGAATATATCCGATTGTTTAAGGTAAAATATAGTTAAGTTTGACCAAAAATAAAATCTTTCATTTTAGTAAAATTGGATAATAATTATAAGACGGAGAGAGTAGTATTTTGTACGAGACTATAAATATGACAGGCGAATTCCCATGTTATAATTCCGACTCATCAATGTAAAATCATCCTAAAAGAACTCTCAATGACGAATTTGGTGAATCTATTCTGACGCATCAATGTAAAATCATTTAAAAAAAACTCTCAATGACGAATCTAGTGAATCTATTTACGGGATTGAGCTAAAGTACTATCAAAGTATATAAGTACTTTGCACTGCCATCTGAAAATCAATTGGGAATGAGTGGAGTGGTCTTTGGAACTTATATATTGAGTCACTTCTCTTCACAGTAACGATGTAGGACAAGATAATACATCTTAACACCCTCCCTTAAGTCCAATGGGTTTTTGAACTTTTTTTTCTTAATGGACTTAGATCATGACAATAATAGAATAGTCCACGAGTCAACACTCAAGTGGGAGAAAACCAGTTATACCGCTGGATCGGTCAACAACAAGTCCACGAGTCAACACTCCAATAGGAGAAAAGCTAGCTATACCGCTGGATCGGTTCAGAACAAGACTACGAGTCAACGATCAAGTGAGTTAATATAAAATCACCACATGCCACCTTCAGCCCAAAACTACACCACATGCCAAACACTCTTTGATCCCATGTCAAAGTATATGAGTACTTTGACCTCCTATCTCAAAACAATTGGCAATGAGTGGGTGGTCTTTGGAACTTATATACTGAATTATTTATTTTCACGGTGACGATGTGGGACAAGATAATACACCTTCAAAAGTACAATATACCAGTAACAAAATAGTCCAGTTTTTTATTACCAAATTTAGTTGGACGATTAGGAATCTAATTTTAGAGATAAATTCAGGTCTGATTGGACTTGTTCAACATACTGTATATTATTCGAAAATATTTATTTTCTAAGATAAGGCAAAAGAAATTTGGGTAGTGAGTAAGTAATTGTTTGGACAAAATACAAAGTTAAAGGATAATCTTTGGTAATAAAAATGCTATTATATAATTAATAAAAGAAACGTTTGCAAGTTAGTTGATGGTTTCGCGCGTTTTTTCATAGACGCAATCTTCCTAGAGATTTTTTCAGTCCAAACTGAATTCCCTAGTATCTGGGAAGTGTACGTTTAAAATGTCAACGGTAATAAATTTTAACAAATACATCTCAGTAGAAACCTTCAACAGAACTGGAACCACCCAGTAAGAAAGTACTAAATTTGTTTCCCAATTTTTCCTCAGTGGAAAAGGGATTGACGATTTGATGATGATTTTTGTTGTTTCGATGAACAGGTTTTAAAGTCGCAATCGAACTTTTTTGCTGCTGATTCCTTGATTACTTCTAATGTTCATGGCGGGCCGGCTGATGGAATCTCCATGCAGGTGAAAATTTTTAGAATTTGTTCTACCCTTATTCAGTTTAGTATTCTTGAATCAAGATCTGTTTCATCCCTTTTTGTTTTTTTTTTTTTGCTTTATTTTCTTCAGGAAATTTAAAACCGCAAGATCATCTGATGTGCAACTCTATGCTAGAGGTTTTCCCTTTTCTTTGAAGAGAGTAAGAACATCAATTCTCTGCGTCAATTTCCATTTCAAGTCAATTTTGAAATTTATATGTATTAAAAATTAAGTCTTTAACCTCCAAATTGCTGTTTTGTTTTCTTTCCCCCTTGTATGATTTAGGAACTTCTGGCTGAAAAATCGAAAAGACTGGCTTTGTCTATCAAAGAAAATCCTAGGGTCGATATTTCCCATGTTCTGAAAGATGGGCTTGCTGATTCAGAAACTTTTGAGCAAGTAGCAAGATTCTGCCATGGTTTTGATGTCCAATTGTCCATTGAGAATGTCATTCATGTTGCTTGTTTAGCTCACTACCTGGGAATGACTGAAGACCACTGCAAGAACAATTTACTAGCCAAGGCGGTCGACTTCTTCGAAAGCCAAGTCCTTTCTAGCTGGAACAATTCAATTCGAGCTATTAAATCTGCGGAAAATATTCTTAGACAAGCTGTGGATCTCGGCCTTGTTGGCGCTTGCGTTGAAACGATCATCGCTGAGGCGTTGAAGCATCCAAATTTGCTCGGCGAGCCAGTCAGGATTCCGGCTTCCAATGCTGATGATGATGAGGAGGAAAATGGAAACTTGTTTAGAGCAAATGTGAAGAGGAAACTTTTTGTACTTGATTGGAATTCCGAAGATCTGAGCATGTTGTCTATCAGTCTGTTTGAGCCAGTTATGTCTGAAATGAATAAGCGCGGAGTTCCGGTTGAATACGTATGCGCAGCTGTTTGTCAATATGCAAAAAGATGGGTATTTTCCAGCATGAAAGAAGGGGATGATGTTCAAGGCTATAATTACAGGAGGAACAACAACCAAAGAGAGATTATTGAAGCAGTGGAAAGAATGTTGCCAGATGGAAAGGGGCTTTTACCTTGCGCCTCATTATCTGAAATGCTGAAATCTGCAATAGTTTTGGATGCCAGTGAAGAATGCAAAAATGGATTTGAAATCAGGATTGGGAAGCAATTAGATGAAGCAGCAGTGGAAGATCTTCTGATCCCTTCTCAGGGGTATGCTAAAGAAGAAAAATACGACATCGAATGTGTTAAAAGGATCTTGAAGAGCTTCTACCACAATTATACTAGTCAAAATGTTTCAGAGCTAATCACAGTTGCAGAACTTGTGGATAACTTCTTGCTTGAAATTGCTAGTGACATTGATTTAAAGATGCACACATTTGTTTCAGTCGCTGAACTGTCTTCTGCAGCTTCTGAAGGGATTCAAAGATGCTCAGATGGGATTTACAGGGCAGTTGATGTGTACTTTGACAAGCATAAGTACTTGACAGATTCCGAGCGCGAGGAGATATGCAGAGTGTTGGATTGCAACAAGATGTCGCCCGAGGCGTGTCACCATGCTGCACAAAATCAGAGGTTCCCTATAAGGATTGTGGTGCAGGTTTTGTTTGTGACACAGTTGCAATTGAGAGATACAATCCCAAAAGAAGACAAAGGGTTAAATGAGAAATTGCTGTTGAAGTATTATGCGGAGGAAGGAGAGGAAGAGGAACTCGAAATGAAGGCGAGCAATGGCAATGGCGAAGCTGAGGAAGAAGATGAAGTGAGGATAGAGATGGAGAAAATGGGGAACAAAGTGTTGGAGTTGGAAAGAGAGTGTGAGTTGATGAGAAGAGAGATTCGTAATAATGGTGGTGGTGGAAGCAGAGAAGCTAAGAAGGGGAAAGTGAGTATGTGGAAAGAAATGAAGAGGAAGTTCGGATGCATGACTATGACTAGCATTCAAGATTGCGATTCTCATGTGAAGAAGAGGAAGAAAGTGCATCCAAAGTAGAGACACGAGACACGATTCATACACAAAAGGCGATGCAGATGATATGCTCGATCCCAACCTAGGAGGAGTATTTTCCAAATAAGTTTTGCTTCCCTACCATTCCCATCCATCTGTGTTTGTTTTTTACCTTTTGCTTTGTGTTATGAGTGTAAGCAAAATTCCAGGATTCACTGGGTGGGACGAGTAATGTTCAAATCGGCCTTGTTTTTTTCGGAGAAACGTTCAAATTGGCTTTGATTGGGCTAACTTTTCAATGTTATGCTTGGAGCATTTAAAACATACAGCCCAATTTACTTTTGCGTGTAACATTTCTTTCTTTTCAGTGTTTCGTTTAACCCCATTATCTTTTGGGTGACTAATGCTTTTGATCCATTTCTTTCTTGCTTTCTTTTATTTTTATTTTTTGTTTTTTGTTTTTGCATATTTGATCAATTTCTTTTGAAATAGGCACAAATAAGAAAATACTAGAAAAAGAAAAGGAAGTTATACATTGTATAATCATAGTGATAATATGTTTGCTATGATTTTTTTAATGGGTAAAGTAGGAAACTTTTACCTATTAAATTCAAGTTACAGTGTTTAATATAACCAATCCTAATTACATCATGTTGAAACAAGTAAATGATTCTATGTAAAGGCTAGTCGAGCCGTTAAAAACCTAACTGTCCTGAAGTTAAAGACGCCAAGAAATACAAGAATGATAACTTCCCATACACGTGTAATTTACTTTGTCTAGTCTGTTGCACGTGATATACTTTATCGTAATTACTTTTCTATAAATTGTTATAATTTAAATTTTTATATCCTATCCTAACACTATTATTTCAATTTTGTATCTACATGTAGTGCCCTAAATTAACAAATATTATTAATAAAGACACAATAGTGAAAAGGTGTAACTCAAAACTCAAAAGGTACCTTTGTCTCATGTCATTATAAAAAGAGGATTGGAAAAAGATTGTGATTGGAGATCAAAGATGAACTAAAATTTTAGATTGTAAAGAGCAAACTATATGAGTTAACCCAAACTGACACTGATTTGAGTTAAACTTAATTTTTACATGTCGACCTAAAATTAATACTTAGTTCCAACACAAATTCGAATCATATATTTTAACCATCAATCGACTAGTGCTTTTTTAATTTATTTTACATGTTACACTTATCATTATTATTATTTTTAAAATAATAATTGGGACGCAGAGATGATTAATAATACTTTTATGTTCCAAAATTATTGTCCAGTTTGAAATTTTACTCTTAATACAATTTAAACTAAAAATAAAGACCCAAACTAGATAATAATTTTGGAAACGGAGGGAGTAATAATCATTAAAAGTAATAACTAGACGAACCAATACTATTATTTGGAGTTTCGGACACACCTGAGTTTTGATGAACTCCAACTCGAAGTGGTGGATGCCCAAAATAGAATTTGATGAGTGTGACAAAGTCCACGCTGGATTAATTATTACTAGTTGGTACTGTACCGCAATTAGCGACATTAATCTGTATTTAACCATAATTATCCATGTTGGAGTAACTGTAATCTTGTTTACTATTGGAGGGTTTTAGCCGCCTCTAGGGTTTAGGGTCTCCTCAATACATCTCTCTGTAGCCGAATTATATACTGTGGCGGTTACATGCAGAGTTATTCCCTTTTGGATTCCTTTTTTTTCTTTTTCTTTATCTCCAGTTTTGTTGAGAAGAATTTGATTTTCTGAAATTCAGATTACAGGTTTGTGAGATTCTGCATTGGCCTTTTCATATATGGATTCAAATTTCTTGGTTATATCTAAAGAGGGAAAATTTGTGTTTTTGTGTGTTTGTTGTTGTTGGATTAACTTGAAATTAAATGGCCTAATAGTTTGATTTTGATTTTCCATCAGGTCCCTGTACAGCTTGATTCTCAATTTCTGCTTCCGCCCTGGCATTCATCCGACTGGAGATTTGATAACTGGTTTTCCGGGAATTCTTTTGAAATTGAATATCTGATTGAATTGGATTGGTGTTGTGTTTTTAATCCACATTGATTGATTGTTTAGTCTTCTGGGGTGGAAAAAGATTGAACCTTTTTGATCAAACAGAATGAGTTTTCCTGATCATCATCCTCCTCCTTTTATGCCAAGGCCCTTCATAGATGGTGATATTAATGGTGGTTGGCCTGTTCATCCGTTGGATCATTCTGGGTATCCAGTAAACCACCATGAACACCTTGATCCATTCTTGTATTCTGAACAGGGTCCTGGACATAAGCGACTAAGGAGTTCTGAGAGTAACTCACCGAGTTATATGCAATTTCCACCTCCACCTAATAGATTGAATCCCCCACCAAACCTTGCTGGAGTAGGTGGTAAAGGAACAAGCCACATCTTCTACAAGACCAGGATGTGTGGGAAATTCATTGAAGGAAGCTGCAAGAATGGGGCAACTTGCACCTTTGCTCATGGGGCTGCAGACCTGCGTGAGCCTCCACCTAATTGGCAAGAACTTATACGCGAGAAAGACGGTGGGATTAAGAGCTGGAATGATGATCACAGACTGATTCAGAAGATGAAACTTTGCAGAAAGTATTACAATGGGGAAGAGTGTCCTTATGGGCCTAATTGTAATTTCCTTCATGAACGTCCTGAACAGCAGAATTTGAATTCTGTGGATGATTGGCCAAGACCTAGGACCGATATGCCGGTTCAGAGGGAGAGTGCTGCAATTAGCATTGGCACTAGAGGGGCTGAGACTGATACTACTGATAGGCCAGTGAATCTAAAGCCTGCATATTGGAAAACAAAGCTATGTAGCAAATGGGAGATCACTGGTCTATGCCCCTTTGGAGAAAGATGTCACTTTGCTCATGGTCATTCTGGTATGATATTGCAATATTACTTCATTTTTTTCCGATGTCTTCTGTTGTTTTCTGTTGAGAATTTATCTTATCTGAGAGCGGAGTTCTCATCAGTTTTTAGATTATGATGTTTCTTTTGATGTTCTGCAAAGATTTCTTGCTTTATAGCTGCATCTTCGCACTTAGTTATTCTAATAATTGGATTTTAAGGTGTAACCTAATCTTCTCTGTCTATTCTGGCAGAGTTGCATGTGCCAAGTGCCCATGGAGATGCTGACTTTAGGGTTAACAGTAGTAGTAGTATCCAAATGAAGCCTGCAGTTCCGGCCATTGATCATTCTCATGCGAAAGTAGATGTGGGTTCTCAGGTAAAAGATACAAGGGAGGACAATAACTGTTCAATGTGGCAGCCTAAGAAGAAGATCAACAAAATCTATGGTGATTGGATTGATGATTTATCTCCGCGTCGTGGCTCTCCAGTTGAAGCTGAGGATTGGTGAATCTTAGGTATTATTGTAGACAAAATTGGTAATTGGAGGTTATCTAGGTCTCTTATGTTTTGGTAAATTATGTTCTATGGAATTCAAAGTGGCAGAGAAACTAAAGTATACCATTTCTTTATCTCTTTATCCCTTCGGCCTATTGATTAAAACTTGTCGATGACGTTGCCTATTGGCACTATACTATCCCCTCTCCAAATAGATCAGTGTTTAAGAACTGAGTTTCAATTGTATTTATCAAAATAATGTACTATTTGATGCTCATTTCAAGTTCAGCTTTGTTATTTTTTTCACATACCTTATTGGTAAATTTACAATCAAAACAACATAATCTCTGGTGCTTGAAAAGTGAGAACTGCATGGAGTTGCATTCAATTTGCGAATGTGGTTGTCACGCATACTGTGTGGCCTCGGTTTTCTTGACAGCTGTCGTAAAGATCCATTCTTCAGACATTTTATGATTGAAGAAACCAGCACCAGAATCACTCCAGAAGGATTCACCTGTATGTTTAATTTAAATGATCACTCTGGAAAGATTCACCTGTATCCTTATGAAGTTCCTACTACTTTCGATGTCAAGTAATAGTTCTGCATTTGTTGTTATTGTTCCTTATAGTTGGATCTTTTTCCATGGTACTTCAATCTCTCCCTTGCTTGAAAATTTTTGAGAGCCTTGCAATAAGTTTTGAAGAGGCTTTGAGTACAGAAACACGGAAGGTTTCATGTCAGTAACTTCCTTGAGTAGTCTTTGCAATTGTGGATTAATGTCAAATAGTTATAGAGCTTTAACTCTATCAACATGGTGGTCCTGATACATTTTTGAAAAGGTTGGCCCTGAAATAAATGGTTCATGTTGTCCATCTCGTTTGAGGGGAAAGAACTAATGATTTATTCTTGTGTTTTCCAGGCCAAAGTGGCGCAACCTCCAGATCTCTCTCTTCTGGATTCATGAGTAACTGAAGGGTTTGCCATGTCCCAAAATGGTAACGACAAAACCCTGCATGCAATGACGTCAGCTAGTCACCTTCATATTACCAGTGAGTGATTTTTGTTCCCCATCTTCCTTTCAGCCGCTACAAATACCTTTCTGAACTCAGAAACATTTCTTCCATTCCAATTGTTTTTTCCCTCAAATAACAATAATTTTCAATTGCTAAATCTGAGCATAAAAGGCTTCATTTTCTTGGTAGTGTATTGTGCTTTAATGTTCGCCTTCCAATTGGGGTTGGTTGTCAGTTCACCGTTACTTAATCAAGTTGCCTTTCTGAAACTGAACACGTGTCCCATTCTCGGTTTCAAAGAAAGGCCCTAGTCTGACTCAATGAACTGGAAGTAAGAAACTTGTTTGTTTCCCATAGGCCAGAAATTTATAATCTGCCGATCATATGCATTCTTTGCCAGGTTTAGTTGGGTTTGGATTCATGTGGGGTCCACCAAAGAAGTAGTGGTGAATGTACTGTTTATGATATCCAAAGAATGCCTCTATCTTAAATGCAATTTGTCGAGTTCATATGTACATCGAAGTTCTGTGGAGAGAATGAGAACGCCAGATTTGATTTGGATGACTTAATTGCTGACTGCTATGAAAAAGAACTTCATTATGGTAGTAATGTTGATATGATGACTTCAAAGGATTTCTAGGTTGTATCTTGAAGGTCATTCATTTTCAAATACAAATAGTTCTGGCATCAATTTTTCTGTGAATGATTTGGTGGTTACTCATTCAAAGCGTTAGGATGGTTTCTATGGTTACTGTACTCTTTCAGGATCTGGTGTACTGGTAAGAAAAGGAAAACTGGTTGGATGGAGCCGAAGGATTGTATAATTGGAACAAGGTGTATATGATTCACATTACTTACTGATATATTTATTTACTTTGGTACTATTTGAAGCAGTCAGAAGTGAATTCCAAAGCAGATTCGAGCAATCGTGCTGGTGGATGGCGTTACAAATGACAGTTGAAGCCAAATGCTGGCAGTTAATATTTACATGTGCAGTCGACAGAGTTGGAAATAGGCGTAATGCTATTCAAAGATTCCAGTTCACTTGCCAGTTAACTTCGACTTTGAGGATATCAAAATGGTATTTTTCTGCAACAATCGTTTTCTTAACAGGTGAGTAGTTAAGTCTCAATTTCTTGCAATGATGGTTCTCTTTGAACATTGGAAAATTTTAATTTGGCCTCCCTTATCTTCATTTTTATGGTACTGTATTTAAGTTTCCCAACATTTTAAAGCATTTCAGTTCTGGGCGATGTTGGTTATGGAGAAAGTGGCATAGCTTGTCCTCCCAATTTGGAATCATTTATGGAAACTCGTGTGAAGTTTAGCACGTTCTTTGGTTATGATCATAACCATGTACGATTGATTATGATATGTTATTGGGAGCATGGTGTCTACTGGTGATGAACGACCATCAATTTTAGATGGAAGATCAGACTTGTGCTGCTAATTCTCATGTGATACTATCCTACAGTCCTACTGATACCAATGGCCTGCTATTAGCAAAATGAGAAAGGAGTCTTATATATGCTCACTATCCGAAATGGTGAAATCTGCAATCGTTTCGGGAGCAAGGTGAATAATAAAAAACGTGATTTGAAATGTGAATCGGATCATACTAGCGAAAAATGGGTTCAGAACTACAGTGGCAGAACCTGTGGCTAACTTTTTGCTTGAAAATGTTGAGAGACACGGATTTGAGGCACAACACATTTATACCAGTTGTGGAATTGCAGAATTGTCATCTGCAGCCTCTGAAGTGTGAAGGGATCCAAAGATGCTCAGATGGATTGGAGTATACAGGCCATTGGCAAAATATATAATAGTACTTGGAAAAGCAATAGGTAACTCACAGAATCAGGAAAGGGAAGAAATATGTGGAGTGTTAGACTTCAACAAGATGTCGCCAGAATTGTGTTGTTACCATGCTGTGCACAGAAGACAAAGGGTTGAAAGAGAAATTGTTGCTCAAGTACTACAATTAAGGCCGGAAGAGGAAAGCGAGACAAATATGACACGATTGATACACGAAAATTAAGATAAAAGATCCTCGCGGAGCCACTTATAGAATCCAGAATCGACTTTATGTGGGCTGATTAGTGAAAACACATCGTTGGGGGGTCTGGATTTGATTTTCACGAATGGGCTAAACAGGGTGTCCAAACACGCGTAAAATCCCTGAATCTCCCGTTGCCATATATGGAGCCAACGACTCAAGCAATCAATTTTTCTGCTTTTTGCCTCAAGAAATCACATCAGCTTTTGGCATTGTGTCTAATCTACTCTCTAAAACTTACAATAGCCAGGGGCAAATCAATCAATCCTTATCCCTTTTTTGTTGATATCTGACGCATAATCTTGGTACTATAGACAAAACATTGGATCTTCGAATTGATTGATTTTCGTTCATAAAGAATTGCAGTACCATTCGTCCTACCTTTACCAGATTTTTTTTAAAATAATCTTACCCCATAATATGAGTTTATATATGTTTCATACACGTAATACTCGAGAGCTGGAACTTCTTGCTTCATGATAAACGCCAATGGGAATCTTTAACTTCATTTTAATTTAATCAGTATTCTCAACACAAATATTCTATTTTTACTAATTCCACCTTAATTTGATAGTTAGTTTGTTAAATAATAAATTACGATGTACTCCCTTTGTCCCAAAATTATTGTCCAGTTTGAGATTTTATTTTTAGTACAATTTGAACTAGAAATGAAAATTCAAACTGGACAATAATTATGGGACGGAGGGAGTATTAGTCTAGTAAAATTGGACGCTCAATAGATTATAATTTCATTAAATTATTAGTATACAATGTAATGGTCTGGCAAAATCTTTACAACTTCATCACAGCCATGATTATTTCCGGTTAAAGCAGCCGCGCACTATATGTATCAAGTATGAAATGACCAACTTTCTGTAAAAAGTTCATTTATAGTCTCATATGATGATGATTAGTAGTAGTGATTATGATGAAATGAAACACGTTCGAAATTGTTCACCTTTTTCATCAAGTTTTTTAAAAATAAGTAGTGAACTCATTTTTCTCAACCTTTTCCGCATAATTGTGATTAGTCTGGCAATTATAACCAAACAATTTTTTCCAAAGAAATAATCCCCACGTGAAAACAAGATATTCCTGGACTGGGTGTTCCTTGTTGATATGATTCGGAGCCGCCGCCGCAGAACGGCTGTCGTTCCGCCAGATGGTAAATTCTGGTGAGTTCCGAGCTTCTGGAAAATAGAAAAAAAGCACAAAAATTTACAAGGAATTATCTTGTAAATTATTTTGTCACACAGTCTGAGTCATCTATCCCAATCACACACACACACATACACACACACACTGAAATTGCAAATAGAAATCGTAATCCCAAAGTTGCCGTGCGGACAAAGAAAAATAAGGCTTATATCAAGAGCCAGCCCCAGATTCCGATGACACATTACACCTTGACACGACAGTGATTTTTTCTGTACCACCATTTAGGATAAGCACAGGGCCCCGCACTCTGGAAGGAGAGGCGTAATTGCACGCCATGTGGGGTCCCTTGAAATCGGCAAAGGGCAAAGGAACCGTCCTCTCTAATTCCTTCTTCTTCTCATCCAAAAGTTGGCGGAAAAAAAAAAAAAAAAGAAGAAGAATTAGAGGCGTAGGTTTGGTAAATAGGCGGTGAGTGGGAGTCAAGTTGACTTTGAACAACGTGTGCAGCAAGCCATCCTTCGCATCCTTGACTCGTTCAAACCCTCTACAGTTTTACATGTATGTTGTAACTGATGACGTTTGAAACAGTAAACATAATCTCCAAACCAAAAAAAGAAAAAAAAAATAGATATCTTAACCACTTATTATGGTTTGTTTCATCGAATAACCAGTTAAAAGCGTTTTGAATTATTGAAAATTTGAGCAAATTAGCCATTTTCCATAATCTGATATGGCTGTATGCCTCTTAGCCAACCAATTACGGAATAAAGACTTGTCATTTGCAATTTAGACAGGCTTATTGTCAACTTGCAAGAAACAACAACATCAAAAGGAATCAATAATTTTTTTGTTACCCAACAAAATTGGTCGCTTCTGTTTTACAACTACTGAAAGTTGCTGTTAGCTGCTAACCATCAAAATTGGGCTTCACTACATTTCTTTTCTTCTAAGGATTCTGTACTACTATATAATTTAGTGAATTTACAAAATTCCAGTTTCACTAAGAATATACACACAAAAGAAAGAACAAAATGAATCTTACAAATTGCAGTAAAGAGGAGGGAAACCTCTACATATTTGTCCAAACTTCAACATAACAGTGACTCCATGAACAGGTCATCCCTGGATTCTTGCTGCGAGTTCATGTAATTCCCGAAACCATAACCAGGATTCTGCACCAATGTGAATGGAGCTTGCCCTTGTTGATCACGTAGCGCCACCACATTCTGGCGAACAGGGGCGGCATAATTTGATTGATTAATCATTGTCGGTGAGGGCCTAACAGGCATTGATGACGGATTGTTGGTGGGCACTGGCCGGCTGATGGTGTTTCCGCCGCCGCTGCCACGAGCGGCGGGAACATCGTGGTTGTGCTTGCCCTCGTATGTTGTTATGACTGCCCTTAAATCATGGGATGCCCTTTCAACATGTTTCCGCACCGGACAACCTTGACTGGTGCACTTGTAGTAGCTCCTGCACAAAAACCAAACATCATTTGATTAGAATTTAGACGAATTCCAAATCGAAAAACAGCAATATCAGTTAATCACACAAAGGCCTGACAAGAATATGCTAAATTTAAAGTTGTTACGTCAGAATGTTGCAGAGCTCAATGAGGTTTAATACAGAGTAAAACTAATCAATTGGAAAAAAGGTGCAATGAAGATATGAATCTTTACCTTGGATTGGGATTGCCCTTTACAACCTTCTGACCATATTTTCTCCATCTATATCCATCATCAAGAATATCAATATCACTAGTTGTTTGAACTACAACTCTTGGTTCTCTAACAGTCCTGCTTCCTGGAGCTGAAATACCTTCGCTCTCATTATCCCCCCTCCTGCAAAATTAAGAACCAAAAAAGTTCATAAGAACATGCTCAGATGTAAATTGAAAATTATTGTAACAAATGCTAAGTAGCAAATTAAAGTGAAACCTACCATCTTTTAGCTTCAGGTTCTTCATCATCAAACTCCTCAACACCAGACCTCTTTGAGCTCTGCTCAAAATCATCGTCCCCGACGGAAATCGACGAATTATCCGGCGTTGCAACAGAATCCATCTGCCCAGTTCCAGTCGAGGCATAGGATTGCTCGGGCACATCGTTGGAGTTATAAGGATGAATTACAACTGACGAGGCCGATGAATTGGACGATGATCTTCTAGTAGATTGAGGCTTGGGATGGTTATGATTTCCCTTGTACACAATTTCAGTAATCTGTCCATCCAACGATCTTTCCACCTTCTTCTTAGTTGGGCAACTCGGAAATGTACACTTATAATAACTTCTTGGATTCTCGCTCCCTTTAACTTGTTTCTGCCCGTACTTCCTCCAATTATAACCATCCTCCGATCTTCTCCTTTCGCTCGCCGTTTGGGTTGATGACGGGTTATAACTGTTCTGGATATTGGCAATTTCAGGTGAGAAACTCTGAGCGTTCTCTGATGAAACCACATCCTGCTTGATGGGTTGTTGATAATTCCATGGTTGCTCAATTTGTCCCTGCCAAATTCAAAGAAACCATCATTACTTCGATCCCTTATAATACTACTAAAACAGAGGAAAACAGAGAGGCCTAATCGATAACTTACAGTAGGAATTGTATTGGTTTGTGACCCAGAAACAGATACTGTCGATCCTGTCTGAGGCTGGAAAGAAAAATCGGAGAAGCCTTTCTCCTCTTGCTTAATTTCCTGCTGGGCGTTGTTAGAATTGCTGTTCCAAAAGAAGGCCTGGAATGGAAATGTCCCAGTAGTTGGAGATGGAAGAATCTGAACAAAAAAATGTTCAGCTAAAACTTTTAGTCCAATACAACATAAATCACGGTACAACAAAAATTCAATCTTTAGCATGATTAAGAAACAAAAACATGGAAGTGATTTCATTTCCAATTCCTTTTCTTTTTAAGTTCCAAATTCGAATTGAAATGCAAGGAGAAAAGGTAACATACGTTGGAACCGGAAAGCAGAACAGGGGAGTCCAGAAGCTCAGTTGGGCTCAACCCAGGTGGAATAGCCAAGTAAGAAGAAGGAGAAACAGGGGGAGGAGAAAGGGGCAGAGAAGGTGGAGGAATCGACTTGAATTTAGGCACACCGAAGTTTGTTCTCTCTGCAATCCTATCACCCAGACCCTTCTTACCTCCCTCGCCGCCGGCGCCGGCGGAAATCGGGAAATCACCGGATGCGAGGAGGTCAGTGAAAGAAGATGACATGAAGGAGAAATTGGAGGGTTCTAAACCTAAACTTCTTGAAGAAGCAGCCATTTGAAATGAAGGAGAGAAGAGAGGGAGAGAGATTATACCAAGAGTTTGATCAGACTGAGTCAGAGGACCGATTGGCATTTTATATCCGAAGACCAGTGGTATGGATTCTATATTTTATTTGTTTTTTAAGTACCACTTACGTGAGACACGCGGACTTGAGGGACTTGAGAGCATAATAAATTGCAAAATTTTACACGTATATTTTCGATATTTTGAGGAGCGTGGAAATTCTCTGTTTTAACCATTTTCTCAACTCAAGCAATCAGCTATTTAGGCAGCTGCGTATTTTATTTCGTTTTCGTTTTGAGTATGAATCATAAACAATTAAATATTACTCCATCCGTCCTACAAAAATAGTTCACATTAGATTTTGAGTTTTATACTGTTTTTAGTATAAATTAAAAACTCAATGTGGACTATTTTTTTAGGACGGAAATAGTATAATTGTATTGGATATGTAGGGAGTAAAAATTGTTTCATGAGTGATAATAAAGCTCTATGAATATTACTCTCTCAATTGTAAAATGTAAATCAATAAGTTGTATGTAAAATATTTTTTTACAAGGCTGATAAATCGTATTGAAATTGTAAACAAAAAGCGAAAAAGATGGTCGCTTTATGGATAAATGTTTGGCAAATATTGGATAAATGTTTTTAAAAAATGGTCGCTTTATGTGATTTCTTACAAACCTAGAGAGATAAATTTATACAGTTTTTCCAAACATTTGAGGAGGTTACTGTAATTAAGCGTTAGTATTTTCGTAGAATTATGTTGGTATGTCGTTTTCGGGGAGAGAGGAGTCTTCTAAGAAGCTGAAGGGGGATGGTCAGTTTGACCGCTGAAAAAGGTTAATTACCAAAATTGATTAATAAATAAACAAAAAATTGCAAAACCAAAATTTGGGTCAAAACTCGTGGGTTTGACCGTGATGGCTACAGCCCATGGAGAGAGAGTGGCGGCTTAGCTTTGGATATCTCTTACGCGCTCTATCTGTCGCTCTCCCTAATTTTTTCCTTTTTTTTTTCTTTTACTTGCTCATTTTTATTTTAAGGTTTTCTTTCCTTTGTTCTAGTCTTGCCTAATGGGATTTTATCTTGTAGAAGAAGTTTTGTGGGCGAAGGTTTTATACGGAATTATTTTTCAAAATACTTAAAATGACATGAAGAATGAAAAATTTTATTTTGCCTGTGTGTCAAATTTCTTTTTTTTTTTTTGCATATGTGGATACCTGTACTATTTTTAATTTAAATATGTAGAATTGCGTATCAAAATAAAAACTATTGAAAATTATAGAATATGAGTAATTGATAAAAGGAAAGTAGAATTAAAAAAAAAAAAAAACGCATTCAAAAACTACAAATATTTGCCTCAAACTCAAATACTTCATTCCCAAAAAAATAAAAATAAAAATTACAGTAAAGGGTAAACAAATTTCCTGTTGGGACCGAGCATGGTGACATAATTATTCTCACCACTTTCATTCTGATATTTTTATTTTTAACAAAATCTAATAAATTTTATAACATTAATGACAATCAAAATAAACAGGGCCTATCCTGAAAACAATAAATCTTTTAATTTCTAAAATGTATTACAATAGAAGTGATTGTAATACGGAGTTCAAATATTAACACAAATGATGAATGTTACATAGAATAACATGTAATATAGCAAAAGAGTGGTACATTGTACTTCCTCCGGTCATCAATATAAGGCATTTTGATTTTGTTCTAGGTTTTATTTAATACGCCTTTTTAATTGACAAAAAAATCTTAAAAATATATTTTCACATTCGTTGTATTCTTTTTATTGTTATGCAATATTTTTAGAATTTTTTAGTCAATTAAAAATACGTACTAGGTTAAACCTAATATAAATTAAAATGCCTTATATTAAGTACCAGAGAGAGTATATTAGATCCAATACTTTTTAACTTTTTCTGTTTATGCTACGAAAGCGTTCACAAATGTGAAATGCATCTCCAGTTAGAATTCTTTTCTTAAATAATATTTGTTTATTAATTAAAGATAACTAATCTATTATTGCATTTTATTATAAGCTAAATTATGCAGTTCATCGATTATAAATTTGTTGATCACATAAGACATTGTCAATTACAATCATTTTATGTGATTCATCCTTCCAGCTTTTCTGTTTATTTTCGTGGATAAAATTGTGGCCGTAGAGAGTACACACCAATGGCCTGCGCCCATCTACATTGCCCTTCACCTAGGTTCCAGCAAATTAAAAAAAATCTTCATGGAAAATAAGGAAGAAACCAAAATGAAGTTGATCGCCAATAAAGCTGCATATATCCAATAAAGCTGCACAAGTCTCATTCTCTAATTGCATATTTTTCTGTAAATGTTTTTGTGAAAAAATATTTGTGCAGATTCTCAGTATAAAGTGGGGATACAGCCAATTAAATCCCTATAGATGATGAACAACGCAACATAATAATACTCTATCGGTCTCGAAATTATTATTTAGTTTGAGATTTCACTTATAATAAATTATACTAAAGATGAGAATACAAACTGGATAATAATTTAAGGACAGAGAAAGTATTATTAGTATAAATTTTTTGTGTTATCATCGATTAAGAGTTTTCAATCGCAGTCGTGCTTAAAGTCATCACAGAAGACGTATTAAGTCTGCCTAGGCATTACACATCATCGGAAAATATCCATTTCTGATTCCGATCTTCAATATGATTAGAAAGCTGTAAAACAGACATGATGAATGGAAAAAACCTTGGAGGGAGTACATGGATCCATGTGCCAATAATTCGTAGAAACATATGCAGGTTACAAACTACCGTACCAACATTATTTTAAGTACTCTCTCCGGTTCTTAATATAATATATTTTAATTTTATCTTAAATTTTACTTAATATGTATTTTTTATTGTAAAAAAAACTTTAAAAATATATTTTCACATTCGTTGTGTTCTCTTGATTGTTAGGAAATATTTTAAGACTTTTTCGATAATTAAAAAAACGTATTAGGTAAAATTTAAAACAAATCAAAATGACTTATATTAAGAACCGGAGGGAGTATTAGGGAACAAAAAGAATAATGTAGTCAGTCTTTGATGTATTGAGGACCAAACGGAAATCCATTTGGGGAAAAGTTACAATTGGGTATATGGGATTTATATGATATATTGGCGATTCAAATTGTGGGAAAAAATAGAGGAGACAATAGAGATAACGGAACAAAAGAAACAATGGCAGTTTGAGAGTGGCGGCAAAATTGACTGACCGAAAAATAAACAGTTGACGTTGAAAACGTTGACTTGAGGAGGAGTTCATCGTATCCGAATCGTTCTAGAAGATCAAGATCCGACTGATGCCAAGACTGCAAGTTGTAACAATTAACGGCATTAATTTAGACGGACACAGTGCCAAGGATCCAGGGGGTTGATAATCAGTTGGTCACCTCATACGTCATCATTCTTTTTCTTGTAATAAAGATGTGAATCCAAAAATTATTGACCCACGACTTTCTTCTCTGGCCTAAAGGAATGGCAGTCAGGTCAACTCTCTCCAATTTTTCTGTTATTTGGTTTCACACCACAATTTCTTCAATTCTTGTGCTTTACACTAACAGCATATAGTGGAAGGCGTTAGCTGAGCCCAAACTTTCACTTTCATTCAAACTTTACATAATCTATTCAATCTCTTCCAAAATAATTTGTCTTATTTAAATTTTTATTATTAACAACAATAAAATTTGAAATAAAAATAAAAAATTAAATTAGATAATTATACGAGAAAAAAAAATATTAGAAATTTCGTTTTACAAGGGACGCCGTTCTTACGATAATTTTGGAAGAAAACGCTATGTAAGAGAGGTCATTTTATAATTTTCTATTGATTTTCCTTTTCTTTCTTTTTTTTTTTAAAAAAAGATAAAAGAATAAAAACGGAAGCAAAATCATACGGGTTTCGTTTTCCTTTCTTCTTCTTTCGGGTCATGATCAGTTTTTTTTTTTTTTTCCCAAAGCTAAATTATACATTTAAATATTACTCCCTCTGTTCCAAAATTATTATCCAATTTGAGATTCACTTTTAGTACAAATTAAACTAGAAATAAAAACCCAAACTGGACAATAATTATGAGATAGAGGGAGTAATAAACAGGATTCATTTCAGTATCCAAATCCGAGTCACCATAGTACGAAGGGTTGGGTTTCTAGATCTTAAAAAACGTCATTGTCCCAGTGAGCTGTGAAAGTAATCGAGCTTACGTTGCCGTATCAATGAACTTGGACAAACTTTCTCGTATGCTTATAGCCTTTAGGAGGGATATATAGTTGCAATAATTTCCTGAATTTAAATAATAGACCGCCTCTCTCTGTTCACGTTCTCACCTAGCTCGACCTCAATTATACTACAAAAATTTATGGAGTTTTCGGTGGAGTACTGGAAGTTTTTTTTTTTTTTTTAATAAAAATTTCTTTTAATACATCATCCGGTCCTTATTATAATAAAATATTTTGATTTGTATTAAGTTTCATTTAATATAGCGTATATTTTTTTTATTAGAAAAAAACTTTAAAACTACCAATTCACATTTATTGTGTTCTTCTAACTATTACAAAATCTTTTTAAAATTATTTTTTCAATTAAAAAAACATACTAGTTGAAGCAGCTGACAAATCAAAATACCATAATAAGAACGGGAGAGAGTATAAGGTATAAGCATTACGCTTAATTACTACTACACACCTATGGACAGGCCCGCCTATCTAACAAAAGATCACTTTGTAATTGTTCTGATCCTAGATCTAAAAGATTATGTTTGTTTCGTTTTTTTAGTGTGTGGTTTTAGATGTTTTTTGTATTAGAAATGTAAAAAGTGTGTTAAAAATGTAAAAAAGTATACTGAGATAGGACATTTATTAATAAAATAAACTGAAAAAACCATCAAAAAAAATCAAACAAACAGAGCGTTACTTATTGTTTGTTTCCTTAATCTCAAGAAATAAGACAATTATTTTGGGACGAAAGAAGTATAACGTTGAAATACGCCATTTGCACTTGTCCTTTCTTTGCAGGTTCGGTAAAATGAACTACTTCTCTCTCCCTCTCCCTCTCTCTCCTAAGCACCTTTTTTGGTGATGAATGAATAGTTTCTTGATTTGATTGCACATATTCAAGGCGTTTTCTTCTTTCTTTTCAAATTTTTAATGTTCGATATATTTCTAATATGCCATTTTATATTTTCAATACAAACGATACACTCTGAAACGAGGATAAACTTACATAAACATAAACTGTTATGTCCACTGACTATTGCTGTTAAAATCGGGGGCTCCATAGCACAAGAGGAGGCCACCAAAGGCCAACACAGCCCTCCGCAACCCCACATGCAAACAAGTTGCCGAAAGCAGTTATAAACAAGGTTGGATGGGACACTGAGGATTATATATACTGATGAACCATTACTATTATTGTACCAACAGCTTTCAGATTACATAATGAACATTAATAGCTCGATTAAGTAACGAAGTCGGCATTCCTGGTTACGGTCCTCTAATTTTTATTTGTTAGAAAGAGAACCCTCTAAAGCGAGACCCAAATGAACCGCCTGGAAAAAGGGTTTTTCTGGCTGGTCAGGAGTCTGGTAATGCGAAAAACGCACATGTATATGTAGTCCTGCCTTCCTCAGTTAGTTTTACGGGTTAGTTGTAGTGAACCTTTGAACTTTGAAGATATACATACAGTAGTAGTGAATCAAGGGCAGTGGGGCACTGTCCATTTCGACGGTGGTGAAAGTTGAATTCCAACCAGTTAAAAACAACCTTGGTGCCCCCGAAAAGTGAAACCATGTGTTCCTTTTACTTCCCCGGGAACCAACAACATCGTGTCCATCAACTCAACTAACTTTCAGCAACTAAATACTACTAGTAGTAAGAAAACAAGTCATTATCAATTTCCAAGGTCCAATGATTAGTTAGTTACTGCAGTCTCAAGGTACAAAATACTATAATAATGGAAAAGTGATGCTTCTACACAGGATGTTAACAACATATGGTCAAGGTCAAATGTTTGATCAGATGAATGAAATCAACCTAAGAGTATAATAATCAAAACTCCCTTCTTAAACTGGTCAAGGAGAATCCCTTTCCTAATCTGCAGCAACACCAATTTTATATCATTCGATGGGATTTTGATTTCTTGACCAAGAAAGAATTGAAAAAGAAAGATGAAGGTTATCTTCTTGGAAGATGCCCCACTGTATCATGTTTACTTGATAACACTAAGACAGATGACTGTTGAAAAACTTTGTTCTGTTACCTTTTTGGACTGCCAACAGTTCAAGGACCAAACTTTGTGCATGATGCTCCTACTTCATACTTCACAGTCCCGGCCCAGCTTTGACAAAATTGTCTTTTTTCTATCATTCCTTCTCCTTGATTAGGGGCTTATGACTTGTGCTGGGGTAAGTGGTAACGCTTCATTTTCGAATTTTGATTTCTCTGTGCCTGTGGTTATCTCCTGACAGTTCGCTGCCATTCCCTTGGATCAATAGTTGGACATATCTTGCACGCTTCTTTTCTTGCACATTGTTGACCAGACAGTTTTTTCTTTTGATTTGAGTTTCGCTAGTTAATAACATCAGAACTAGTTGCTTAAGATCAGCAATTTACGATAGAGGAGCCATACTTGCAGTTGGTGTCTATAAACATCATGCTTCCAGGATCTCAGAACTTAGATGAATATTTTAATAAGAATGAATGCCTCACTGAAGCATACAAACGCATGTAAGCTAGAATGTCTTTAGCGAAGAGTTTCCACGTTCTTCTTATGAAAGTTATTAAGTCTTTCTTGCTAGATATATCATGATATTGACCAACGTAATTCAAAGTATTGCAATGGATAGTAATAATGTCACAAAGCTTTCATTCAGTTTTTCTGCAGACTAACAAGCAAACACACAAAAAAATGAAGTCGAACAAATTCCGTGGGTTATAATGTGTTTTGACAAAATCCAGTTGCAAGATTCCTAAAAGTAACTTTACTGGGTTAGAATATCAGAAATATGGAAAACCTGAAATGCTTTGTTTCTCCAGTGAAAGGTGCAGCCACGAGCTTCCATGTGAGTGAGGACAGTTGGGGGAATTGATGCTTTAAACAATACATGAAGCTTCACTTTTGTCAGTCCTTGACAAGCAAAAAGAGCCGCAGCAAGGCCACTGGCAGTCAGCCCACTTACATGAATGACTGTTACGTTCTGCAAGCGGTTAATGCTGGCCAGTGCCATTAGCCCCACATCTGTGACCGAACAATATGAGATATTTATCTGCAATAGTATATATCAGTTAGTTCTCTTTTCTCAAGTCAATTTCAATCTATTTCGAATAACATGAAGTAGAAGTACCTGTTGGAGACTTTGGGAATATCGTGACAGGAGAAGCATTCCAGTGTCATCAATATTGTGGCATTTTTTAATGTCTAGTAGCATTAGCTGCTTACATCCTTCAGCAATGGATGATAGTCCTCCTGAAGATACCCGAAGGCATCCTCGAATTTCAAGTGCTTTCAATCTTAAACATTTCGATAAAGATCTCAGCGAGCTGTCAGTAACTTTATCACAGTAGGACATGTTAACCATCTCCAAACCAATGCAACTATTTGCAACAGCCATTACGCCCACATCAGTAACAGCTGTACACCTGAAAAGAGAAGAGGAGAAGCTGGAATCACCTTTTAGTTTTGAAAAGAATCCCCATAAATCCAATGAGCTATATCTACAAGAGAAATTGTGCCATGGAGGGTTAAAGATTGACTAGAGAAATAGTTACTAGCTTGGAAATCCAAAATATCAAATGATTGATATCAGTGAGTTACTGGTTAGTGTTTCTGTAAATGCTAAACAACAGATCTCTTCTCTCGTACTTTTAGAAATTTGAGTTTAGAAGAATGAGAAGCAAAACAGTGAATCAACAGAAATAAACCACTCAACAAGTGAAATCCCATTATGGGAGTACCGATCTAGTTTGATTCTTTTTCAGCTGGAACTGAAACCTGAAATAAAGGAGATCATAAAGTCCTAGGTTTTAGAAGACTCTTGAATACCAGGACAAAATGTCAAAATGACTTGGTCTTTGTAGAAATTCAGGATCTTTGATGCAGCTATGATGTTAGTAACACGGAGAAGGAAAATGAGCTTTTAGTTTAAAGTCAAACCTGTACAGATCAAGATGTGTCAGATTCTGACAGCGCATTCCAACATGAGAAAGTCCATTATCAGTGATTTTCAAGCATAATCCCAACTTTAGATTCGTTAGTTTGAAGCATCTTGACACCAACTTCAAACCTGCAAGAGACAGAAGCAACTGAAAAATTTGTTTCGTAAAAGTCACGAGATCAGGGTAGCTTGACAGTTGTTGACACAATACCTTCATCGTCAACTTCATTATCAGTAATATCCAGTTCCTCTAGAGATGTGCGGCGTTGTCCTATCAACAGAAAAGCCTCTTCAGGAATCAGGCTACAAGACTCCATTCTAAGGGAGGTAAGGGAGGTACACGAACTAGTTATGCTGTCTAAAGAGGCATAAGTTATCTTTCTACAGCATGTGATATCCAACTTTGTCAGCCCCTGGTGCTTCTCAGTTATGAAGGAGAGACCCTCATCCGTCACTCCTATGCACTTAGACAGACTAAGCTCTTTCAAGGATGTACAATATTCTGCAATGGCTTTTATTCCAGCATATGTGACCTGGCAACCATCTAATTTAATGCACTGCAGACCACGGGAGTTTCCCAAGCATTTTGCTAGATCGGCTGTGATCTGAACCACCATTTGCCATAGAAAAAGAAGAAAGAATAAGACAGCGATACCCATATTTTTGAAGGAAAATCACCAAGAAATATACTACACTTACAACAGAACTGTATGATATGTTGAGATGGTTCAGACATTCCATTCCAGTAGTCAAGGAATGTAAGCCAATATGGCTGACATTTTGCATGCTTGATAGATTCAGATTCTGTAACAAATATCACAAGGAAATGTGTCAGCAATAAGGTACCCACTTTCTATTATCCAACATCCAGAAATTGTTGAAATTAGTCAGAATACCCACTTTTGGCTTCTAGGTTCTATTTTTAAGTTCAAGAACGCTCTTTGAAGAGAAACTACTCAGAAAACACACCTCCAGTGTTCTGCATCCTTGTCTTAGGGTCAAAAGTCCATCATCATCAATACCTATGCATCCAACAAGAATCAACTCCTTCAAGTGTTCAAGCTGCAGAACTGGCGAAAGGCACTTCTCGGTTATCTGCTCATAAATACGAGAGTTAAAGGTTAACCAAAATTACGTATTCAGCATGTTTTCAGAGATATCAAATAGGTGAACCTGTTGCTGAGCAGTTTCAAGTTTTGTGTCTTTTAATAGCATCGATATTTACGTGAAGTAGGATGTCCAAGGCTTCACATAATGTGAAAGGTTCAGAGTAGTAAGTTAAGTGAAGACACAAAGCATGTAAAACTACCACTCCATCTCTCACTTCTAGCATAATCGAAGATGAGGGATGAAGCTTGGTTCTCAGATCAAATCTCTTGAAAGAACTTGCTATACTTGCTTAGTTCTAGGTACATTCACCCGGACATAACCACGGACAATAGAGAAAATCTTTTCCACTTCTACCTTTTATGTAGACAGAACCACAACATCAATTCAAAGACTGAATTACAACTCTATCAAATGAGAATCAGTAAGAATTATGTCAATTAGTGCAGACTCAAACAACAGTCTCAGTGCAAATCTAATCAGAAAGTAAATTCTCTGTAACAGAAAACCAAATTGAGTGGTATGAAAATGACATCTCTAATCCCCCAAGCTAGATTTAGTTCTATTTATAGAATTTTCGTTTACCGAACAACTGGGTTGTTATTAAAGGTAAAGCAGATGATGTTTTAAACGCTTTTCCATTGTACTATGAATACAGCTACTACCATTGTCCTCCACTCCACAAGTCAAATAATTCTGAACTGTTGATAGAGCTGCATAACCTACTACTAGTCGAGACATCAGATATAAAATTTCTTTTTTCTATCAACTTCATTTGTTTTCCTGCATTAAACTCTAGACCACTATAATGTGCTATCTTAAATAGAAATAAGCCATGAAATTGGTAAAAACTGTATAAACAAGAAACAGGGGAAAATGAAAAATGAAGAAGGAAATTTACAGGCAAGTAGGATAGATCCAAAGAGCGAATCTCTTTGCACTTCATGGCAACCAACCCGACTCCCAAATCACTAACTCGTAAACACCATTTCAAGCAAACAGACATCAATTTCTTGCAACCAACCGCAATACACCCAATCCCAATATCCGAAATCAATTTGCACCTTGCCAATGACAGCTTCTCCAAGTTCTTAGCTTCAGCAATAGCCGCAGCAGCCAAGTCAGTCAACTCTGTGGCATTAGACAAATCCACCTCCACCAAACCCGCACATTTCCCGACCAAACTCGACAGCCCAACATTAGTAAAGAACCGAGACTTGGAGAGATCAATGAACCTCAAACTCGTCCTGTATGCATCCGCAATGGCAGCAAGTACATCGTCATCCACCCGAGGACAACATGTGAAGTCGAGGTGGGAAATTTGAGGGTATCTCTTGATAATCCTGGGAATAACATCAGTTCTCAGAGGCTTTAGGTATCTTCTGTGCTTTGATTCAATTGAATGGAATGATTTGTTAACAAGAGAGAAGGATTTCTTCGCTGATGGGTCCTCATTGAGCCAATCAAGAATGTTAAAAGTGATTTCTTCAGTGAGATGCTCAAAAGGGCTGGTGGGATTAATGGCGGAGAACATATGCGGCACTTGTTGCATGGTTTTGTGGGTTTTCATTAGATCAGATTATACTCTGCAGACAAAAATCTATGACTTCTGATTCAAAAGAACGGTATGGAGAAGAAAGCTTAGGGAAAGAGGAGCAGAGCAGTTTCGGCACATGAAAGAAGCTTATTCGCAGATTGGATTATTAAATTCTGTTGAGTGAAAGAGCCATAATATTATAAAACTGAAACACTGTTATAGGCTGAACTGGGGAAGTTAGTTTCAGTTGCTTAGTTTACTGCTTATCTGTATTGGAATTTTTGGCATTTTGCAAATAATCATTCAGGTGAGGGAGTCCCCCACTGTCTCGTCCATGGGACGAAGGTGTAGAGGCTGCGAATAGGAAATTCAGGAATCCCTTTTTACTATTACCTCCGTCTCAAAAAAAATAGTCTTCATTGAGTTTTTAAATTTTTACTAAAAACAGTACAAAACTCAAAACTCAAAACTCAAAGTGGATTATTTTTTTTAGGACGGAAATAGTATTAAGAATTCATATCTGAAAATAGCATTTCATGAGTTAAAATCTCGAACTAATTGTATCCTTTTCATTAGTTTGGAACAGCAAAAATTCTGAAGTTACTTGTATGATTTAGCGAATAAATTCCCGCCTATAGAACTCATGCTATGTGGGTTAAAATTCCCGCCTATAGAACTCATGCTATGTGGGTTAAAAAGGTTGACGATGTATTCGTGATGTGTTTAACCTGTTAACCTGTTGTTCTTCCATAGCTGCTTCACAAAGGCAGAGACAAAGATAATAGTATTTTGACAATCTGCACGGACTTTTTAACTGAAAACTAGGAACAAGAAAATTGTTTCGAACTATTATCAATCAAAGGTTAAAATACAGTACATCCAACTACTTGGCTATTGCAATTCCTTGATACAGCTCATAGAAAAAGTGTTAACAATTCACCTGAGCTACCAAATCACTAAACAAATCACTTCTTTGCATAAGTGATTGACATAGGATTCTCGGGGGTAATTTTGAAGCCCTGAAGTGCTTGCATGGCAACTGACGACTGTATATCATCTTCAAATTCTACAAACGCTATTCCTGGTTTTGCATCAATCATCCTAACTTCCCTAAAACCAGGGTACTGTTTGAAAAGTACCTCCAGCATCATATTTTGGGTCTCATATGGTAGATTCTGTATGAAAAGTAAATTGTTGGGATCTGTGACTTCTTGAGCACCAGGTCTTCCGGGACGAGAGGATGCCTGCAGAATTCATCAAGTGATAGGTAAATTAGAAGTACCAAAAAGAAAGCGAAAAACATTTTTGGACAGCCAACTAGGTCAGCTAGCATGAAATGGCTATACTATATACTTCTTTTGCAGGACTTGAAACATAAACATACAGTAGAAATAACATGGATCCCTACACTTCATCTGAAATAAGTATATCTCCCAAAACAAGTAAATTTCATGCTCTGCACTAATAAGTATGAGAAAAGACAGCGAAACAAATGAAGTAGCTAAAGACACAGCAACTTACAGCCGGGCCACCATTGCTGTCAGATCGTGGACCATTTGTAGCAGTTTGTTGAGTTTCCTCTACACGTCTCTTTTTCTCAGCTGCATGCCCATGCCAATGTAAACAAAAGTTGAGACAGAAGGTCAAGGGGAAAAAAAAAGGCTAACAACTACAATGCTAACATCAGAATCCTCAAGTATTAAGGATCAGAAACTCAGACCATATCACATTGGGACCCCAACTTATCATTGATGTGGTTGCACAATGATAAAGATTCAAGATAGTCAAGTACGATCCAAAAAGATATGACATATCAATTACACTATGTACCACACGGAAGAAAATTTAGCATCACGGCTACAAACTGACCACTTAATGTTGATCGACGAGAAGTGATACAAATGGGGCATTAACTAACTAGAAACGAGAAATGTCTACCTTTCTCTTCTTGCTTCTTCTTCTTGTCATAGGTCCCTTCAGCTTTAGCAATACAATCTGACTTTGTTTTAGCATACTGTATCCTCTGCAGTAAATACAAAGTCACGGTGAAACTCATTATTGTGTTAACCACCAAGGTTAGAAAATACCACGCAGACATGCATCGACAATATTCGAAATACTCTACTATGATGGAGCTAATTTCTTTCTATGTTTTCCCTCCCTCATACAAATCAGATAAAGTAAACAATAGTTTAGAAAGCAATTTCTCAGAAGCAGACTTTAAGTTAGATGCTAGAATATGTGGCATGAGACTAATGTACATAATACTCCTTAATTTAGGAACTCACCATAGGCTTGTCGTAAAAAGGAAAATTTTGCATCTGCCGAACAGCATTGCTTGCAGCAGTCACTTCACTGAAAACAACCCATGCCTGCCCTCGAAGTTTGGATGTTTTAAGAGCAACAACATCCAAGATCCTCCCATACTGCGAGAACAATGCATAAAGAGATCTCTTCAACTCTGTCCAAGAATATCAAGCAATTATTGCATCAATTTAATGAAAAATCAAGACTGGATGCATCTCTGTATAACAGGGGGTCAAATAATAACACAGTAAAGCATCCAATTGTTAAAGCTACCATTACATTTAAAGGCCGATATAAACTGGTGCCATAACATGTTTCCTTCATACAATCGAACTACATTTTATCTCAGATTGCCTCTTCTAAATTACTAATCTGCTAATGTTTGAAATTATCTATGATAACGAGGATATCCTGACGTTCAGTTTTCGAGGGCCACCAATTGGGTCACAATACTGCTGTCCAAACTAAAAATTTTCCATATTTACAATTATCAACGAGTAGTAGCTAATGTGTCAGCAACAAACATTGTGTAGATTGGAAGGGTTCACAACTTATAGGCATGCAACAAACATTGTGTAGATTGGAAGGGTTCACAACATATAGGCATACTCCGGAAGGCTCACAGAACCAGAACTCGCGAAGTTCATACGAGTACATATAGTCCAAGCTGAGCAACGCAAACCTCCAAAATTCAATTCTATTCAAATCATAAATATGCATTAATACTTCGTGAGCTCATCCACAAGAGATTAATTGCTTAGGTAAAGATGGAAGCTCTAAAAGAACAAATCAGCTTCTATAACAACCATTGTGATTCGCTCGGCGAGAAAACCAAATTTTTAATTGTAAAATTCAAGATAACCAGGAATAATTAACAGGAATCAGAGAAATAGGATTGAGTGAAAGACAAAAGGAGCAAATAGCAGATTAGTTGAGCTAGTTATAGTACCTTCTTTCTTAACCTTCTCGTTGAGGTTCTTGACGTAGATAGTCTGATTCGGCGGGATATCCCCAGTCAACATTGTCGCTCCGCTTCCAAATTCAGATTCTCGGCTCCTCCGACGAGAGAGTAGTTTTGGTTAGCCCTAGCAAAGGGAATTGGACGGTAAACGAATTGTTGATGGCGGTGGCGAAGACTCGATTTTGACTTTCGAACTTCCGCACACATTATGTTATTGGGCCAATGGGCCTTTTAAGTTGCTGCCTTAGCCCAAAACAGTTATGAGAGCCGAAATTTTGGTCATTTCACTCGTACCACGAGAACTACGTACTCCTTGAGTCTTGGACTTACGTCGAGCCAGAAAACTTGTCTCGAAAGTCGGCGAAGAAGGTGTATCCTTCAAACTTGTCTTGGTAAATTCAGGACCAAATAATATTTGTTTCTTATAAGCTTAGGGCTTGTTTGGCCAACATTTTGTTTTAGTTTTTATTTTAGTTTTGATTTGAGTTTGAGATGTGATTTAAAATGTGGTTTGAGATAAAATATAAAAAGTTATTTGGGTGATATTTTAAATAAACTAATAATATTTTTAGACCATCACCAGATCACCTCCACCACCGCAGTCGTCCGGCGGCAGCCGTGGACGGCCCGGTGACAGCGGGTGGTAGTGGACGAACATTGTGTAAAAATAATTTTTGGAATAATTTTTAAATGGTAAATTAAAAAGTTGTTTGGATGATATTGAGATTTGTGTTTGAGAGGTGTTTTAAGAGGTAAAATGAGATAAAAATACAAAATAAGTGTTGACCAAACAAACCTTTACTTTTTTTGATATACCAAAATATTGTAAAATTTCGTGCTCCTTTAGGAATGAGTGTGCAATGCTGATTTCAATTTGTGTGTAAAAGCCTAATTTCATCTAACAGAATCCTTGAGTTTAGAAAAGAAACCTATTTGGCATTTTATTAGTTCAAATTCTCTCCAGTAAAAATGATAAATGTAAATGTAAAATTTGGAAACAAGCATTCCTGTAGTAGCAATACCGAATATGTAAAATTTTAATTTATCAGAAATTGATTAAATTTAAGATGAGGCAACAATTCTTGCTTTATTGAGCTTTAAAAATCACGCCTTCAAAAGCTATCTCCCTTCTAGTTGCAATGATTATACGAAACCATCCTATTTACCGCTGATCAGGAATTATGACACCTATCTTCTAGAGTCGCTAAAGTCAAGGTGGATTTGTGTGCGAGGTCTACGTGAGTTCGCTTAAACCAGAGACTGATCTTCGGTCACTTGACTCCACCAATGATGTCCGATATTTGTACATGACCATTCGAACGTAAAGAACTGAAAGTAAAGTAAAATGGTTTTAGCCTCTTATACCATGCATGGAGTTGGAGATTTCCCTGAAATGACAAATTTGTAGCTGGAATCTGGAGTAAAGACCGGAATGTTCGTATACGAATAAGACTACCTTGAATTTTTTTTTTTTGGTCAAAAAATCACGATATCTTATAACCAAACCAAGTGAATCATCAGAGTAAATGGAAGATATTACAGGTTATGGACAAAATGAACAGTTGATCATCACAATAATGACTTAGTCAAAGGGGTTTTTCTTGACAAATCCTTTTTTGCCTAGTCTTTTCTGTGAAAGGCTTGTGTTTGTTATATTTATATTAAGATTGCAGAGCTGTTATGATTAACTTTGAAACTATATTTAGTTCAGAAAATAGAAATCTGCTGTGAGATTGAAATCCACAACCTCATACAAATAATGAATCAGAGAAGCACAACACCTTGATGCAAAGTTGACCTAACTAGTATGAATTATTTGTTCCAGCTTAAGACTCAGAAGTGTTTTTTTCCTCCCAAAAAAGTAGTTTCATAGTGTTAACAGATATTCAAGGATATTCAAAATGACAATCAACGAATATTCAAGGATTGCCTGATATATTAGAAAGAAAAAATCATAATTTGAAAAGCTCAAAAAGACAACCAAAGATACTAAATTAAAGTTGCAAATCATTCCGCTAACTAAGTTTGATCAGTGCTGTATGCATGACCATATCTGGTCAATACATTACTAGTTGGGTCAACAATATCCTTAAGAGGGTAGAGACTAGTAGAGGCTTAACAAAGATAAGACTAGAACTCATTCCAGTAATTGCCTACCCAAATTTTTGTCAAGAAGGTACTTTGGAATGCTTATCTTGAAGAGAGGACCATTTCCAGCGGCATCAACATTGCAAACCAACCCAAATTGTTGTCAGAAAGGTACTTTGGAATGCTCATCTTGTAGCTAGGACCATTTCCAGTGACATCAACATTGCAAGCTACAAACAACAAATAAACCTTTGTTAGGAGCCAAAAATAACCAACAAGCAAATACCAGTAGCTCTTGATCATATACAGTAAAGCATTTCCAATTCCTGTTGAAAACATATTTGCGGTTTCCATTAATTGGGAATACTAGGAAAGTATTCAAACAATTGACATACAACCAACCATAATGCACATTGGAGTTATGTTTATAAACTGAAAATTTGGTATAGATACAAACCAACAACAATTTTTCCCCAAAGCCTGCTATAAACATTTTTACTGTTTATCTTTTATTGGGAACTACTAGGAAAGTAGCAAACATGCAACCAATCTTATTGCACACTATCAATTGATCTATTCACCAAAAATGGCAAAACAATAGAATTCAAAATAAATTTTCCGTATACAGTTAATATGCACTTAGTAAAATTTCCTTTTTTTGATCTAGTACATTGAATCAACAAGTTCAAACTTCATTTGTGCATGAAGAAATAAAAGAATTTCAAGAGAAAGTTCAAGACAAAAGAACCAGTATATACGTGTTAGACAAGAAATAAATAAGGGAACAAAATACCCATGGCGGTGCCTCCAGTTCCTTTGTCTTCAGTTGAAGCCATGCACACACAATGATTGACCTTAGATAATGCACGAAATACCGTCACATACACTTAACCCTACAAACACAAAATGTATGTTACACTAAGTAAGTAGCAGATATAAAAAAACAATAATACAAGGACAGTGCACAGAAACAACAATATGTAAGAACATTATACAAAACAGAAGCATTCTCAATAAGTACTTACCCAATGTGAAAGTAAACAGTACTCTTCCTGAACCAAGTACACACATATGCATTACTTCTTCTGAACATCCATTCTCATCCATCTTGAAAATTACAAATATGTGCATGACAGATTTTACACCAAAATATCCTTATGGCGAGCTAAATTGGTAACTAAACAACAGATTCCAGACCACAAATTATTCTTATGCATAGTGTGCAATTTCTCACAATAACCCTTTTATTAAAGCAGCAGACAATTAAAAGATTATTAAGAAATCCACTGCTTTCAAGTACGGCTCCTGTTGAAATATCCAATCTAATGCTTTCAAGTCGTAACATTTCAAACGTATGCTTCTTAATCGTAGAAGTAGGGTGAATTAAAATGAAAGCAAAAGAAAGAGTGGATATGGTTGCAGAAAAAACTGAAGAAGTAATAGTAAAAGTCATATAGTACATAAAATCACTGTAACAGTAACACTTACAAGTAGGAGGTGGATCCCATTTTGCTGAATTGTTAGTACTTATAAGTTGTATTACCAAGTTCAGATCCGGCGGCAGCGGAATGAACACAAAACGAAATCCGCAGGATTAAGTCTCTTCCTTGCCTTAAGACAATCAATTGTATCTTGAGTCTCATCATCACGAAACACTCCTTTAAACGCCATTTTACTTGAGATTGGGCCGCAGTGTATATGAAAATTGGCTATAAGAGAATTTGGTATATCATCTCGGAAAGATCATCGACTCTTAACTAGAAGAAGAAGCTGGACACAAAATCGAAAGACTTTCCAAACACATAATGTATTAATGTACTCCCCTCTCTCTCTCTCTCTTTTATGAAGTATTTTAATTTTATCCTAAATTTTACTTATTGTATTTTTTCAATTTAAAAGAAAATCTTACATTCATGTGTTCTCTCAATTATTATGTATTATTCTATTGCAAAGAAAACCTTAAAAAATCTCTTCCTGCTCAGTGGGCCTTTAATTTGCTGCTCTATGCCCAAACAATTTTTTCCTTTTAGTCCAAACAATTATTTATGCACATGAGTAATGATAAATACAAGAAAAAAATAACAAGAAAAATTACAAAGAAATGATCTTACTCATCTATTGTTAAAATTTTTTAAATAGGGTTTATACATTCAAGGTTATAACATAATTAAAATCTTGACACATCATTACTTGTGTCATTTTTTCTTGTACTTATCACTACTCTATACGTGATGATTAGAAAACGTATTAGAGTACTTCTTTAGTTTAGATTTATACTCTAATTTAAAATAGACATGTTAACTGTTGTTCCAATTAGTGTTTAACGGTTACTTGTGTTAGATTCAGGGAAATCAACCACAAGTAGCAACTCTTTGACTATTGAGAAGATCAAAACCCTTCCTATCAACTCACCACGAGGGCAGACACCTTGCGGCCTGCTTATAGCCTAAAAACAAATCCTTACAATCAACTTGTAACTTGTAGGCAAATTATTCTATTCTGACGAGTACACAATTATTAACATCATGAAACTCCAACCTATTCGACTAATTCTCAAGAGGGAAATCTCTCCATTACTTAGGCACTAATCAATAGAATTTGAGACCCAAAAAAAAACAAACAAACAAAAAAAGGGCACAAAAAGGAAGCTATATCAGCAATAAATTGAACTATCCCTGCAAGAATGCTTAAGGTCCATGTGCATTGCCCAGTTTGCAACTTTCGACGGTATAAAATTGCTAACTGCTGAGGTCCTCATCCAACCGACAACAGCTGAAAGAAAGTGGAAGCTTGAAAGTACTTCCCAGTGGACATGATAAATGGAAGTCCATCTTTTGTCAATAACGATTGTAGTTCTATAATGAAATAGTGCAGCAGAAGTTGTACAGGATACCCAAAGATCAAAGCTCGCAAAAGAGTCATACTTCGTGTGGAACTTCAGTGAGTTCCAACCATGAATATTCTTTGTCACCTCATTAAAGGCATCAACTGCCTCATCTCTGTACCATTGCCATTGGCGAGATAATATATCTTCTTCCAGTTATCTTCTGAAAATGCATCCTGGTTTGCTAGCTGTTGCCTGAGATCCATGGAAAGATTTATACATTACTTTGAGATCTTGATAGCAGCAAACTCCATAAACCAACACAAATTTTACTCTCTGAATGTTCTCACCTAGACTAGTTTGCTGCTTCAAATGTTAAGCCAAAAAGAATATGTAATCAGATTCGAATGCAAATGTTCAAACAAACAGTCATCTTTCTTGCTCACGTTCTTATAAAAATCATAAACTCGAGAACAAGGTCCTCAGGATGCCACATAAATGAAATATCTTTCTCAAATCCTATTTTATAACAAGAAGCGCCATATTACATTTAACACTGCAAAATAACCCTGGAGGGAAAAAGCAGTTTTTACTCGGTAGATCTTTTGAAAGAGGCCTTCAATCAACAAACTAATGAAACAAAACTAATCGCATCTCAATAAGGAAATAGAAAAGCTATTTCCAACTATACGTGAAATAACAAGTTGCAGATAGACAAGACCTAGCACCTTGGTGGTGAATATTGTACCTGGCATAGTAATGGCAGACAGTGGCAGCTTCATCCAAACTGTAACGGGGTAAATTAACACGGGAGTCTGGAGGAACATTTGGTAATTCTTGACGCAGTTTACCGACTGCTGTTGAATGCGAGAAAGCACCTACCATCATCATATCTTTGTGCATCATAGACCTAAATGCATTCACCTACAATTCAAAGAAAATGGAGATATTTACCCGATTGCACAAACAAAAAAGAAACAGAAGTAGACGCATACAGAAGCTTAGTCCCTTTATTTTCCAAAGTAACAAATGCAAGCACAAAAAGAGAGATTCTTGGTTTCTTTCTCTTTCAAGATCATACAATATGAAAAAACTCCAACAGCCCAGAGTTCCCATCCAATAAATGTGTTCCCTCAATTACAAAAATAGATCAATAAAGGCACCAACCAAGGTTTTACCCAATCAAAAGAGTAGATCAAACATTCCTACAGATTAATAACTTTTGGTATAAAACTCTATAGTAGGATAAAAGTGATATGATAAAAAGGAAATGTTTCCTTGGTTTCAGAGTCTTGGAAAAGAGGATATTTGATTCAGGAACTTACAGTTGTCAGTTCTCTGGCGTGAATGGGACGACAAGAACGAACAGTAACAGGCTCCTCATACTCCGAGAATGTGAACCAACTATTATACTAACAAAAGAAATGCAAATCAGCAAAGTCCAAATTGCTCAACTCTGAGAATCAGCTCATTACAAAATAATCAAACAAAGTAACAGAATGATACATGATTATAGGAAATGAGGCTTACTTGATCAATTGCAAAAAGTACAGGATATTTATCCACTAGCAATAACTCTTCTCTTAATCGAGCTAGTGCCCCAACAGAAGCATGGGTATGCTTTATTCCAGATTCAGCTAGGTCATATAGTGTCGATCCTTCAGGCACTGGCATTGTATCAACGCCCCTCATCCATCCAACACCAGCACCCTCTCCTAATGGAACAGGTTCAGTTATATTGCACCGGAGTTCTTCCAAGATTTTCTTATTGTACTTTACAAAGTCCTAAAAGAAAGAGCCGGATAGAATGATTAGAATCTAAAAGCAGTCATTAATACCACAAAACAAAGAAGCCACAACTAAATCCCATCCCTACTCTTTCCAGGAAAGATGAAATATTTTTATTAACCCTTTTGAGGGTTAATAAGAAAGAAATAACATAAAAAATAATTGATCCATTTCCATAGACCTCTATAACAGTGAATGAAGCAAGGTCCAGGAAGTAAGTTCATTAGCTATCACTCCATTCTTTCTTTCATACAAAAAGGAAAAAGAAAAGAAAGGAAATTCTTGGATCAGATCAGATCAACGACTCAAGTCAAATTACCCATCTCCCAATAACAAAGATGAGGAAGAGAAAGGGATAAAAAATGTATGATTACAAAAATTCCTACCTGAAGGATGTTTGCAGCCTGCACAGGGGTGTCCCATAAACCAGTTTGAGGATTTTTATAGAAGAATCCTCCATGAGTCCATTCTCTTCCTCGGGGCACATAAAAAACCAACCATCCTTCATTACGGGCCCAATGAACAAGCATGGCCAATGCAATACTCTTTCCACAGCTACGAGGTCCATCTAACACAATTTTTCTTCTAGTTTGTGGAACTGCAAAGGGGAAGACAACAATAAGTCCAATTCTTTAATAATAAATCGCTATTACCATTGAAAACCAAATAACAGCATTTCAACATCCAGAAACAACATAATCAGCTCAGCCCAAAATAACTTATTAAAACAGTACACAAATCTGTATCAGTGAAAAATCTCACGCAAGTCTGTGTATTCTTTGCAACACAAATAGAAAGAAGAAACCGGAGTTTTCACATCATCTTAGAAGACAACAACCTCTTCAGTAGTTCGGCAGGGGGTCCTTTGAGAATAAAATTGCATATAAAGCTAAGCCAGTGCGCTAATGATCAACAAAACGCTCTTAAATTGTAAATCATCAGCACATTTTCGTAGTGCTGTCAACATTTTAAGTCTCTAAGCTAAATTTCGAATAAACTCCAAAGGAATTGACCCTTACTCATCTTGTGATAATGCTCCCTTTAATTTTGCAGAGAGTTCCAGAACTTACACATAAACTTGGAAGGTTTGCACATAGTCATAAGCAATCAATCAATTTGTGAGATGAAAACAAAACAAAGCTCAAAAAAGTGACGCACTTTTGGAAGTAGTGTGCATTGGAGGATCCACGATCCGACCGAAATTATCTCTCAAGTCCAGAAAACTCTGCCGGACTAACAACGCGGGTCGCATTGAATCCTCGAATTCCTTTTCCATCCCCAACGGCAATCCTTCTGGTAAAACCCTTCGCAGCTCCTCCTCACTACAAAAAGAAGAAGAGAGGAAAACACACAAAAAGCGCGCACAATTTAAGCAGACAGCCTTCAAGACAGAACCACAAACACACATATTACAAATTTCGACGTCGTGAATACATCAAACTACAATTAGGTCACCTGAAGTCCATGTAATGGCAAACATCTCTACGAGAAAGCTTCGAAATCGAAGGAGTGGCAGTGAAGAGGGGCCGTCCATCAGGTCTCACATCAAGTGATTTGTTGCCGGCGTTCTGGGCAAGGCGGGCGAGGCGCTCCGCTCTGATTCCGGAATTGGGGTCATGGGAAGGAGAAAGTTGCATATCGTCTGCCTTCACATTTTTGTTGTCTTCGGAGCCATCTTTTTTGCCTTTCTTTTTAACCACATTCTTGTTTGCTTGTTGTGGTTTGTCTGGCTTCGAGTTCTTCTTCGCGGAGAAGCTCCTCGAAGCAGTGAGCTGAGCTGGTTCGGCTGTGCCGGGGAGAAGGATCTTCCCGAGGTTAGACTGAGGTTGGGAGCCGGCGACCGATCGGAGAATCGACCGCAACATTTCTGACAGGGGCTTTCGGAAGGTTGACGACAACAGAGGAAGGGGTTTTTGAGGTTTTTGGGTAAAATGCAGTTAGGAATTTGATAATGGGCTTGACTTAGTTTCGAAATTGATTCGTTAAGCCCAAACAACCCGTCATAAAGAAAAGCCCAAATGAACTCAGCTCGAATAGAGAGGATAATTTTCAAGCCACTTTTTTATTGGAATTTTTTATTTTTATTATTATTATTATTTTCCCTGGATATTTTTTTATATCTTTTCTTCAAGAGAATCATTCCACCTTCCAAGTCTCATGTTCTGAAAAAGTTTAATTGATGACTATTTTGGTTATATTTGAGTAGGAGGACTGAAACTTTGGGAAGGCTCATTGGACTTGGTGAAGGGGAATAGAGTAAGCAAGTGCATTTTCCATTGAACTTCAGCGAAATGTTTTGAAAGCAAATTTATGGAGCTTCTTTAATGTTGCTTCCAAAATGAATAATATTCCAACTACATATAGTATCATTTTTTCTTAATTAATACTCCCTCCATTCTAAAATTATTTATCCAATTTATATTTAATTTTTAGAATAATTTCAAAACCGATAAAGTATCATTTTTTAACTTAAACTATAGTCGGCAAGATTCCAACAGAAAACTATACACTCCCATGCTTAATGGCAGGGAATTAAGCAGATTTGGAGAAGGAATGAACCCCTATTTGCATGCCATGCGACATTTTTACAGATAAACAAAGTTGGTTTCCAATTATTTTGATTTGATTAGCAAGTTTGGACTAAGAGAGGAGTTGAGCGCTGAATAACTCTTTCCAGTGAAGTAGTAGCAAAATACATGTAGGTTAAAGATTAATTCTTTATAATCCCGGTAAGATATTCATTTAGACAACTTCTATCATTAGATGAGGTTATTCTCTTTTTTATTGGATATGGAAAACGTACGAGTTTTTTTTTTTTTTCCCTCTTTAACGAAATGAGATTTGTTATATTATGGATAAAAAATGGTGTACGTAGGTAGAGAGATGGATCGATCAGAAAGTAAATAAAAGGAGTGGGGGAAAGGAGAAGGAGACAAAGAACGTAAAAAGTGGTCAGTAAATGGATTCGTTTATATTGGAATGGGGTTTTTGGGTAAAATGGGGTTAGGAATTTGAAAGTGAGCTTAACTTAGTTTCTAAATGGATTCGTTAAGCCCAAACAACCCGTCATAGAGAAAAGCCCAAATGAACTCAGCTCGAAGAAAGAGGATAATTTTATATTGGAATTTTTCTTTTTTTGTGCTACCTTATTTGTTGTTTTCAGCGATTATGGATTTTGATGTGTGGCACTTATCATTGAACAATTACGGGACAGGAAGCCGGAACTGTGTATCTCTAGCTCCCCGGCGTTTGAAAAGGGAAACGGGACGACAAAATTCTAAGAAGGAGGGATTGAGTCGAGTATTTTACTTCTCAGCATGTTCTTTTGTTATTGTTTTAGTTATCTGAAAAGAAAGAAAAAAGAAAGTATGATCCAATCAGATACATGATCTGTCGTAGAACTTTGGACAAAGAGGAACAAAAATGAGTCCAATGTGCTTGCTAATCTAATAAGGCTTTTAGCGTGGAGCAAAACCAAAACTGGCATTGTTGAACATGGTAAATTCTTTCTCAAAAATGTCAACTAATAAGACTAAACAAGCTATTCCTCTTAGAAATTAAAATCAATTCATGACGAAAAGGCTACACTAACAGAAGCTATCAACAACAAAGAACTCTCCATTTGAACGGTAAAGCTGATTTTACTTTAGGATATGCAAACTCACCAAGCCAAAACATGTTAGCCACACATGTGAATCGGAGCTCGCATATCATAATGACAGGTAATAAGAATATATCTCGGGTGATAGAAGCAACCTCAAGATTGATTCACTGCACCAAGTAGTGTGATGTTGCATGAGTTGACAGCTACAGAAGCTTGCTTATGGCGTGGTTCTCCAAATGAAATCTAATCCTGCCTCCATTTATTTCCACACCAAAAATTGATATCTGAAAATGGCTGAAAGAACACAACCGGTATCCTCTGGATATTCTGATAAACAGAAATATACAGAATAAATGGCAAGCAAGCTAGCTGCTTTTAGTGGGGTTAAAAATCACGGGAAAGTTGAAGCTCAATTGCTGGTCATTTTATGGTTATAAGCGACAGATCAAAAGGGAGATTGGCATAATGGACAAGTTGATTTGTGAGAAGTTGAAAACCACTTGTAGAGGCAGGCTGAGTGGAACTTATGCTTGCAGGTTTTGCAGGCAAGGCGTGGAAGGCTATGGTTAGATGTATGGATAACACTGTAACAGATAGGACACTCTTCCACTCCTTCAAATTCCTTGTCAAAATTGCTTTTCCATATTCGTATAGATTCAGCTATGGCTCCATTCTGCAGCAAAAGATAAAGGAGAAACTGTTACTCCTATAGATCTATGGTTAACTTCAAGCATAATTCTGGATGAAGCAGTGATAACTAATCACAACAAGGCGTACTAATCATCGTACCTGCAATTTCTCAGCTAAACTAGAGAATAAATTACTCTTGATTTATCATTCAAAAAACCCAAAACAATTTGCAATCAGGAACTAACATCAGATTCACGTACATAAAGCATGCATAGTAACTACTAAGAACCTTCAGTGGAAATTGCATTAAAACAAGGAATGCAATGTATACCTGATTGCGTACAAATAACGTCATTGACATCAGCCATTTTCTCTGCTTCACGTCACTAATGCCGAGGCTCCTAGTACAATCGACATCCACAGGTCGAAGTGGATAAGATGCAGGAAGTCGAATGACAAGATCCATCCCTGTTTCATCCTTTGTGTAGGTAGCTACCACCTCATTGGCTGATTTGCTAACACTAACCGAGAAATTCTCATCACCAATATCCGATTTCTTGATCTGCAGATTCAAGTTCATGTTATTTACATTATGTTATGATAAAAGAACAATAATAGTAATATGATGAAAAAAAGTTTCAATAGATAGGATGATTAGATTTTTTTTATTTTTTTATTTTTTAAAAAAACATCCTAAGAGATTGCCACAGAAACAGAAAAACCCCACTTCAGCTATAAGCAGTTAGGTATGCATATACTTTTCCTACCATCACAATGATATGTTTCTTCCTTCTCTACAAGAATAAAAATGTGTCATAGGCAGTCAGACCATTTAATATCATTGAATACTCCCTGCCAGAAACTGCAGTCAAGATAGTCACAGGAATTCAATAACGAAGTTCTTAGGGGAACATCTATCCTCTGTGGATTGAAGAGGTCTTTTGGTTGAACTACGGAATGAACACCTGTAACTGTAAATTCTATGTCCCCATATATTTCTTCCACTGTCAACTTACAGCAAAAAGCAGTCACGGTTCCTTATTTTTCCTCGACAAACAAGGTGTTTTGTCAATTGAAAAATACACAAGACATACATCAGCAAGACCTTTTCCTATCAGCAAGTTCAAATTAAGATACACAACAAGAGGAAGTCTGGTGAAGTTCACATTCATGCCAATTTATGACCATCATTTACCAGCACTTGATTACAAAATTTAGACAGCAAAAGGTCATATTTAAACAAACCTGATTGAGATCATTTGCAATCAATACAGGACTACACCATCTTATCGTGAAGGATTCAATCACAGATGACCGAGATCGATCACGTATACTGTTAAACCACTCTCGAACATAAGCTGGAAGAATACACAGCATCAGTCCATATATTGCACCAGCCAGTGAAGTCATTGTCTCGGCTGTAACAGGCCAAATAGTTTCTGCAGAGGGCAATATAGAGCCTGTGCTGATTGCATGTGTGGCGGCTGTTGCTGCCATTGACATAGTCTCCGGAAGTTCTTTCCTCTTCGAGCTGGATCCCCCAAGGGATTCCAATGGAATATGTTGGAAAAGACAGTCTATTATCACTGAATCAGCAGCATCTTTAATGTACTGAATAATTTTCTCCCTCACCGGGGCTGATGGGGGCAAAGACACTAGATGCGAGAGTAACAAACCCCAAGCAATAAATGTATTTACCTGCAACAAATAAGAAAACTGCAGTTGTTATGGTTACTGCATTAAGAGGCATCAGGCCCATACATTCTATGAAAAGCTGGAAAAAGAAAAGTTTGGGGATTTCTTGTGTTGATGAAAGTATTACTAACCCGTTCAGAGGCCAACAAATCCATTTCAAAGACTTCACATGCGAATTTTTCAAACATGAAGCAAACTTCTTCTCTCAGTCGGAAATTTTGTTCTGAAGCAGGATCAGTAGGGTTAGAATCCTGATTATCAGAAGTATCCACGAAGGCTTGTGCCAAGTCTTTGTTAAGAAAAGTGAAGCGTGATAGAGGTCCCGTGGAAAGCATATTGTAGGCAGCAAACTGCATGTAAGGAAGGGGTTTGGAAGAAAACAGGATTGCATATAGAGAACTAATAGGCCCTTTAGTAAGACCCCACATCTCAATTGACTTTGCGGCTTTATCCCTAGCTGGTGATGATGATTTTACAACACAAGAAGCAACTAACTCCCAGAACTGCGTGTGATCAAGCCTGGATCCTGCTATAAGAGAAGAACATTCGATAGAGGACCCTGAGATTGCCTCAGCAAGACCGGTTGAAAAAAATAGCCGAAGAATACATTCAAGGATTCGATCTTTTATAATCTCCCACCTCTCATTCAATGGGTTCAAAGGATCAGCTTCTTCGTTCTTTTCACGATCACAAAAGCCGCAAAACAAGGAAAATGCAGCAACAGCATTTCTTGCAATTTTTAATGCAGAATGATCTGCATGTGAAACAGCAAGCTCAACCTTATTCAAAATCTCTCCCAAATCAGAACAGGTTCCAAAAGTTTCATTGATATTTTCAGCAACTTCTTCCATTGTCACAACTGCTGATTCTATCCACCATCTCACATGATACAGAATGAATTGCCAGTCATCTTCACTAAAGTCCTCCCAGCAATAAGCAACTGAAACCAGTATTAATTTTGATAACAATACTTGGACAGCAGGCAGTTTGTTCATCACAGTAGATGCACCAGACTTTTGTCTTTGCTTCTGAAATAATTGAAGCAGCAACACTCTCTCCTCAGAACTAATAAATCTAGCTCTTCTTAAATTTTGCAGTCCTTTTGTTGCTCTCAATGGATAACAGGAGACAACAAGGTGAAACCAGCCCTCCATATCTACAACAAATAATCAGGTTAATACAATAAACAAATTTTCTAGCTTAAAGAAACAAGTAATAATTGCAAGATAAATAGTAATAAGTGCCATTTCTGTTTTTTCAGCTGGTAGTAACTACAAATTGAACTCATGCTACATTTTATGCAGAACAAAATCATGCCACTTGAGACTCCAACCTGACAGATGAAAGTCAAACATTTATCTCTGATGCGTAATTTTGTAGATGTGTAATTTCTCGCCTTTGAAGTCGACTCTAACATGCAGCCTATGTTCTCAAAGTCGAAGTATGAATCTTATAATTACATCCTCTATTGGATTATCTCAAACAAGATTTAGGCAATTTCTACTCAATCCAAATAACCAATTGCTTCTGGTTTTCAAAATGAAGCATTATTTATTTTGAATTCTAGCATTATACTTTCTGCTCAGTCAAGTTAGGCATTCAACAGTAGAAGGTGATTCATCACAAAGTAATTTCAGACCGTCAGTAAAGGTATTGGCAACAATGTAATCAATACCATTGCCAGTTGTCCATGTATACAAGGCAGGGAAATGAGAAGCTTTTTCTAGCCAGTCCATAACCGTAGCATGCACCTCAGGGTCATCCGAAGAATCAGGTGTATCACTAGCATCGACCGCACCATATAAGATACTCAAGGGTCCAATGAGAACATCCATACATGCAGGAAGAATGCTCAGACAACTGAAGTTCACTGTTTCCCCAATAAGGAGCTTATCTCTTAGCAGTTTGAAATAATGCATAGCTTTGTCTTTTCCCCATATATTGTTTTGGAAAAGATTATCGAGTAATGATACAAGGGCTCTCAGGAAAGGCGAATTAATTGTCTCAAAATCAATATGTGAACCAGGCCACATATTTTGGGCAGCAAGTTCTTTGTTCCCTCCATGCACAAGAGCCCCATCAAGTAAAATGGTCACAATAGAATCTAAAATCCCATCATCTGGAGAATAATCTTCACTCGTGGCATAATTACAGAGAAGAGGCAAGAATGTGGTTAAAGCACTACCACATTGCCACTTCCATGTGCATAACATCTCTGCAGCTAGCCAAGCACGAGAATAACAAACCTTTTTCTGTAAGCTCGGCAGATGTTCTTTAGGCTCCTCAGACAAAGAGAAAGAGTCACTTGATATAGCACCAGCAACAACTTTATGAATCCCAACTCTTGATATAAGCTTGTCTATCAAACTAACAAACCTTAGATTCCCAGATCCCTGCACGTAGAACTCACCACATGTGAGTATACATATTTATAGTAAATTGACAGCCAACCTAAACTGGTAATTAGTTTTAACTTAAGAAAAGCAAAAGAAGATGCAGGATAAGAAAAATGTAAGAGGGATGTGTCCTATTTGATATATGTCAGTGCATCGACTCCAGAACCTATAGAAAAGTGTGTCCCTCCAAACAGTAAAGGAATAAACAGAAGCAGTTAACTTAAACAAGCAGACTAGACAAAAATGTTTTCAAGGACGTGGTATAACAAAAAAATAAAAGTAACGGACATCTTTAACCAAAGAAGCAGCAATCAAGTGGTAATTCCATTAGTAACAGTACACATTGCTTACATTTGATACTATACAATCAGATTTCAACTCAGCTGATCTTCCCTGGGAATTTACATATGGCAAGATCCATGAGGGCCAGAACTCATTCTGGCTCATGAACTCATCCAATAACTCTTGCTCCTCAAATTGGTCTACACACAAACATTCCCTTATCTCAAGCAACCATAGGAAATAGAGGGAGGTGCTTTTGTCACTGTCTAACTTGTCTTCTTTAAGTAACGCCCACTTTAGAGCATGAACCAAAATATCTTTCAAGCTCTTACGGCTCTCATTACTGAGGCTCTTCAAATTCTGGTAGCTTAAGTTACTACGGAAGGCATGCATAGACTCACAGAAAGTCATCCTCATCTGCATCTGTCCTGTGTGTTCTTCCTCAATTTCATCATTCAAGAAAGTTTTTAAGATATTGAACTCCCAATCGATCACAAATACTGCAGCAAGAATCTTAGAAACTAGTTGATCCTCAGAATCTAACTTCAACAAGCAGAAGAAACTACCAGTCAATACTTCATAAGCAAAACGAGCATCCTCAAGAACGGTAGAAAAATCCCTTGACTCTGATAATTTTCCCAGGGATGGTATTAGAGACACCACATACTGCACCCAGGAAAATGTTGAACTACTCACAAAAGATAGCAACTTTCGCAGGATCCCGTCAAATATTATGTTTAATGTACTTTTAGACAACAATGAATAGTCTTCTTCAGTAGTACCGCCAATAAGAGCTCTGCAGCAAACATGGGAGATAATATATCATCAGAAGGTGAAAATGAAGGAGTGCAGAATTCCATTCCAAGGGACCGACTTTGTAATATTTCAGTAAACATGTCATACACATAACAAATTTAAGGATAAAAAAAGACAGCTTTGCCTTGTAGGAAAATAGCAAAAATTCATGACTCATCAAGAAAATCATACTAACAACAATATAATTCTAAATTATTTAATAAAAAGGGGGAAAAAAAAAACCAAATAATACTCTTAGAAAACAACATTCAACAAATTCTAAATCTGATAAAGTCAAAAAATAGCGGGAAGCATAGTTACGGCAGGATAATGCATAAAGCTCTTGAAGACATTCAGAAGAGAGATGAATCTTAGTTGCTAAATAATAATGAGAGAAGACGTAGAGAGAGTCTTGCACTGGGCTACACAGCTTATCTTATTACTGGTGGAACCATTCTTCATAAAAACATTTTCTTCCAGGGCATGCTTGATACTTCCTTTCTTTTCTTTCTTTTTTTTTTTTTCCCTTTAATAAAGATTGATACTTCTTTCAAAACAAAAACAAGAAAAAACAGGGCTTCTCAGTGGAGTAAGTTCCATTCAAGAGAAAACACAAAAACTAATATCCAACAGAACATTCATAGACTAAGAATAGTCCATTCCCACATAGAAAATAATTTAGAGATAATATGCATACCGTAGAATTCGAGCTTCAGAAGTTCCAAAAGGAGGATTACAGTTAATAATAGATACTGCGGCAATGTCTAAATTTTCATGTCGCCAATTCTCTGGATGAGAGCCTTCTGCACATTTCAACTTTCTAATTCTCTCCCTTGCCTTCTCCATCAGCTCGGCTAATGTGGTTAATTTTGAGTCTGAAGCTTTCAAAGTGCCTCCCTCAAGAGGTATTGCATGGGTTACAATGATATTCCACTGCTCCGGAAAATATTGGTAGTCAATTAATGCAAGCAAGAAATCCAATTTGTGACTGGTTGACAGACTGCTTTTCTCCAAACACCAAGGAACAAATGTTTGACTAAAAGCTCCCAGAAACTGCTCTGTTCCTGACTCAACACAAGCAAGTTCTTGAACAATCTTGTATGGTCCAAATATGTAGGTGGCTGTTACCATAAATCTCACAGCATCTGGCGAATCCTGGTGCCAGCAAAATCAAGCATAAGAATGACTAAGTGAAATTTGAAAGAAAACTCCATTACAGGAGAACACTATGTAAATCCCCAAAATAATCGATTAACTAAAACCTGAAAGTGCAGTCTTCACACAAACAAACCGAGTAAATTTAATTTTTTAGGTGAAAGTTAAAAATGTAAGGAATAAGAAAATCCAAATCATGAGTTATCTACATTGTCCTCTTTCCAATAATACTAGAAGTGAGAAGGATGAAAGCAAAATTTTTGGTGGATAAGTTCTACACCACGACGTAGCATCGACATGGCATAAACTAAGAAAAAGTTGGGATCCCAACATTCTACCACAAGCCCCAGCCTTGTGAATTTGCTAGCCCATAACTTCTATTGCTGCTTCTCTAAAAAGAAGGAAAATGGATGAAAGCATGGCATTAAAGTACCAAAAAGTAACTTACAAGTGTCTTAACCACTTGGAAACACTCGAGCAACATAGGGACCGCCAAATAATCAAATGGCCACGTTTCTCCTTTCTTCACAGCATGCTGATCCAACATTGACAGGAAAAAGAGTACATATTCAGCATTTCCAGAAGAACTATCGACTTGACGAATTATGGAGAGGCAATGATTCCTAAATGCAGAAGAAAATGGTAAAAGCAGGTCTTTCTCTAACAAGTGGACCCCAGAAAGAATTTCAACGATGCATTTCCCTAGATCTTCTTGGCATCCCACTGGATGCTTAAACTGGAGGTTTTCCACCCTTTCCTTTTTGGAAGGTTCGAGTAAATCCTCAGAAGAATTAGAGGAAATTCTCGGGAAAATTGAGCTAGGATCTTTCAAGCCGTCTAATTGAAAGTATTCGAGCCACAAAAGCTTCAATAGGATCTCATTAACCAGAAGATTCCGTAAATGATGAACAGCATCCTCTCCATCACAATATCTGAAAACACAGGAATATACTAAGATTAACAAACAAAAAAAAAAAAACTAAAAGTAGGATTAATTAATAAGATTGAGGAAAAAGACTAAAGCCAATCACAGAGGTAATCAACTACAGATTGATGCACTTCAACCTTGAAGCATTCTGTAAAGCCCAAAGTAAGCACTCTTTCATGGACGAGAAAAATGCAAACCGATCTGCAGCCAAAGAATAAGACAAGCTTCTTCCCTCCCACAGCTTCTGGAAAAACTCAAGAAAAAACTTCTCTCCCACGACTGCCTTTGGTGGTACTGCATCTAAAAACAGTACTAAAGCTGGATACGATACTTGATGGGAGCCAAAGCAGCCACTCTTAAGAAAATGCCAGAAACGGTTGAGAATAATTTTCTGAACATTCAACAACGTCCAACTTTCAGGAAACCTTTTGCAAAATAGCAATACCATGTCCCACATTGGGGAGTGGCATCTTGGATCCTTTTCCTGGAAAGAACCAAGAACTGTAACGGCAAGAGACTTGATATTTTCTTCATTGATGGCATGAGGAATATTCTTGATGAAGCTTCCAAGAACGGAATATGTAGCTGACCGTATACTAGAGCTCTGAGACTTCAGAAAGTCTGAAAAACTTTTATGGCCAGAAAACAACCTCTCTGCATGAGCTACTGCATTGGCTCTTGCTTTCGAAGCATTCTTCGGTTCAGCCGTTATATTTTCAAAACTTGGCTTATCTGATTGCAGGCTCATCAAGATATCAAGAAGGGTGGCCAATGCAAGTAATGATGATGATATCACCTGTTACACATTAAAACCTACTTAGCACACATGATAAGGGTCAAGGAGATTGCTATACCAAGAACATTTCATCACTTAGAAAATAGTAAAGAGTAATTATCTTGAAGATGCCCGCATCTAATGATTTTTTATCCTCTGAAGTGAAAAGATATTAAGATTCACACCACCCATCTGTTCATTTTAGTGAACGTAATTCACTCTTCCCCTACTGACTTTGAGAACACCCTGTGGCGAGGATTCCATACGTAAATAAACTTCACTACTATAAAAAACTGATGTAAGTCTGTTATGTATCTTTTGACTTGCATTTTCTCAGACACTGAGAAGCAAGAGGGAATACAACAGTCACATAGAGTAAAGAGGCTTCATACTAAACACACAGAAGATCAACTAACAAGGTGCAACATGTAACTGAATTATAAACAGATCAATACCTGCTGGTACATCTCCTCCAATTCATCAGACGCGGTAACTTTATCTGACATACTTTGGGGTGTAAGCTTCAGATTTTCTTCAATATACAAAAATATTTCAGTTGCGGACAAAGTTAAGGCATCCAGTCTTTTCTCCTGGGCTGGAAATGCAGCCTGTTTCAATGTCAAAGGTTGAGTACTAGGCATCTACATTTTCTGATCAACTACGTATAAAATTTAAGAGAAGGTTAAGGAAAATAAGGGAAAAGAATTGCTTTGCTTAAGAGATCATCACAAGACCAAAAAGGCTATCCCAGTGTATATTAGATTTAGAAATATGATTTGGAGTCCGATAAGATTCACAGCGTTAGATACAAAAAGCTTGATGCCGCTTGGGAAAAATAAATGAAGCGGATTCAGAAACCATGTGTAGGGTAGTAATCACTCTTGAGGAAAAAAATATATGTAGGGCTTTGGATACAGAGAGCACGGCAATAGGAGGAAAGAAGGCATATGTTAAATAATTAATTTCAAGGCACTCACCAATTTCAATTTTTTTAAGGATGATTTTTCTTGATACCAATAAATGGCATCATGAATTTGCAGAGAGAGAGAGAGAGAGAGAGAGAGGGAGGGAGGGAGGAGGAGGGGAGAGGGAGGGAGGGAGAGGGAGGGAGAGGGAGAGAGAGAGAGAGAGAGAGAGAGAGAGAGAGAGAGAGAGAGGGAGAGAGAGAGGGAGAGGGAGAGAGAGAGAGAGAGAGAGAGAGAGAGAGAGAGAGGGAGAGGGAGGGGGAGAGGGAGCGCGAGAGGGAGGGGGAGAGGGAGGGGGAGAGGGAGAGAGAGAGGGAGGGGGAGAGGGAGAGAGAGAGAGAATTAACCATATGCACGGTAGTGAACCAGTTACCTGAAAGGATCGTTTTGCTGCTTGAGAAACTTCGTATATTGAATCAAACTGAGAAAACCACCAAGGTCCCATTATAAATTTTAAATGGGGAGCCAAATCTCTTCTGCACAAACCAAAAGGAAAAAAATAAATAAAAATTACTTAAGTAATGAGATAAAAAAATGGACCCTCATACATGTAAAACACAGCAATAGGATATCACTGATAGACTTTTGCAACTCAAAATATCTTGGAATCACCATAAGAGAAACATTACATAATATCAGAGCAAATTAGCAGTTCTTCATACATAAAGGCATTTAACTTCTGGCTTCCAAAATCTACTACAAGGCACAGTGCTGGTTGTAACTTAACCAACAAGTTGTGCCAAAACTGTGTTTCGCTGATTCTAAACCAAATTCAAGTTTATCCATAATTACAGACGATATTCAAGCACTATTTGGGGATGATAGAGGAATAGACAAACACAAAATGCAGTTGTCAAACTGCTTATTAATGCACTCTGCATAAAATTCCAAGAGACCATAGTACTCTAAAATCATTCTCCACATAACCAGAAAGTCAACATTCATAAACAACTCAAAGCAATTTTAACTTCAATGATTATATTGAAATGTGGAAAAGTAGTTCATGCACAAACCCAACAGCACGGACAAGATAAGTCATCGTATCATGAGTTGCTCGCCTAACTTCCCGGTTGTAATCGAGCAACAGCTTTTTGTACTCAAATGCCTAGACATTAAATACACAAAAAAAAAATTAATAATAATAATACTAATAATAATAGTAAGTATTCTTTTCCCAAAAAAAAAATGAGTTTACCACACAACAGAAAACAATATATAGCTAAGATTAAATTGATTCCCCATTCCCAGCTCCCTTGTCACCAACAAACTCATCAAACACCCAAAAGAGAAATCGACCAAATCACGACCCTTCTGTTTCTTAAAAATGCAGCCTCCTAAATTAATGTTATAACGGACACTAAATTCCTACTCTTTGCTCACAGTTTTGCAGCATCAACTTAGTAAATGGTTTTTAACTATCATAATCAGTCATCTAGCATCATAACTGCCTATGCCTACAACTTCTATCCATGTATTCCAGCTTATAACTATTCTCATGGTTTCCACTATTCTCATGGTTTCCAGAATTCCAACTAAAAATAAGGACAGCTTTCCGTTTCATTAGTAGATACAAAATAAAAAAATGGTTGAAGGAGGCGTAGATCAATCAAATCGTGTGAACATAAACCCAATTGAAGAAAAGGCCAAATGGACACATAAATTATCCTATGAAACGTGGTACCAGCATATGCAAGATCAACTACTAACAGCAATTCATGAAGGATGCATAATGAAGAATAAAGCATACCCATTGTGGAAGTATCACAGCTACTTCCTTTGCAGATTTTTCCTTTACCAACTGAGAAAGAGCTGTCAATGCTTTAATCTGTTGCACCAAAAGATGAACGAAATTGTCAGGTCTAGAAAAATTGGAAAAACGAAATACAGAGACCTAAAACAGGTAATTGGAAGCTGCTCCTAAATCAAATTCTCAGAATCATGCTAATTCATTAGCAACAACCATAAGAAAAAGTTTACAAGGTTACCATGGACATCAATAAAGACAATGGTTTTGCCTAGAAAAGGAGGCGATGGTTTCTAGCAAGAAGACAAGTCATCATTGACGTGTTATAAAACTAGGCAAAGCATAAACAAAGACATAACAACTTATTGAGGGAAAAAAGACCATATCAACAAACTGTGGCAATAAACCACATACTCATGAGTTATTTCACTATAAATGTTAAGTAGTTAAAGAAGTACTATCTTCTCACCAACCTAAATACAATGGAAACAGCAAAATGCCCTTCACTTGATAAAACCAAATTAGCATCGGAAAATATCAATTACCTTAGTGGTGGGATCCTTTCTTGAAAGCCTCTTTAAGTGTTGCGCCAATTCACCATCAACATCCTGACAAATAACGAAAGGTATAAGACAACCTCACAAGCCAACTGAATTTCAGAACTATACCATTAACACATCCATTCCGAAATCCAGAACATTTCCAGACAGATTAACGAATATAGGTTTGCATGTACTAGTAAGATATCAAGTTCTTCACGAGACAACATAATAGCTGAGCTAACAGTAGGGTTCACCCAAATTGTACCAAAATAAAAGGCCAAAGTTAAGCATAGCGTAGAGGATACCAGAGAAGGATCAGTCGAAGACTCAGCTAAGAGAGAAGAATCAACACGGGAACTGCCCACGAAGCCTCCGAATCCCAGCGTTGTTGAACCAGAGGGTAAAAGCGACGCAGCAAGACTGCAACAAAATCCACAAAAAAATTAAACAATCTCTTCCCACGAAAATAAAGAAGCAAACACACAACTAAGACAACCACAGAGGAACCAACAGAACGGGGAGGATGAAAGATGATTATGAAAAACCTGCTGCTGGAGGGACGATACTTGCTTCTTGCTCCATCTCCTTTAGGTCTTCCCATTCTTTTCCCAAAAAAAATTTCAATTCAGTGATTCCCTGAATTATAATTATAAGGAGAGCAGCAGGGATTTTGGCCCAATTTTATGATGCCGGATTTGGAACAAAATATACTTAGATACTCAAGTCTTATTGAAAGAAAAGAAATTCAAAATTTAATAGAAGGTTTTACCGGAGAGGATCGCCGCCTTCTTCCTTTTTTTTTTTTTTTTTTTTTGCTTTCTTTTTAGCTAACTATTCATATTATTATTATACTGTAATTATTTTAAACAAAAAAAGGGGAAAATACAAAAATAATTTGCAGAAGGAGCCTTACACTATAACGGAGCTCATTAGGATAATTATTTGCTTGTTAAATTAAAAAATGTTACCACAATTAATAAATAAATTACACTTCTACCAGTCTACTTTTTCCCCTCTAAAAAAGTTCGACTATATATATAAGTTAGAAGATGAGTTTCACGACGACGTTCCCTCGCTAAGTCATTCTTATAATTTTGAAAAATTCACAGAGCCAAGAGCTGAGAGCGGAGAACCAAAGAGAAACACGCCATGGCTGCTTCCCCAAATTGGATTCGCATCAAGAGAGGGAGAAGGCAAGACACGTTCGACTACTGCATTTTCGAGGTTCCGCCATTGAAGAAGGCGGTCTTCAAGTTAGAGAAGACTTGCAGGAGGCCTGAACCTTTCGGCCGGATTGGAGTAAGAATTAGGTTAAGAATTAACATAATTTTGAGAATTCATCGTTCAAATTTCGATTTCTTACTTAAATGAAGTGGCAGGAAGTAGATGATGACTTGAGGAAACGCTTCGAGAAATCTCCGCCGATTGCTCCGGGGGAGCATATTTGGATCGGTGAGCCAATGAAGATCGACGATGATAATTGTGCTGTCCTCAATTTTGATCGAGTTGATGACGAAAAATTCAGCAGTGCAGGTATTTTTTATTTTTTTGTTTTTGAAAAAGGCAGAGCAGGTATTGATTATTGCCTGTTGTTTAAAGCGTTTGTCTACTTAATTTTTCTTCTATTCTCAATCATCGTTGGGCATTAGTCCACTTTGCTGTAGTTCAAATGTTTAGATAATCATATATCATTTTTTTTCTAACTGTTTTGTGTTGCATCATTCAATTTTTGCTTCTTTATCCTTGAACAATTAGAAAAAGTACAGTGCACTAGTAATGATGGTTCATCTTGATGTGATTATTTTCAGATGAATACTTTTATGATCATTATCAGCTTGTGATTGTTGCCAAGGACATTACCGTAGCACTAGCTGCTGGCTTACCTTTGTAAGATTTATTTATGCAGATATAATTTCTTTTCTTTTTTACTGTTCTCATCATACAAGAATGTTTTTTACTGATTTAGGGTGAAATTAGTTGAAGATGTGAAAGAAGCGCAGGACAGCAATGAATTTGATAACCTGAGTGATATGGACATCGATTCAGAAAAATCCTTTGGGTAAGATTTTGTTCATTTAGTCAGGTAACATCATTGCTTTTGGGTAAGATTTCGATCATTTAGTCAGATAAAATCATTTCAGCTTTTGCAATAACACATTCTACTTGTTCAGATTGCAGGATGTTGAACATCATAAGTGTCCTGATATGACTAAGGGTATAATACTATTTCGTTACCTTTTCTTAACACAGTTTTATTGCATTTGAAGATAGATACTTCTTGGGTGATGTTATTTATACTTTCTGCCAAAAACTACCCTCTGAATGGCAATTCAGCGAAAGATTCGTCAGAGCTGGAAAAGGGAATTAGGGAAGCGTCAATAAAGATGAATCAGAAACTGACAGCTCCTCTTCACACAAATTTGGGAACAAAAGCCTTCATGATTCTCATAGTACGTTCCTTTTAAACTTCTGATGGCAGGGTACTTTTTTCTACTTCCATTTAAATATCTCCCTTCTTTCTGCTGGTAAACATCATTAATTTGAGGTGGACAGTGCATTTACTCTGAGGATGGTTTATCCTCTATATACATCAGTAGTTCCTAAGTGATTTTTGCCGACATGATTGACGATGGTTTGTTAATGTGATCCTACATAGAAGATATGGCATATGCAATTAACCATCTTGAAGACGAAGAATATATGGACCATACTGTAGAAGAGAATGATTACCAGTAAGATAATCCAAATATAATCATTTTTTATTCTCTCTCGTTTAATTTTACTCAGCCACTAATGCATTTTACTGATCTCAGAATGCAAGTGGAATTTGAAGATGAAGAGTATGGTCCAGAGCTTGTATCTGACACTGAAGATTCAAAGGACTCTGAAGATTCAAATGGTATGGTGCTAACCTTTTACCTTTGTATAAATACACACTTTGCTGCAATTGAAGATGCTTGGTTCATGTTATATTGTTTGCATTTTCAGCTGAGAACAATCCCTGGTTCATGTTATATTGTTTGTATTTTCAGCTGAGGACAATCCGAGAAACGATTATCCGGATGAGTCTTCTTCAGATGAGTCTCCTTCAGAGGAAAGCCCATATTAGAAGATATGGAGTGACGATGATTAAAACAACAGATCAACAAGAAACTTGCATTTACTTTGTAATATCAATTCCTTCACCTATACTTTTACATACTTTGTAATATCATTTCCTTCACATATACCTTTCATTGGCCATAGTGAGAGCATCCGAGGAAACTGATCACTTTATTTCATTGGGAAAATATTCGATTCGGCTGTGTTCTAAGTTCAAATATAGCTTCTTTTGCTCTGCCTCTTCAATAACCTTTTGCTCTCTCGACTTCTTTGATTCTTCCTCTTTCTCAATCTCAAAGAGTTGTCGCTCTTGGTCCTCTTTGCGTTGCGTTGCGTTGCTCAATTATGTACTTACTAGCTAGAAGTCTTTTGTGCTCTTCTTCCTCCACCAGCTCTGATAATTTTTGAACTTTCTGCTTAGGAGGATAGATCAGGACTCTAGCATTGCTCAAAGATTCAGCAAACTGGGTCAAGTGATCCATCAGGTCATTAGATTCTAATTTTAGTTGCCCAAAGAAAACAGCACCCTTTCAAGTGATCAACTTTCGGCTGAATCTGTAATTGTTCTGGATTTGATCACTAAAGACCCCGCACTTAGCCTTATTGGCTTATACGATATTCTGTAATCTATACGATGAACACATTTAAAAATCGAAAAATAAATTTTTTACACGGGTTTTTTTACCAAATCAATGCTTTCACCTTAAAATTTTAGTCCTTAAGTATTGATAACCTTTGTTTTCCTTGTTATGATGAGAAACACTCAAAGGAATTTATCTCCTACTTTCGATAAATTGTTCTTATCCTATCTAATTTAATTGATAATCTCTTATATATGAGATGATTATTACCGATTCTCTTTCCTAGTGGTGTCGATCCATAAATAATTATTTGACCATTCGCAATTAGACTCTTCTTTTTTCTTTTTTTTTTCCTTTTTTGGGAGTATCAAGTATGCATAAAAAGTTGCACATAAATTTAGACACTCTAGAAATCAAATTTATTTTTTTCTTTTTATTTTCTCACATGGTAACAAATTAGAGATGGATAGACACGACGGAAGGGGAAATAAAAACTCTCTTAAAAATATATTCTGATTGGAATTCGAAGGGGACATGGTATAGTACTCTCCCGGTCTCCCCCAATTTAGTTTTACATTGTTCTCTCCTTACTTTCGATGTTGTTATTTTGGTAGTGTTTTTTAGATAGGAGATTTTTGGCAATATTCCAAGATCTAACAGATTCACCACCGATATTCACGAATAAATAGCATTAGGCTATATTCATTGTACAAAATATATATATACTAGTGATGTCTGGTCGCGCAATGCGCGACCCTGACCCAATATATCTGTAAATCTTAGAAATATTTGTATCTGGAAAAAAAAATATTTTGTATTTGGCCCGATATATTTTAGAAATATTTGAAAAATTTTAGAAATGATTTATAAGTGTGATGTTTGTATTTGGCATAAAAATAAATTGTATTTGGCCCGGTACGTTTTAGAAATGTTTGAAGATTTTAGAAATGTTTTATAAGTGTTACTTCTTAAATATAAATAAACTTGGTCAAATATATGTCTTGAAGTAAATGTTAGACAAAATATAAAAGTATCCTAATAAGTTTAAATATTAGTACGATAATTTATTGATATTCTCCATTGGTTGTGCCAAATCAATACTTAGTTTTGGAGATTTATAATAGCTTTGTAGTTAGCTTCCTCCAAAGGGTATACGCTCAATTGTCGGAACTATTTCTTCCAAAAGTTTATAAGTAGTAAAATATCAAAAATATGATTTTGAAACTGGTTAATTGTTGAAACTGGTTGATCACAAATATGAGAATGAAAATAATGTAAATTTGCATAGGTTTCAAGATATAGCAAAAAAGAACTCACATCACCGTGACAAATAAAACAAAAGTAAAAGATAGCCCATTAAAATTTGAGAATTTTTATTTTTTTCTGTAAGTAAAAATGATGTATAAAAACACAAATAAACGTAGAAACATCATTCTTTCCCTTTCTACCTCAAATTCATAAAAGGTTTTCCCATAAATTAGTTAAAAGAAGCGACCTGATTTATTTATATGATGAGGAACTAAAAAAATCCAAAAACCAAATCCAAAAAAGTATATTCTTGAAACCCCGAACACAAAAAAAAACATGCTTCAATTGCAAATAAAATAATAATAATAATAATAATTGGTCAACTGGGAGTATGAAACAAAATCTAAAGCAATTAAATAAAAAAAAAACACACTTCATAACTGGCCATATACGAAAAAAAACCTGAGACTCCACAATTAAAAAAAGAAAACCACTCTAATTGAATAAAACATAAAAAACAAATTTAAAAAACTACACTTTGTAACAAACACCCAATCAATCAATTCAATCTAAATATAACTAAAATCATACGAAAATTCTAGGCTAACTAACCAAATAAGAAATCACATCATACTACCTGACAACGGCTACGGTAGTTGTAACGGATGGACGCATAAAAATAATAGTAATAACAGTATTCTTGAACGGGAAGAATGAAAAATAATAAAAGCTAAATCAATGATCTGTGGAAATAAAATCATTTAAATTTTAATACCTGTAATGGCACCACCACAATGGCCGAAGCAAGATCAATGAGAATTTTTTTTTTCCTTTGTGTTTATATAGAGAGGTAAAGAGAATATTTTTGAAATTGAAATTTCACCACTAATGATCATCACTAATGAAAAGATTGAACATGCTAATATGAAAGGAGTATATTTCACCATATATTCTCAATTAATGATTGATGAGGAAATTTTTTTTTTTTAATTGTGGAGAAGGGATTGATTAAGGAGTCGATTGTCGTCTAGATGGGGATGAGGATTTGGATTTTATATGAACCAGTTGTTTTTTTTTTTTTTTGACGAAATAGGAGGTGGAAATGAATTTGGACTGTATTTGCCTTTTAAGTTTAGAAGATGTGGAAATAAAAATTTATTTTAAAAATATGATGTGGAAAAGCCACATGGCTAATGGTGGTACTTTCTCTTAAGTGTGGTTTTTGTTTCTAATATAATAAGATATATATTGATATGTGACTTGTCTCCATCAAACCAAAATAAAAAACCAAAACCCAGCAGAACAGCATTATTATTTTCTAAATCTAAATAATTTCTCTCCCATGAATTGGTCTGCCCTAGTACCGGATTTGTTAGGGGAGATAGCCACACGTATACCATCCATAGAAGATTTCATAGCTTTTAGAGGTGTATGTAACTCTTGGCGAGCCTCTGCCACCAAGGATAAATTCAGCCCGTCATGGCCAAGAATTCCACTTTTGATGCTGGCGGAGAAACAAGGCGGCAACGACGAACGCGAGTTTTTCAGCCTATCAAAAAATAAGATTTGCATGAGATTATTTCTGCCAGAAGCCAGAGGAAAGCGTTGCATGGAAGTGAGATTCGGATGGTTATTAACTCTAACGAATTCAGGTGACGCCGCGTTGTTGAACCCTTTTTCGGGTGCACAAATTCAACTTCCCAACTTTCGAACCTTCCCTGATTATTCAAACTATTGGCTCGACCCGGAAGCTTATTTCATAAAACAAGCAGTATTGTCAGATAATCCGTCCAAGGTTTCCAACTTTACACTATTGGGGATACACTGTAGCGGCATGTATTTAGGTTTCTGGAGGTCTGGAGATACGGAATGGACCAGGATAGAACCACGTTTGTCCATATTCACAAATGTGGTTCACTATAAAGGAGCGTTCTACGCTACAGATTCGTCACAACATTTTTGGGTTTGGGATGGTAACGTGTCTCGCGTTCTCTTCTCCCTGAGACCCCGGTTTATCGATCCACTAAAAAAAATGTATTTAGTGGAATCATCCTCATCTTCAACATCATCAAAGAAAGAAGGGAAGTTACAAGTGATTTTTCGAGGGGACTGCAATCCCCCCCGGGATAATTACTTGTACACTACAGAGTTCGCAGTGTATCAATTGGATATCGTGAATCGTAATTGGGAGAGAATTTCGACTTTGGATGGGGATACCATATTTGTTGGATCCAACGCCTCGATGTCTATCTCAAGCGTGGAGGCGGAAAGGAGTGGAATCAAATCCAACTGCATCTATTTCACCTATCATTACATCACCGAATTAGGAGCCTCAGAAAGAGGTGGAAAAGATATGGGGATTTATAACATGCAAGATGAAAGTGTTGAACGTTTTGATGGAGTTGTAAACCAGTCCCTACTTAGTTGCCTTGAAAATCAAGGCCCGGATAGTTTTGTTTGTCCACCATTGTGGATAGCTCCTGGCAATTAGGGTTACAACTTTTTAGGGGCTAGGCCTTTTGTATTTATATTATCACTAACACTTTCTTTCCAATTTAATGTGTCTATTATCATTCTTTTATAATGTTTTGTGTTGTAATATATGATGACACCCATGGCCAGAAAATTATTGTAATGATGAATTCCCACTCAAATCATGCTTGTAAATTTTGTATAATGCAAGAAAACAAGCGCATGATTGGCATACTAATCGTTACACTTCCTTGGGTGAGGCAGGGTGTAGTCCAGGTAAGATTAGCTTCCCAGCCAGACCTTTTGGGAAGATTATTCTGTTTGGTTATGTAGCAGAGGAACTTAACATCGAACATTTTAAGGATCTGATTTCGGAAAGGGGAAACACACACACACACACACACACACACAAGGGTTGCACTAATTGAGTGTCGTATAATACAAAGGTCGAAAAGTGTTTGTACTTTTAGATCCAAAGTTTTCTTCCATCAAAGAATATGACAACCATTGCAACAATTAAGCCAACATCACAGAATCCAGGAAATATGGTCACTCGAAATCTATTCCTCAGAACAAACTTCTTCATTATCCCTAGCTTATACATAAGGCTCGTCTGCATGAAAAGTAAAATAGAAAATCAATCAATGCAGCATGATAAGTAAAACAGAAATCAACCAATGCATGGTCTCAAATTTGGACAAATAATTTCCCTTGAGAAGGGAAAAAAAAAAACAACCTTATTGAGGTGATAAATTGACACATTGAAATAGAACACAATTAACAGAGCAAAGGCTAAGGACAAGTTGGGTAGTTGTCAAGTTCAGTTTATAACAGAACACAATTAACTGACAACAGCTATATAATCTGAACATTACCTCTGCCACAAGAGAATCGCCATTATAGATAGTGCAGGATCTCTCGAATGGAGAACCTATCATCCGGAAATTTTCAGTCATTTCTTCAAGTTTCTTGCCCATAAAAAATATCTCAAACTCAGTTCTAGTTTGATTATTTAGTTTCTTTTCCACTCGGAATATCAATTCCTCCTTGTTATCTTTGACCATAAAGCACTGCCACATTGCATCCTGCGAAAAGGTAGATGTTAAGCTAGCACTAGCAGATCCAGAAAGCACAACTCTATGCTTTTTCCTACTACTGTTTGATATGCAGAATCTATAACCTCCCTAGTTCCTCGTGTGAAGTAAATTCCACTTAACAGTATAATAAACTTGAATTAGACACCGAGAGGAAACCATGCCATATCATGTCAGTTATATGCACATATAACATCAATACTTGCCAAAGTGCAAACAGCAGATGGGACTGCATTAGCAGTATCTGAACTTAAAAATCATCACAACATCACAACGAGAAATCGAAGCATATGATAGATAGAGCATGATGCAAGCATCATAGAAGACTCTACTGAATGCAGTTATCCATGCTAACTCTAGTTGACAGAATGATGACTATTAGAAGTCCGGCCACATGAAAACGGATGTTTTAAGTCACATTGCAGAAACAAATGCTGAGGAAGGATAGTTGAGCTAATTGGCAGTAGGTATAGTAGTCATTTGGCTCATTGCCATCTGGACTAATATCACAAGTTCACAACCAAAGTATGACCCACGGCTTCATGTTTGACATCATGAATAACTGGAATTAATAACTACCTGAAGCGATTAACCTCAATTATATCTTACTATTCACCACAAAAAAAAAATTCCAATTACTTCCCTTCTTGATCCATCTCTAAGCTCGAACTAATACGCTTTAGAACTGAACATGGTAACTTTTATACCCAAGTCCCACCGAAGACCCAATGAGTATATATCTCCATCAATTCATGTTTTCAGCAAACCAGTTTATAACTGAACCATAGACTATGATTCAAAGTGTAAATTTTCAATCTTTGATACTCTCTCCGTCCCAGAAAATTGGTCCACTTTGTTATACAATTCAATGAAGCCCAATATTTTTTGGGGACAGGGGAGTACTCATTGTTCATGAAGTTACCAAGAATAATTCGTGCAACATCATCCACTGCCCCATCAAACAGAGGTTTAAGCTCAAAATACTCATCGAATCTACAGTAAAAAATCAGTAATTGCTACAATTGAACACCAATAGGCGGAATATTCATCAATATATATTGTCAATAAGAACTCACCTTTGGTTTCTGTATGGAGAAAAGAATATTCCCAGAAGCATCAAGCAGTAATTTCGTTGGTGGGTTTGAAAGAGAACTCGTTGTTGACCGATTCTTGTGCCGCCGTTCAACTGTGAAAACTAGATTCCCGGAAGAATCCTTGAAATCGATCCAGCTTCTGCCGCCAATAATTTTCTGATGTTTCTTCGAGACGAAAAGATCAAACGGGATCTGGAAACTACCCGCCTTTACATATTCGTCATATTCATCCGGGACAGACTGAACAGTGGAGGAGCTTCCCATCTACAAAATTAGAGAATTCTTTGTCCTAGTAGAAATCAAAATCATTGCGGGTTTATTACTGTTCACTTATTGTTGGCGTGAATTGAGAAAGAAGAGAGATTCTGTAAGAGACTCTTTCTGATTTGGTGTGTGAATTGATTTTCAGAAAGGCTATTGATTGGGATGATCACACAAGGAAAGGAATATGGTATTCTGTGTCTTCAAGATTGAGCCTTTTAATGGACAAATTCTATCCACTTATAGTAATTTTATACTGTTACTATTTGTTTCCCCCAAAGCCAACATTTAAATAAATTAATAATAAATAATAATTATTCCAAGAAACATTCTGTAAACTCCCCTACTCAAAAGGACCTGAGGACCACAAAAGGAGCTCTGGCTGAATTCTGTAAAGTTAATCTACAAAGCTGTCTGGGAGATGCCACATAATGCATTCAAAAGTTCACAACATGCATGATACATATCGTTCTACAAAAAAAGATTGCTAGGTGGATGGAACAACCGACAGATACATCACGGTCTGGCCTGATGATTTCAAACCATCCATATGGTAGCGTAATTCTTTCTCGCGAGCAATCATCAACAGTTTGCCATTTTCCTCATACTTGATTTTGAACTTCTCACCTTTTATTCCAAGTGATTCAGCTAGTTCTTCACGCAATTCTTCAATTCCAAAGTTACTGCTGATGGGAAATTTTACAGTATCCTCTTTGTGGGTTGCCTCGACTATCATGGTATAACTGCCATCAATCTCAACTTTGCTCATTGTATTTGTTGGGAGAGGATTTCCTGCTGAGGCCTCTTTTCCTATTGCATTGCCATCTGGAGTGGCTCCAATCTCAGATGCTTTGGTGACTTCACCCTCAACCGCCTCAACAGATATACTTGGGAGTTCCGGGTCTAATTGAATGCCGTCACATCTGTGTTTCTTGAGCTGAGGCCACCAATGCATGCCGAGTTCCTCACATCTACGTTTTAGGGTAGGTCCGGTAACTGCGAAAAAGTAAAGCATGACAACTTATAGCATAATATTGGTTTCACTTCTATTCGAGAAATAAAACAGAAAGAGAATCAAATTTAGAGGACAAAAACTTCAAATTCTAGAACATTATCACCTCCAAGTGCTGCTGCTGCATCTTCAAGCTTCTTACCACAATGCTGCATCAGATCATCTAAGGTGATTATGACATTCCTACTTGCAGAAAGATCCTCAGAACTCTCGGGTTTATCTTGTGCATTGGGATCAGCTGCAGGACTGGAGCTTTTCTTTCTAGCAGTTATGTCATCATTTACAAAGTTGCCAACACTGGCTGGATTTAATGATGGTATATGCTCTTTTACCACACTGCCTAAGGCTTCGCTGCTATCCAAAGTTACAGCACTTCGATGTACGTCAAAGTATACAATATTACTAACATCCAATTGAGACTTTCTAACACAGAATTCCTCATTTGGTCTCATTCCAAAATCAACATTGTGTGCTGAGACTTCCTGAGACACAGTGGACAGTAATGACTTCAAAAGTGCATCCAGATTTTCATCACAGTGATGCTGCGATGGAAGAAACGTTTGTAATACCAAAGGTGGAAGTTCGGGATTAATGATCTGCAAGGGAATAGCAAATGATGCAGCAAGACCAGATGAACGAATGAGATGAACCAAAGGGTAATCAGAGATGCTAAGTCCACTTATATCTCTCAAGAAGCAAGGCTTCTTTAGTTGATATGCTTTTCCAACCAAACCTCTTCCATTTGCAACCCAATAAGCTGGGCAGCAACTTATTTGATTAAGCAATTCAACATATTCGCAAGTAAGCATTTTACAGCCAAGGAACATCAAATGAGGGAGCAATTTAGTAATCCTACTTTCTGCCTTTGCAAAACTACCGGTATTGTCATCCCCGGGAATGTCGCACATGCAAGGAACCCAAACCAGAATAACAGGTAATCGGTGTATTTTCCCTACAAATTTCAGCCCGTCATCCATGAGCATTTGAGAAACAACTTTCCTGCTTCGACACTGGATTGGATTGACGGAATATATTAATATAAACTAGCATTAATGGTTGAAGTAACAAAGACAACACAAGAGCGCATAATAAGGCTAATTGAACTATATATAGTAGTAATATCCACTTACTTTGCAGCGGTAGATTTTGAGAGGATGTAAACCTGAACAAGCAAGATCTGCCGCCTATAACCAGAAAATAACCAATTGAATTATAAATGAAGTGACAAACATATGGAAAACCGACTTAAAAACTTTGTCCATTGAAGTCGTAGGGTGAAAGCAATAGGGTAAAAGCAAACAGAACAGATACCTCAATTCCATTGATGATCAGGTTGAACGGGAGTGGATCTCTTAGAGTAGATGTTTCTGATACAAACTCAAGTACACCAATACATTTCTGTGGATCATCAACCTCGCAAAGTGGCAAAGCCCAATACTGGCAAATGCCACATTTCTTAGCAAGATCCCTAAGGGGAAACTCCTGAATGGAGTAACAGGATACGTCGGGACAATATTCGGGGGAATTGTGTTTGAAGGCTCTCCCAACAGGGCTAAGCTGACTCTCATCATCTTCCATCCAGTACTGATAATCAACAGTAAGCAACCTATACCTAGAGAGTTGCATAAAGTTGGTTCGGAGCTTCCAGAGTTTATCTGATGCAGCAGTAAGCAGGGTTCGACCACTGACGGTTTCTACAGGATTCCAAAACTGTACCATGATTCCATGCGTGTCAATGTTATTCCAAACTCTATTATCACCCAGAAACATCTCAATTCTCTTTTCAACTGGCCTCGGTTGCAAACGTTGGGATGTATTAACAGAACCTGAAATTGGACTTGCTTAGGAATGCCCTACATTTTAAAATTCTCTAGCAGATCTATCACCAACAAAACACAAGAAAAAAATAAAATAAAATTCCACATGGTAATTTGTGAATTGGACAATTTCTAATACGATTTATTACAATGTGGGTTTTCTTTCTTCTTTTTTTTTTGTGGGACAGAGTGAATCATTGATAATTCAGTTGCGGAAAAGAGCACAAAATTTCGGAGATGTGGCTATATATAAACACGAAGGAAAACAAAAAAATCACAAATGATAAGCAGAAGGATTTTGAGAAGTAAAAAAAAAAAAAAAAAATACAGTTACTCACGAGGTGCTGATTGAGACTCAGGGTCTAGCTTGATCGTTTTGACCGGTACACGGGCTTGGGGAAGCAGTGCAGGTTTTCGTCTTCCGGTACGCTTCTTGACGCCGGCGGCAATTGATTCCATTAGATTTCAGGCTGGAGGCGACCGAGTTCCGAAATGCTGAGGCGGCGTAATTCACGAAGAAAAACTCGGGTGGCTGGCTGCTGTCAGGAGTTATGTGTTATGGCACGATGGCTAGGTAAAAAAGTACTCTTACGTTCCGTCTTTTAAGTAACAAAAAAAACACTCGCTCGGACAGTAAGGCTAATGCTGATGCAGTCCAGCTCAGGCATTTTGGTAAGAAGCAAGATAAGATAGTACTAACGTAATTATCTCATTCTCGAGTCACAATAACTAATAATTAATTTACGTTACGTATGAAATTGTTTCGTGTCGGAATTTGACTGCTGATGGTAAACAAGGATTTGACCTGACAATCTGGAGATCGACTGCCTATCGAGAATAATTTAAATAGATAGAATTAATGAGTCTCTATCCAGTGCACCCGGGGGATATCGTGCACCCCAAATCGGAATCAACAAAATTCGGTGGCTCTTCTTCTTCATCAATAAATCCGACACCTCAAATCAGAATCAGAATCCACCGGAATCCACCGCCTCTTCTTCTTCGGCCTTCTCGTTCAGCACTGCTGCTACCAGAATCGACTCCCGCGGCCGTCGGAATCGCAGGTCACCAACCCACCCCGGCTTCGCCGCCCCACCGAACACGTCAGTTTTTATAAGATGAGTCTTTTTTTCGTGTGTGTGTGTGTGTGTGTGTGTGAGGAGGCGGTTGGGATTGATTGGCCGGAATTCTTGGGGTTTAATTGAACGCGGCCGGGGGTGCACCGCCAGAATTTGCAGGGGCACTGGAAATGGGTGGATAAATAGCAAATTGTATGGACAGGTAGCTACATAGAAGCACATCTAAAAATAGTATGGATAACCGCTTTACACCATGTGGATAACTAGTATAAAATAGATGGATAACCAGTTTAAAACTTGTGGATAACCAGTTTACACCTTTTGGATTACCAGTTTACAACTTGTGGATAACCAGTTTACACCCCTTCTGGATAACCAGTATAAAATGGGTGGATAACCAGCAATTATAACATGGACAACCATCACATAATATTGCTGTTAATTAAAGAAGAAAACTGTGTGTGTGAGGAGAGTGTGTGTGTGAGGTGGCGGCGGGGATCGTCAACGGCCGGAATTCTTCAATTGGAATTCATTTTGAAGAATTTGCAGAATGTACCCCGGATGCACCAGATAATTTGCCGAATTAATCCCTACGTGATATTGAACAAAAGGGCCCACAACTTATAGGTTCCTTTTTCCCAATCGCTTCAATTTTAACTGTCTATTTTATTATTAAATCAAAATTGTAAAACAAAAGAAAAACTACCTGTTAAAGTTGAATGGAGGAACATTGATAATAAAGAGTGGACCAATGATTTGACGATAACAAAAAAATCAGTTTAATTTATTATTAGCAATACTTTTATGTATAGTTAGTTCATCCCCTGTGTGTTGTGATGGTATATGTTAACCCACATCATAAGACTTATAAAAATATTTAAATCGTACATTTCTCAAAAGAAGGGTCCGTGTTACTTCAAACTCTTAGAATAGTTGTCGTCACTCAGTCAATAATGTTGTAATTCAATATCTAGGTTTAGAGAAATGAGTGGTAATGTTGATACATTTAGCAAATTGGGATCTAAAAATGGGCGAAATTATCTGTAGAATGGATGATTATCCGATGACTATTAATTAGAGCAAGACGATTTAGACGAGTAAAGTTTTCAGTTATGTTGTGTACATAGTGACAATATAAGTCACAGCACGAGGTTTGGAAAGAAAAAAGAAAAAAAAAAGGAGAAAAACTAATATTTGGACTTTTATATACACAAGTGTATAGAAAAAACTAACGCTAAGAAGAATGTAGTAATAGGCAAAAGATGTAGTCCCTTTGTACGTGTTGTCCGGAAGGAGGAGGAACCAGCATCTGTTGGTGCCAAAGATATACTATATACGAGTAATGAACAATATTTTTACATGTATAAACTGGTGTCACAATTGCCAAACATTTCCTCGAACTAGTAAAATGAAACTTATTAGTTTGCATTTAATCATGTAGCTCCTTTTATCCACTTTTCAAAAAATATTATCGTGATGTTTCTGTAATTAAAATGGATAATTATTTTAGAATAAAATACTCAAAATGGTACAAAGCCTAGATAACCTATTTGTGACGGGGAGATACCTGTTTGAAAGGAAGATCAGAAAGTTTTTTTTTTTTTTTTGAAACAATACTCCATTAAACACAAAGTATTATAAGTATAAACTCAAGAACAACTTTAGGGTTGCCTTCGCCATTCTATGAGTATTTTCTATGACATTTCTATTTACTTTAGTAATACTAGAGCCTGTTACTAGTGATAGTATTGTACATATATCAGTTCCTAACCCACTAAATTCACAAGGAAGTTGAGCCAATCCTTTTACTGCATGGACAACTATGGTACTATTTGTTTGAATTTGGCAAAAGTTGACTTGTGCCAATCCTTTTATCAGAGTCTCACTTTGACTAGACCAGAAAGCTAGACAAATGTGAGAGTCTTGGGCTTATTTGGCCAACATTTTGTTTTAGTTTTTGTTTTAGTTTTTTATTTGGATTTGAAATATGATTTAAAATGTGGTTTGAGATGAAATTTAAAAAGTTGTTTGGGTAATATTTTAAATAAAATATTAATATTTTTAAACCATCACCGGACTACTTTCACTACCGACGCCGCCGCGGGACCGCCGCCGCGGGACCGCCGCTGCCGGCGACCGGCCGGCCGGATTCCGGCCAACTCGTCGGAATCTGGCCAGCCCCAGGCGGCAAAGAAACAAAAGTCCATGTTTTGTTTGCTTCCAAAGCCGAAATCTCCTTAGCCATGGCATCTCTCCAATGTGCATGTTGAACTGCTTGCAAGAAAGAATTGGGCTCATCTCGGGAAGAGATGGCCACTAACAAAGTAGTATAAGGTTTAGAAAACCGAGAATAACACAAAGTCTGAGAGAGAGGATATACCGTTGAGTTAGCCGATGGAGTTGAGGAGGATGGCATTTGAGTAGTAGGAAGCAATGAGGGTGGTAATGTATAATCATAGCCTGATAGGTGTCGCGAAACTTGTCGAATCCGCCTTTCTGGAGGTGGAGGAATCACATGCGATGGTGAAGGTAATAGAGAAGTCAAATCCGCAGATGGAGAACTTTCAGGTGATGGAGTATCTGATTCTGATAAGTCTACGGCTGGAAGATCAAGAGAGGTGGGTGTATCCTCCTTGTTAAAACCAGGGGAATTATCGATGTGTAATCCGGGAATGGATGTGGATATCCAGTTTTGTCGTCTGGTGTTGTCGATTTTGCCATCATCGCAAAAGGAAAAAAAATCCTCAAAGAATTGAACATCTCTGGATGTATAAATCACCTTACGATCCAGGTCATAAACTCTATAACCCTTCTTGCCGTGAGGGTAACCAACAAATACACAAGGATGACTCCTTGATGCAAATTTATCTCGAGAAAGAGACAAAACATGAGCATAACAGAGGCATCCAAAACTACGGAGATGGGTATAAGAAGGTTTGCATCCAAACAAAATCTCATAAAGTGTCCGATTGTTCAATACAGATAGAGGCATGCGATTAATCAGATAAGTAGCAGTCAGAACACATTCTCCCCATAAACTAATTGGCAAGTTTGCTTGAAAGCGCAGGGCTCTAGCACTTCTAAAATGTGTCGATGCTTTCGCTCTACTACACCATTCTGTTGTGGAGTGTATGGACAACTGGTTTGCCTTTCAATACCATTAACCCAGAAATGAGTTAACAAGGTAGCATGACTAAATTCAAGGCCATTATCAGTTCGAAACACTTTGACCTTAGTTTTAAACTGTGTATGCACCCAATTGAAAAACATCAGCAAATATCGCTTAGTCTCCGATTTATGACGCACGAGAAACACCCAAGTTACCCTACTACAATCATCCACAATCGTAAGAAAATATTTTGCCCCGGACTTTGATGGTGTTTGATAAGGACCCCAAACATCACAATGCACTAAATCAAAAACATTCAACGATTTATTCTGATGTGAAGGAAATGGAAATCGAGTGTATCTTGCTCTACAACATGCATCACAGAGAAAACCACTAGAAGAATCAAATTTAATAGAAATATTGGGCACCAAATTAAGACGGCTTATCGGCAAATGTCCTAAGCGCCTATGCCACAAAGATGCTGTATCGCTCTTCCGAATAACCAACGCTCGGTTCACTTGCTTCCTATCACCACCCCTCAATGGTTCCAAATAGTAGAGGCCATCGCGCATCCTACCCACTCCAATCAGCTTCCTCGAGGCTAAGTCCTGTATGAGACAAAAATCAGGTCCAAATGTGAAAAAACAATTCAAATCTCGCGTCAGTTTACTGACTGATAATAAATTAAAATAGAAATCCCGCACTCCTAAAACATCATGAAGCGTTAGATTTTATCCAATTGAATTGTTCCAATGGCCCGAACAGGCACTCGATCACCGTTTGGAATCTAGATATAGCTATTATCGCAAGGCATGAGATTAGTCATCAATCGAATTTCAGATGAAGCATGGTTTGTGGCCCCGGAATTGGCAACCCAAGCATCAGTCTTACCGGAAACTTGGCCTGAAGTATTGGCCGAAGAAGCTGACTTTTGACCAAGGAGTGTCAGCAGTTGCTGAACCTGCACTTGGGAGAGGGTTGCAGCCTGTGCACCTTGCTCACCAACAACAGCAAACGCAGATGAATCCGCGGCGGTGTTGACTGGCTTTGCGGCTGCTGATTTCTGTCGCGGCTGTCTCCATCTAGCTGGGTATCCAACAAGTTCGAAGCAAGCGTCTCTGTTATGATTGCTCTTTTTACAGTGCGTGCAAAACCTGGTTCCAGCACCTTTCTGTGCTCCATTATCGCGACGGCCAGAACTTAGGTTAGCCAGCAAGGTCGCCGCTTCAACGGCCGGAGATCGTGAATCAGCAACATTGCGTTGCTTTTCATCTGACGCCACCATCGAGTATGCCTTTCCCAATGTTCGGCAAGGGTTCCATGCTAAGGATCTGCGATCTAACAGTCTTGTAATTATCATCTAAGCCCATTAGAAAATCAAATACCTTTTCTTCTTCTTGCATCGATTTCAGACGCTTGCCGGCATCGCAGGTACATCCGCCGCATGAACACGTCGAAGGAGGCCTCAGGTTCTGCAATTCATTGAGAAGTCCTTTGAGTTTGCCATAGTAAATTGGCGTTGCATCCGTTCCTGCTGAAGCAAGGCAACAAAACGCTTCAACTCATACGCCCTGGCAGCAATACCCTGAGTAAAACTCTCCTCCAAATCACGCCATATTTCAACTGTGGTCTCAGTGTGAGCAGCGGCTGTTTGCAGCTCCTTACAGATGGAGCTCGTCAGCCAAGATTTTATCAGCATGTTGCACTGGATCCATTGCTGGTAGTCACCGGAATTGACATCGGGACGAGCTATACTGCCATCCACAAAACCGGCCTTGTTTTTGGATTGAAGGGCAGTGAGAAGGTTGTTTCTCCAAGTGAACTAGTTATCTCTGTTTTCAGCAAGCGGAGTGGTGACAAAAAGGTGGCCAGGATGATCCGCCGGATGAACATAGTACGGTGATTTCGTATCAACAGTCGAACCGACTTGATTTGAGTTCTGGCCTTGAGAAGAATCCGTTTCCAAAGTAGAGCTTGAGGTGACTGGGGTCTTATCTCCCATGGTTGTGATTTGTAGCAGCGGAAAAACAAAGCAACGGGAAGGAGGGGCCGGAAATCTTTGATATCGGCGGCCGAAAGAAAGAAAAGAAGAGAACTAAGGTTTTGAATAAAACCTAGCTCTGGATACCATAAAAGATTTTACCGAAAAAGGTTAATCTCTCATTGATTTGATGCAAATATTTATACAGAATTACAAGATGTAAACAGAAAACCCTAGATTAGAGTAAAAACAAGGAAAATTACAATATAGTAATTACATCTTATTTACCAGTATCTTCTTTAAAGTTATCACCTGCAGGTGCTGCGGCCGCATCTTCAAGCTCTGTACCAGACTGGTTTTTTCAGATCGTCTTGGATGATTGTGATGGTCATCTTTTCTAAAAGGTCCTGGGGTTTTGGTTTTCATTGGGACAATCAGCAGGACATGAGCTTTTCTGTCTAGCAGTTGCATCATTATTGTCATAAATGCTAATATTGGCTCCCAAGGTTGATGGTAGATCTAATAATTTCTCATTCCCTAAGTCTTTGTGGCTATCCGAAGTTTCAGAGCCTCCAGGTTTTCATCACAATCCCGTTAGTATGAAAGAAGGACTTCTAATATCAACGGAGGAAGTTTAGGACTAATTATCTGCAAGGGAATAGCAAAAGCGGCAGCAGAGCCGTGCACTCGGAACGGGTGAACTAGAGGGTAAACAGAGATACTGAATTCAGTTATATCTCCACAAAAAGCAAGACTTATTTAGTTGATATGCTTTGCCAACCAAACCAGCCCCAGGAACATTGCACTAACAAGGACACCAAACTTGAATAAGAGGTAATTGGTTCGTCTTCCTCACCATCTCGATCCCCTCCAGCATGTGCATTTGGGAAAGTAGTATGTCTGCCTGGTGCTAGAGGTTGGAGTAGATGGAAATTTATGATCAAAAGTAAAGACCAGAACTAATGGGAATTAGCTAACACAAAACACAAGAACAACACTAGAAAGCCGTTTGCTCTATTTAGAGTAGTGATATTCACCTACAGTGCAGGTGGTGTTGCGGCTGGTGTGTGTGTGTGTGTGTACCTGTTGTGTTCGACGGAAGTTGTTAAAGAAGGAAAGAAAAACAACAAAGGAAGGAAGGGTAATGTCGTCTTGCAACCTATATATCATCAATGAAAATATTTTGAGCTGTTGGACTGATTTCTTGCCTGTTTAGAAAATTAACAAAAGAGGTTCCGAATTCTGAAACCAACAACGAAAAATTGCAGGATTTTAGGGAAAGTCGTAATCGAAACAAAGGTATCAAAGGCAAAATTAACCAGCCCAACAAGAACAAGCATAAGCCAGCTACAAGCTCCTTGTATACAAGTTATTGGCGATTACATTTCAATTGCAGTGAGTATCTTTTCAGGATGTAAATCTGGAAAGTAGTCTTGAAAAGTTCCATCACAAGAACCTTTTTATCGACGGCATCATTTTGTGAGGCTTAACCTAGAAAATTGATGATCAGAACCTTTTAGTAGTTAATTCACTAAATTAAAATAGGCATTTCACCATTTTCTCTGGTAAATTATACTGAAATGTCTCGAATTTTGAAACAACAAATCCATGAAATAAATTACAGCGAACTTTATTATGGAGAGAAAGAGAGACAACGAGGCGATGTCTCATCATCTCCCTGAGACATTTCCAGCTGCTATGATTCTACTACTACATCAAGTTTTAAATTCATAAGTTCCTGCAGAAGCTGCAACGGTACGCTTGATAGATATCGAGCATTACAGCCAACTTTATTACACGGAGAGAGAGACAACGAGATGATGTCTCATCATCTCCTTAAGGCATTTCCAGATGATATGATTCTACTACTACATCAAGTTTTAAATTTATAAGTTCCGGCAGAAGCTGCAACGGTACACTGGATAGATATTGGGCGCTTCCTGGATCCTTTTTCGGCATTGTCTTTACATCTTTGAAATCACATGGTCCATCACATCAACTAGGAAATCTGCATTGAGAAAAGGACAAAACAACATGCATATGTTGTTTTAGCTAATGATGGGAAAACAGAAAAGGAGGAGATTTGAAAGAGCTAAAACTCACCGGCGTCTTCTTTCTTGAAGCAGAGTGGAGGAGTAATTCGGAACACATTGCCATAGAACCCACCTTTCCCAATAAGAACTCCCATCTCTAATAACAGAGAGTGTTAGACGGGATACAAGAAATAACATCTAAGCAGAGAATCACTGGTTAGACTAAAAGTATGGAGAAGAGATTAGATAACCTTTCATCTCCTCCATAATATGAAGAGTCTCAACTTTGGCTGGAGTTTTCAGCTGGCGATCCTTAACGAGTTCAACTCCAAGCAACAATCCTCTACCCCTTACATCACCGATTACTACATGAATAGGCAACTTTCATAAGCCAAGAAATTAATAAAAATATGATAACTAAGAAACGCACTCCTTCAACTAATCTTCCTAATTATACACATTATACATCTTAAAGGGAACTTTAAATTAATTGGCAGTTCCAAATTCAAAAGTTCATAAAAATCCAACAAATCGAAGAATGATACGTACTTTCATAATTGTCTTGGAGTGATGCAAGGCGTTCCTTCAGATATGATCCAACAGTTAAAGCATTATGTTGAAGGTTTTCCTTCTCTATCACTTTGAGATTCGCTAAGCCAGCTGCAGTGCACAAGGGATTCCCACCAAAGGTATTGAAGTAGTTGCGACGAGTCAACACATTGGCAATCTCAGGAGTTGTAACCACAGCACCAATTGGAATCCCATTCCCAATACCCTGCAATGCACAATAAGTACAATATAAAACATCTAACTAAAGAACACAGTCACGTTATCTCAATCAGAATTCTCTCACCTAGGGGAAGAAAACAAATGATGAAAACGCAGAAGAAGAAATTGAACTTCAGAAAATGAGCACAGGCAACTTAAACAACAGAGAAGCACTTCAGCGTACATGAAGTGATAAAAATGGACTTTCACAGAGATGTTGTCTAAGGACTTTACCTTTGCCATCGTAACAATATCAGGAACAACACCATGGGCCTCAAAACCCCAGAAATGGCTTCCCGTTCTAGCAAATCCAGATTGGACCTCATCAGCTATGCAAAGACCACCAGCCTTTTTGATTGTGCTATAAACTGCAGGCAAATATCCTGGGGCAAGCTCTAAGATTCCACCTACACCCTGTTAAAAAAAAAGAAAATAGAACGCTAGTTCAGTAAGTGAAGGAAAGGGCTACATTTTCAGATACAAGTTTCAGACTGATTGCATGGAGGAGGAATCTAACCTGTATAGCTTCGGAAATAAATGCAGCAACATGGCCAGAAGTTCCATATGCAATAATTTCCTCCACATCCCTTGCATACTTTGGTCCATCAGAGCCAAAAACTCCTCTGTACTGGTCTGGATTCAGGGCGTGGTGAACCCCAGCCTGTTAAATAATCAGTCGTAAGAAAAGAAAATACATGAAACAAATAAAATCATACAACAAGAGATTATATGACAATGATTTCATTTCAAGCATTGAAAGGGAAACACGAGAAAAATTTGACACTTGAGAAACCAACAATGAGATACAACATGATAGAAAGCTGATAGTAAATATCATAACTGAAAACTTAGCTTAATTCCAGAAAGCATAAAACATTGTTCTCATCACAAGAACGAGGAGCCAGAAGATTAAGAACAGCTAAAAATACCTGCACAACATTGAACTTGTAGTTGCTTTGAGCAGTAGCCCCCATGGTACCGGCAGCATTACCATGATATGCGTTCCTCAAAGAAATAATATCCTGGCAACCCGTGTACAATCGCGCCATCATCAAGGCCAACTCATTTGCCTCTGTCCCAGAATTTGTAAAGAAAACAACCTACAGAAACATAACTTCCATTTTCAAACCTTCCCCAGTGTAATAAAGAACGCGATACACGACTCCTGATCGATATAATAAAAACCCCCCACAACCAAATCAACAAACCTTGAGATCACCAGGGAATTTAGATGCCAGAGCTTCAGCAAAATCAGCAATAGCATGATTCAGATACAGAACTGTGGAATGCTGCAGTTTATTGGCCTGCTTAACAATGGCATCAACCACGTCAGGATGACAGTGCCCACAACACACCGTTGCAATCCCACCAAATGCATCCAAATATCGGCGACCCTTGTCGTCAAACAAGTATTGCATTTTCCCATCTACCAAATTCAACTGTTCAATCCCATAAACACACGTAGGCGAAAACAGAATTAACAAATCATTTTATCATAAAAAACAGATAGGCCACCAAGAAAGGGAAAAAATTGATTCACTAAATCATAAATGTTATCGTTACCGGATTTTTGTAGAAATGGAAGATAGCAGGGCTGAGAAATTCCTGACGCTTCTTGAGAATTTCTTCCGCGGACGGCCCGGTGTAAGGAGGCGGGGTGTAGTCGAAAGGGGGCATTTGGGGAAGAAAATCACCATCTTCCCGGAGAGACGCGCTGGAATGGGAGTGTCGGGACAATGATGAGAATGATTGACGGGTTAAGCCGGAATTCCTCCCCGACAACACCCTTGGAACGATGATTCGATGCATTTTCTGGTCAAGGAAAACAGGAAAATCTCCGACGAAGATGAAGACGGAGAAGGAGGGGGTAGTAATTTTGGTTTTTGGGACCTTTATTATCTAGAGCCGAAGAACAAGTTGGGTAAATCCATATAAATTATAAATAGGCAAAATGATGTTGTTCCGATGACGTAGGAGTCAGCAGACAGATTCGGTGAATTTAATGTAATTTAAAGCGATTGAGATCACGACTCGGGAGTGACGTGTAAAGAGAGTTGGTGAATGATTTTGTTTGTTTGTGTTGATGCTGAGTTGTCAGATTACTCGGTGTCCGAACACTTGCCCAGTGCCCCCATCATTACAAATCATGAACTCCATTTCTAGTTCTCTACCTTAAAATGTGAGGCTTTTGGTTGGGCCCCTTATGGTCCATTTCAAGAATTTGTTACAAAATTTGAACTAAAATCATTAGTACTACAATCTTTAATGAGTTTTTACTTCTTACTAAACGATGCAAAGGTCTTAAAGATATTTCCATGAAAGTATGGTAACGAAAACGCAATCCTACGAAAACCTGAGCTGTATACTTGTTGGATTTATAACCCCAAGAGTCACTTGTTTTTTCTTTTTTCTTTTTTTCTTTCCTTTTTTTGGGTAGAAAAACGTTTAGCTGAAAGGCAGCTGAAGCTAAGCAAAATGTTCATACAGAGCCGGAAAGATGCCTAGCATCCTCCTCTAACAATAGAGTAGTAAAATAATTTGGAGAACATCAAAAGAATATACCTCCCCATCTACATAAAGCATCTCTTTAGCTAACACATCAGCACACATCTTATTTTTCCTACATGTGTGTACAAAAACGGACTTGCAAGTTTGCTTAATTTATCTTTTGGTCACACTTTATCTTTCAGAGTCACTTGTTCAAAAATGAAATAGAAGTAATACTTCAAAGTATACTTTTGGTGACATTTTATCTTTTGGTACAGGAAATGCATAACATCGAAATTTATTATTACACTGGACAAATAATTTGGGAGGGAGACAACGAGGTGATGTCTCACCATCTCCTTGACATCTTCTGGCTGCTTTTATTGACAAGTTCCGGCAAAAGATGCAATAAACGGCTGATAAAAAGAGTCTTCTAGGCTTCGTTTGCAACATGGTTTTCACATCTTTGACAGCACCTGGTCCATCACATCAACTAAGAAATCTACATTGAGATAAAGGAGAAACAAACACGTCTTAGCAAATGATTGTACTACGACAACAGGTGAAGGTTTGAAAGAGCTAAACTCACCAGTATCTTCTTTCTTGATGCAGGGTGGAAGAGTAATTCGCAAAAACATTACCTTGGAAACCACCTTTCCCGATGAGAACTCCCATCTCTGAAAAGAAATAGGCAGAGCCAAACCGAATATGGGAAACAAGATCTAATCCGAGGATCTCTAGTTAACGTAAAAGAAATGAGAAGAGATTAGAACCTTTCGTCTCTTCCATAATAGTATTAAGAGTCTCTGTAGCTGCAGTTTTCCGCTCGCGCTCAGTAACGAGTTCAACTCCAAGCAACAAACCTCTACCCCTTACGTGACAATGACTACATAGATAGGCAACTTTCATCCGTCAAGTAACTAACAGAAACATCATAAAAAAGAAATTGACTCCCTCTAATAATCTTCCAAATCACACAGTTTATACGTCTTAAACAGAACTTGATTTTCTTCCAACTCACTCCTTTATAGAAATCCAACAAACCAAAAAAAATGATACTCCCTCCGTCACATAATTACTGTCCAGTATGAGTTTTCATTTCTAGTTCAAATTGTACTAAAAGTGAAATCTCAAACTGGACGATAATTTTGGGACAGAGGGAGTACACACTTTCATGCTTGTCTTCAAGTGATGCTAGACGCTCCTTCTGATATGATCCAATAGTTAGACCATTTTGTTGAAGATTTTCCTTCTCCATCACTATAAGATTAGCTAAGGCAGCCGAGGTGGACAAAGGATTACCACCAAAGGTAGTTAAGTAACTGCTATGATTCCGATGAACCAACACACGGGCAATCTCAGGAGTTGTAACCACAGAACCAATTGGAATCCCATTCCCCCTTCCCTGCTATGCACAGTTTGTACAAAATAAAGCACCAAAAACCAAGCAAGATAAAGACATTGTATCAACAAGGATTCTCTCATCTAAAGAGAAAACCAAATGATGAGAACTTGGAAGAAGAACATAGAATTTTGGAAAATGTTCACCGGCAACTTAACCGACATATTTGTGTATACGTGCTGATAAAGATAGACTTTTCTAGGAATCTTGTCCAAGGAATTCACCTTTGCCATGGTAACAATATCAGGTACGACACGATGGTCCTCAAAACCCCAGAAACGGCTTCTGGTTTGATCAAAACCTGATTGGACCTCATCTGCTATACGCAGACCATCAGCCTCTTAAATATGCTATAAACTGCTCGCAGATATTCCGGAGCGAGCTCCAAGATTCCACCCACACCCTGTCAAAATGAAACAGAACACCAGTTCAGAAATTGTCGAAAAAGTGCTACATTTTGAAATGCATCTTTCAGATTAATTGCATGGAAGTCGAACTAACCTATATAGCTCTGGAAATAAAAGCAGCAACACGGCTGGAAGTACCATATGCAACAAGTTCCTCCACATCCTTTGCGTACTTTGGTCCATCTGAGCCAAAAACTCCTCTGCACTGGTCTGGGTTCAGGGCGTGTGAACTCCAGCCTGAGAAATAATCAACTGTAAGAAAGCAAAAAATATACAAAAGAATGAAATCACATAACAAGAGATTATATGGCTATGATTTCACTTCAGGTATTAAAAGGGAAGAACCACAAGAAAATCAGACACTTAACCAACAATGAGATGCAATATAATTGGATCCTGATACAAAGCTAATGGTAAAAATTCATTACCAAAAACTTTAGCTTTATTCCTTTTAAGTTTAGAACATTATTCTCATCAAGAAAATGAGCAGCCCAAAGATTAAAAAGGATCTAAAACTACCTGGACAACATTGAACTTATAGTTACTTTCAGCAGTAACCCCCATTGTACCAGCAGCATTACCATGATGAGCGTTCCTCAAAGAAATAACTTCCTGGCAGCCAGTGTACAATCGCGCCATCATCAACGCCAACTCATTTCCCTCCGTCCCAGAATTGATAAAGAAAACAACCTGCATAAACAGAACCCCCCATTTTCAAATGTCCCCCAGTATACCATCAATACGAGATATGACTTTTGATGAATAACTTCAAAAAAAAGAAAAACCCGCACGCTATTCAACAAACTTGAGATTACCAGGGAGTTTAGATGCCAGAGCTTGGGCAAAATCAGCAGTAGCATGATGAAGATTCAAAACAGTGGAATGCTGCAATATTTTGGCCTGGTTAACAATGGGATTGACCACAACAGGGTGAGAATGCCCGCAACACACCGTTGCAAACCCACCAAACGCATCCAAATATGGGCGACCCTCGTCGTCAAACAAATATTGCATCTTTCCTTCTACCAAATTCAACTGTTTCATCCCATACCCACACATACATTTGAAAAAAAAAAAAAAAAAATTGGATCATTTCATTGAAAGCTAAATAAGCATAATCGGCGGAACGTTAAATAAAGCATGATTACTCCCTTTCAGGGTTTTTTTTTATAAAAATGGAAGATAGCATGGGCTGAGAAATTCCAGACGCTACGTTGCTACTACTGCCAAGTTCTGTTCCAATTTCGGCAGAAGACTTGAATTAACTGAATGTTGTGTAATTTATGAAAGTAGACAGACAGATTAGCTAGGGCTTTTATCCAATCCAACCTAAGAATGTTGTGTAATTTGTATTTTCTGAATCTTTTGATATATATAACCCAATGGTTTATTTTTCTTCAAAAGAGGGCCACAAAGGTCGATGTACTCTCCCTAGGTTGAGGCTATTGTTTTCGGCATTCCAATTCAAATGGTCTAATATATGGAACAAAGAATAATGAAAATGCAATCCTTAAACCCAAACCCCCCAAAAAAAAAAAAGAAAAGAAAAGAACAATCCTTATCAATCCTGACATGAATTCTTTTCCTGACTGGGAACTTGGAAAGAATACAATGCCTTATGTCCATAACTACAAACATCACGATAATGTCTTTTACAAAATGATAGGTTCAGAGTAAGTCTATACGCATGTTCTACTAGAGATGCTACTAAATTAGTTGCTACCATGTCATATGTCACTTCTGAGAACTCGGTATTCACAATTTCACATATCTGGCATGGACATGAACAACCGCACAAAAGCCAGAGCTGCAATCATCTCCATTCTTCTTCACCCCAAGAATTCCTCATCGTAAGCATCCCAATCAACATAGTCATCAATTGTTTCGCCTTCGGACAGAGGGTATGCACCGTCTGAGTCTAGCATTTCATGTTTGGAAGGCGTTTGACTAGAATTCTCACCTTCGGATTCATGACCAGAGGATCTGCTCCCAGTTTCTGATTCGTCATCAGAGCATCCGCTCAACTTTTCATACTCAGTTCCTGAAGACTTTTCATCCGAGGACTCTTCATCCGGATAGTCATTCATAGGATTTCCTTCAGCTGAAATTATAGAGATTATTATTGAATTACCCCGGACATATCTTGAGTTGCAGGAATGTGAGGAGAAAATTTGACAATGATAGAATGACTCCCATACCATTAGAATCATCAGTTTCATAGTCGGAATCATCTGGACCATCATAGAATTCTTCTTCCTCAACTTTCACTCTGGGCCAGTAAATTGCATTATTAGCTTAGTGAACATAATAAATAGTGAAATCATTTTATCTGCCTATAGAAAGAAAATCTTACAAAGGAAAAGGGCTAATGCCACTTTCTTCAGTGATGTCCATATCATCCTTAACAGCATAATAATCATATACATAATTATCCGGCAATGCTGCAGAATATCAAAGATGAATCATTGTATCAGTCATAGATAGAAAGAACATTTTGGAACTGTCCAACTTATAGAAGCACAAGGGTTTCCCAATTAAAAAGAAGTAGCCAGAAACACCAATAAGAAAAAAAGGAAAAAGGGAGGTGCAAGTAGGAGATTGTATGGAAAAGATTTAAAACGTAGAAATAAATATGTTACTGTAGAAATGAACAGGGAGAATGTCTAATCCTCATAAGCTATAATGCAAAATTAATTGTAGAAAATGCACAGAAAGCAAGCAACAGACAGCAAATGTTCAGAAGTCCAAGCGAAACAAGTATAAACCATTAACAAGATAGGGCTGCTATGATTATTAGGAGAAGGATCAGATGACCAATGATACAAACCATGTGCACAGCAAAACAGTGTTATAAAATGGGGATTGCTGAGCTCATAAAATATTTTCTAACGTACCACATGGTAATAGGACAAATTAACGATAATGAGTTTATTATTAGTTTTGCATAAATTACAATTATGATTTGAGTTTTTCCCCTGCAGATTTCAGAGCTGAATTGGAAGAGATACATCTCGCTCTCCCCTCTACAAGATTGATTGTGTCCATAAAGACAGTTTCACCAAAAGAACTTTTTCTTAAAATCATAACTTAGGAACGGAAGAGGAAAAGAGGTTATAGGATCACCAACGCTAAGGAAATATTGAACAGTTTAGACACAAAGCTTAAATAATATATCCATCGATGAGGATTTCAGAGATACTAGTTCTCTGAACTAGTCTGATCCCTAAAGATAGTTTCAAGATGACAAGTACTGAAGTGAACTGCTTGAGATAAGGACAACGTAGCAAGGACAACAATACAAAATTCAATACCTCTTTTTATGTGTGTGTCAAGAATCTCTTGTTCAACCTCGGCTGCAGCACTAGGTAGGACTTCTCTCAGTAAAGGTAAATAATCGGACATCATCCTAATATCCTCCAGCTCAGAACTTCTACAGAAAAATCAAAGAAGCAAGCATCAGTCTACAAAAGTTTTCACAGTCACACAGCAGTAAAAGCAACATAAATGATCAATGAACTAAGCTTACTGTTCTTCATGTTTTTCGCTACTCTTCACCTCGACACGAACAATATCATAGAGATGGCACATTTTACAGGCTTCATCACGAGCGTACTGATCCTTCACTTTTCTACTTCTCCAAATTTGCTCAAAGCGAGCATTTTTGGACAATATCTGAACCACAAATATTCATATCCAAATATGTATTATACATGTGAATTTGAAAGACCCAAAAAAAGAAAAAAGGGGGAGAATTCTTATTAAGGGCATTGCACCTTTATAATTCCATATGAGGGTGTGAAAGAGTTAAAATTCCTGATAACGGCGTAATAAATGTCTTAATATACTAAATATAATTTCTTGACATCTCTACCCTTTTATGTAATTTTTAATGACATATTTTTCCTTGCCAAAATATTATGCCTATTAGTTATCTTGGAGTCTTCTAATTTCTTATTCAAAAAATCCTTCGGAACTCAATATGGCAGATTGTATTGCGTTTGATTTACAAGAATTGTATTAATTTTAAGATTAGTAGTCTTAATTAAGAAAAAAGAATTATAATATGAAGTCGAAATCTCAGCATGTTATATGGTGATTTTGTAAACTGGAAAGAATGCCAACTACACTTGTTTTTCAATTTTATGCTTAAATTTACTTTTGTTAATGCAAACTTCCATTAGTTGATTATGCGTTCCATGCAAAGTCTTTGACGTAATTTATCTTTTGAAAGTAAAATTTACGTGGAGAAATTAATTTAAAATGGTTGCTCATGGTATAATTCTTTACAAAGGGAGTAAGGGACACCACTGATTTAGTTTTCTGCGGAATTAAAGTTTACAGAATTGAAAACTATCTTGAGGAGAATTTATGTAGGAGCTAATTTCAAAAAAATTAATGAAACATCTCTACTTCCAAAATTATGGTAAAAAGTTATAATGCGAGTTATTATTGATAAAAGGTTAAACATGTCATAAAAAGAATATTTAGCGCACTAAACATTTATTGCGCCCTTAACAAGAATTTTAAAAATTTCACGCCCTTATCAAGAATACTAAAAAGTGCAGCGCCCTTAATAAGAATCTTCGATTGGGGAACAAATATCACTGTCACTGAGATGTTTTGAATGTGGCTGGTTAACGAACATGTCCCTTCAACTGATTTTACGAAAACTTAGGCAAAACAGAACCTACAGATTCGATGAATTATGCCCCATGCCCATTCAAAAGTCAAATGGTCTATTTATTTGATCAGCTAGGAACTTTCAGGAGACAAACGCAGTCAAGAAAAACATGAGTCAAACATCTGATATCTGTCTATATGCGATCAAACAAGCTATACATTCTTGCATCTTTTGAGTCAGGGAGATGAAATACATATTCACGAACTATAGAACAGGCATTTAAGTAATCATCTGCCGAGCTGAAAATAATTCACAAACAGGAACAGAATAGATACATGCAGTTCAACCGAAGAAAGGAAAATAGATACATGCCAAACCTCAACAAAAAAGATATGTCTATTCAAATGATAATGGAGATAGAACACACACCTAATGATCAAAAAGCAAGGTAGATGAAAACTTATTAAGAAGGGGAGAAAAACAATCTAGTGTACCTCTTGATGTTGTTTTGCTTTAGAAAGCAACTGCTCTTGTTTCTGCACATATTACAAAACAGTAAAGAATAAGAGTTAACAATGAAGATCAATTTGGCAGTCTTTACCAGAAAAACAATGCATAATTTATCTGGCAGAACCTACTGGAAAAGGGATCTTACATTCTCGGTCTTAAAGGATCTTCTAGTATCAGTTTTTTCTTTAGATCCAGGGCCAGCTGCTGAATGAGACTGTTCAAATTGAAATACATAATTAGATCATTCCAAATTTCGAGCTTCGAGGATGTAATGATACTTTAATCATATCATCGTGATAAACATAAAATCTCTACTCAAGCACTACAGAATACAGAACGAACTATCAACAAAATAAAAAGAAAAGCCATTGAGATTAGCCACAATACTAACCACAAACGGTTGCAGAATATCAGTGGTGACCTCAGAAGTAGTCACGGTGTCCACATGCTGAACAAAGACCTTTCTACTTTTCAACTCTTCAACTGCTAAACGATAGAAATGTATTATGTTCAGAAAGATTGTAATAATCACATGAATGCCAAAGAAAGAGCAATTAACTCAAAAATCTCATAGTGTACATGCATAATCCAATAAAACATACCATTTTAACCCTGCATTTAGAACAAGTTTCATTCAAGTCGTAACAAAATCAAAAAATTTCCAAGTCTTCCCGAATAATTCAGTTTGGCGTAAGGAAAAAAACAGAAGTTGGACAGTCCGAGGCATTCATTACTTATAACCATACCCGCCCACCCTTCCTTAAATTTCCCCCAGAAACCCTCTCTTCCAGACAGGAGGGACAGCTTAATATTTACCAAATGCTATCTACTTAGCCATAATCATCATCAAAATGTATAATACGCTCTAATTTTGAGCTATGAAACAGAATTTTTTTAGTCTACAGTAAGTCATTAGTATATACATTTTCACTATCTAGGGGAAAAGTGAGCCAACGCCTTTTGAAATACCTTTAGCAGAAGAATCAGAGAGGGAGAGCTTCCCGAAGTCGAGCAATGGCCGCTTAAGTGGTCTTTCATTAATTTCGAGCCCTATAACCAACCAAAAGAAGAAAAAAATATGTAATTCCCAGCTGAGGCGCTGACACTGAAATTCTCGGAGCATAGAGAAAAAATGTAAAATTTAGAAGAACCTACAGAAAGCATCTAGGCGGGACTGGTTAGCTTTCCTCTTAATCCTAACGATCACCGGCTTGTCACTCCCCGGTGGAGCCGAAGAACTCGCCGGACTGGACGCCATTGAGATGAATAAGGGTTTTTCGTTACATTAATTGATTCAAATGAATTTTTTGATCTTTATATTGCGGGGAAGAAGAAACCTGCTACAAGGTACTTTGGAAATTTATTTTAATTTCTCCTGTAATTTCTCCTGAATAGAGTGGGCCAAAAAACATAATGGGCCTACATCGAATTCATCTTTGTGCCATCGTTTGCTTAGTTTATAAGCCCGTAACCATTTGCCACCGGCCCCCCCCCCCCCCAAAAAAAAGGTCAAAAAAATGTTTATCATTTCGGTACAAATTTCAAATTTTACAACACTTTATGTGACATCTAAACCATTTGTGTGCTTCAGGCTAAATTCCTATCGGGCCTTAAAAGCCCACAGGAGTAAATTTTTTCATCTCTTCATATGAATACTCCTACTTTCAAAAAGAATAAAAATAAAAAAATTAAATACTCCTATTTTCAAATTTCCTATCGTCCTACAATAGTTTTGTTTGACGTTTTTTATTATGAAATTTTACTTTAAGGCATCTATTTGTTACGAATATTATACGTACTTGTTTAGGATTTAACTGTAGATAATGTAAATGGAGAATACGTAATAGGTAATTTAATTTCATGTATTGTATCTTGAACTATGTCATAATATAGATTTCTAATGTCGAAGGTTACATATACACTACAAGATTGATACAAATAATTTCCGTTTATTTTCTTCTAATGTAGTAACTAACTATATCTGTTTGGCCAAATATAACCCAAAGTCCAAGTACCGAGATTTCCAAGATGTTGGATATTCCCCTTGACTTTTATTTATAACGCATAATTTCAAAACTAAACTTCATTTGCAGTTTAATCTTACGTTTAGGACCGAGAAGAGTATTTATTTTACATAATTGACTTCAATTCTCCCACTTTCATGGATATGCGTGCCTGATACCACCATAAATTGTATGGAGGCTATTCTTGTCGTTGGGTAAATGATCAATAAATACACAGCAACTCCATTCATACGTGTAATATATATGTTGGATTATCTATCCCCTCTTTTGTAACAATCCAAACATGAGATTTACTCCTTCCGTCCCAAAATTATTATCTAATTTGGAATTTTTCTTTTTGTACAATTTGAACTAAAAATAAAAATTCAAATTGGACTATAATTTTAGAATAGAGAGAATATATATTATTATTAATAATTCAGAATCAAAACCTTTGATATCACAGCCGATATTCGAGAGGTTATGGATCACATATATGTATGTAGATTGTGCAGGGAACGTTGTCTTGGATCAAACCCATCAAATTGATAAAAGCATAAGAACTCATAATTTCTTTAAATATCTTGGATCGGCATTATATCAACGTATGAAGATTTTCAAAACGTGTAAATTAAATTTGGTACTTTAAAATGTAGCAGTAGTATTTACTATCAACCTGATCAAAAGCCTGGAATGTGAATTGAAATCCGGTCATTGTCACAAAAATCAACCACAAGAATTCTTACAATTGTACGGTACATTTTGACTTTGAAGACCAAAGTTCTAATTAGGTCCAAGTATAAGTGATGGTCAATTAATATGTATAGTACTGCCACACTCATTAATCTTCACAAGGTATCAAAAATTGTTGTACCATTCTACACATTATTATTCACTCAACAACTTATGGTTCTAAATTTCTTATGATATAAATATCTTTCACTAATCATAAATATAGGTCGTAGTTGTAATAAATTAAAGATGTAGCACCCAATGACATGCGGCAACGGAAATAGAGTTACAGTATTATTTATCATTTATCAATCGTGCAATTGATATTATCGAAACGAGGTTTGTTTTATTGATTTAATGTGATATGAAACTAAAATTTAACCGAGAGTTACATTTAGCCTTCCAAAAACTATATGGCTTGACTAGTAAGTTAATGTTAGTGCTAGTAATCAGTACACTATAAGTTAGACAAAACCAGAAAAAAACCCTAAATAAGTTGAGATTTCATCTCTACTAGCTTATCCTCTATTATGAGAATAAAACTTTCTGGTTCGCCAGTGAAGAATCATAGCGAGAAAAGTACCAAAAACGCAGAGAGAGCCCCACAAAAGGAACGTCGTTTGGTAGCATTTGACGCCCATGCAACCGCCATTTGGTCTGTTTTCCTGTCTCTTATAAAGAAAGGCTGCGAAATCACCGAACAGAAATGAGCCAACAGGGATATTCGTGACTAAAATGTTGTGATTAATACCGAAATTCTGGGCACCAAATAACTCCGTTGTGGTTGGCACAGAGATCGATGTGATGGCTCCGGTGCATGTCCCAATTATTGCTGTACTGAGGTACAACAGACCAAGATTATTGTTGTTTGTCTTCACCAGAAGCAAGAAAAATGCCCCGGATAATGGGATCATCGTCATTGCAATTGATGCTGGTCTTGAAATCACCCAATTCCTCCTTCAAAAAAAAAAGAAAAAAGGTGAATTAATAAATCATGTTGAAATTAAACACGCACACACACAGTGATTGGTTTTGGGTTTAATTAATTATAAGCGCTTACTTGGAAAGATAGTAGTCGAAGAGGGATGGAATGAGGCGGCCGAAAAAGGTGAAAGCAGAGCACAATGATACGATGGAAGAAGTCCTTGAGCTTCCACGGGATTCCACGATTTGTCCCAAATTGTTCAAGTACACCAAACCAAGTGTTGCCCCAAATAAGTAAACCAAATAATACAACCAAAAATCCAGTCTTTTTATCATTTCTCTAGCTCCCAGTTCCTCCTTCACATTGTTAACTTCTTCATCGGAGACTTCTAATTTGACGTCTTCATTCCCCTGTTTTTCACCGTTCTCCGTTATTACTGAAATTGGCGTTAGATGGTCAATATTGCAAACTCTGTTGTCTTTCCTTATCCAGCATTTCTGTTGGGTTGTTTCTCTTATCCTTTCGCTGACCGGAATCGCCAGAGGAAGTACCAGAAAAACCCCCATTCCGACGGCGAAAACGAGCGGCGAGAAATAGTCCGTAACGAAGCTGAAACAGCTGAGAATCGCGTAAACTCCGGTGGCCGTCGTTATAGCGAACATGGCCACGAACCCGCCGGCCAAATTCTTCATCTTCCCAATCTTCACATTCTTAGCCACCGGAGAAGCCGCGACGCAGATTAACAGGGGAAGCACGGCGTTTAACAGCAGGTAAGTCTGAGCTCTCTGTTTCGGTGAATTCCGATCCACCGCGTCGACCACCGCGGTAAAAATCTTGGCGGTTAAACCCTGGTAACTGGTGGATAACCCGACTGCAATTTGACGATCCAAAGGGAAATTCTGAATCGCGACTATGTTACTTACAGTGTTGATCCAGCAGATGCTGTTTCCGGCCAGAGTAGTTAGCAAGAAAATTTGCCAGTATGTTAATGATGGCATTTGTTCTGTGATGAACAGGTACTGCAACCCGTACCCGATAAACCCGAGTGTTGCCCCGATCATGAGGACTAGCCAGAGCGGGAGATACGCCGCGGCGACGCCGGAAAACCAGCCGAATAATTTTCCGGCATCGGACGCGAGTGCGAGATTGTTGAGTTGTATTTGGGATAAGGATAGAAGGCGTTTGAGTTGTGAAGAGTAAGCCGGGAAATTGGAGTTGGTGCCGTTTATGCTTTGTAGCCATATTGCACCGATCAAACTTAGCCATTGTGTGGCCATGGCTAATAAAAACGCTGTATTGAATGGGAAAATGTTTGAAATAAACACTCGCAGGATCGTGTTTATAATGGTTTGTTGGGTGGGGCAATTCGTGCATTAATTGACGGTCTCTTATACCTAAACGATTTTCCAGTTTAAACTTTTACTTTCATTGTAAATTATATTAACATAAAAATATAATTTGGTACAGAGAAAGTGTTAAAGAGTAAAGTAACTAATAATTATGGGTGCCAAGAAATGAATCATTAGTCAAGATCGAAAGTGATGAAGTAGGACAGAATTTTATTTTGGTGGTGGTTAGGCCAAGAATGTGTTCATAGAACGACCACCACCTCAGTGACTGCTGATTGCCAATTAATGTTGAACTTATTTGTTTTGCATGTATATCTAGTTTGTGTATGTGTGCATGTAAAATGTAGTTAATGCGAGAGACCGAGAGATCATTAGGAACCGTTCCCAAATTTATCGTCACGGTTACATCATGATATTGTCTGAGTGTCTCATTCTGTATAGTGTTAATTTAATACGATCATTTACAGTTTTGTTTTCTCTTTATTAGAAAAGAAAGAGACTCAAATTAATGAGAGAGAACGAGAGATCATCAAGAACGCTACGTACCATTGTTGTAATAGTTCGGTGGTGATGAAACGGTTATTGGGCGGACGTAGCCATCGTTTTGGTTTCTTTCCAATAGTTTCCGTGCCGTCTGCTTCTATTTCAGAATTTTGCCCAAAACGTTTTTAGAATCTCACCTTTTTAATTTTGCGTCATGCTTGTGCATGCATGAATCTACGTATCTTAAATTAGTCCTTTCCCAATTTTTCTCTTCAGATTTTTTTTTTACGGTCAGATTGTTGTTTCCAATTCTTTTGGGGTCGACCTTATTTTAATGAAGGTGATATTTGTTGGTCCGGAATACACACAAAGAGTTGTATCTGTTGATCCAGGACATGTGTGGCTGAAACACGATACTATCGATTCACTCATAATCCTTTGTAATTTAATACATTTTGCCTCTTCCACTGTACTAAAAAAAGAGTTTTATTTTTTCTTTTTAAAATCGATTACAGAATTCACAAAACATAAACACATATTATGCATTTATGCTTAACCTATGTTCCGCATTCAACTCATATAAGTAGACACTTTTGAGGGGAAAAGTTCAATCTCCCAACAAAAAGCATCATAATTCTACTATACAACCAAACCTTCCAACCACCATATTAATTCTACTTCGGTTTTAGGGAGCTAGATAGTGTGAAACAGACTCTCCACACGACGAGTATCTTGCACTCCCAAGATTGGATTTTTAAGGGAGCTTTTCAATTCTAATCTATTGCGTGTTAATGTGAATGGCAACAGAAAACATACAAAGCAGCTATCTTGTTTTCAAAAAACCAAAATAAATTGAGCTATCCTCCAACGTTGTCGACCTAAATGTGATCGATATTACTTATCTTTCCAACTTATGTTCACTCGTCCACCAAAATAGATTGTTAATGTGAGAAAAAAAAAAAAAGAGTTACGTAAAGTTATCAAATACTAAAGACATTGATATTTCTCTCCTCTTTTCAAAAAATAAAAAAAATAAAAAATTTCTCTCCCATTAAATTAGAGGACTAGAGTCCTGCATGGTTTCCTTTGTATCACATACCACACTGTTCATTCTTCTTTCACTTTAGTATCGCAAATATGCGACTGAAGAAGACATGAATGATGACGAATCTGTATACTTTATATTCTTTTTTCTTATATTTCTTGACTTGTATATATTGATATTAGAATAATTATTAAATTTAATAATTAATTTACCGTTTTATTTCATAGATTATAAAAACTTTAATATAAAGAAAATGAGGAAGAAAAACTTAAGTTGAAATAAACATGAAAATTCATAGTTTATCATTCTAAACAAAAAGCAAAAAAAACTTTAAAAAACTATAAAAACAAGTGTTTTCTCCTTAACTTCCTCATTTCATAGGTAAGTTACGAAACATAAATTTTACTTGATCTAGTCTAAAATGATTATTTTGTTCTTTGTAATAAAAATAATCCAAGTCATGTAGTATAATTTAGTAATTATTTTTCTAAAAAATACTTGTATTTATCTTTTTCATGAAATTCAATAATTACTTATGTAGTTTAGCAACCGCCATTCGGCAAAAAAAAAAATTATTAAAAAAGAATAAAAATACTGTTAAGTAAATTTACAGAAATGCATCGTTGTGGACTAATTAAATTAGCACATTCTCTTGTTTCAAATGATTGTCTAATTTTTATATTATTTTTATTACAACGAACAAAATAATTATTTTTGGCTAGATCAAATAAAATTTATGTTTCGTAACTCACCTATGAATTTGAGGAAGTCAATGAGGAAAGACTTGTCTTTATAGGTTTTTTTTTAAAAGATTTTTTCGATTTTTGTTTAGAATGATAAACTATTAATTTTCATGTTTATTTCAACTTGATTTTTTCTTCCTCATCTTTTTATGTTAATTTTTTTACAATCTATGAAATAAAAAGGTAAATTAATTTGTGAAATTTAATAATTATACTAGTATCAATATATACAAGTCAGGAAAGGGTTAGGGGATTAGGATGGGAGATGGTTATTACTCAGAGGTCAAGGGTTCGATTCTCGCTGGGGCCATCTAATTTTGAAAAAAAAAATACACAAGTCAGAAAATATAAGAAAAATAATCTCAAGAAATAACGAATAAAAAAATAAAATCATAAATTATAAAAATTTGAAATGACAAAATTACCACTCAAACCAAATCACATGTGTTGCACATGAAAAATAGATTTTGAAAATAAATAAATATTTTTCAAAGATCATATAGTATATTTTTATGGTTATGAAAAGTAATAAAGAGAAACTAAATGAAATAGAAAAAAATAAATAAAAACGAACTATTTTGTTATTTTTATATTTTTAGGGTAATTTTTATAATTTTCTGAAACTATCGGGATTTTTTGGTTAAAAACTGACGGAAATCTGTTGAGTTTAACGAAAATTTGGCCAATTATGTGGAATTGACAAAAGTTTCAACCAGTAAAAACAAAATTGACTAACCGAATATCAATAAAGTAGAATTGACTATGAGCCCAAAATTTTGAATATGAACGCTAATTTTTTCCTTTGTCAACTCAACATCACTTCTTATCCATCTGTTTTCATTATTTCCTTATTGGCACGAAGGGCAATACGTTTTGTTTTCAAGATGTTTTTCCCTGTTATAGATTTTGGAGAAAAAAGTTTCGGGCAATTCCATCACCATCTGTCCCAAGAACGTCTTATCTTATCTGTATTATCTTCCAGGCAATAAAACCCACTCCTTTCTAGTCTCTTGTAGTCCTTTCTCAGTTTCCTTGACATGGTCCATCACTACTGTTTCCAGAATTCGTGCACACCATTTCCGCCGTTGTAGCATTCAAGATACAGTACTAATATCCAAATGAGTTATAGAGACGAAGCCTGCCATGGTGAATCTCAATTGGTGCCTTATGACAGTTCCAAACCGTGAATAGAAAGAAAAAGGCCACAAACTTCAAATAGGAAGGTCCAATCAGAGAATTCGGTAATACTTCCACCGATACTTAATATAACATATTTTAATTTGTCCTATATTTTACCTAATACATATTTTTGATTGATAAAATGAAAAAACTTTAAAAATATTTTATAACAATCAAGAGAACACAACAAACATGAAAATATATTTTTAAGATTTTTTTTGTCAACCAAAAACACGTACTAGGTGAAACTTATAATAAAATCAAAATGTCCTATATTAAGGACCGGAGGGAGTATTTCCAACTTCTTTATGCAGAATCGTTTCGACAATGTAGTATACGAAAGAATCAATCAAGTTCAGGAGACTAATTTACAAAAACAATGCCAGGGAGCTGAAGGCTGTCGCCATCTGTAGATGGCAAAAATTAAAGTAAAAAAGCAATCCTCATTTCTGACCTACCTTTAAATAGGAAGATTGAATCAGAGAATTCAGTCATGTTTCCAACTTCATTATGTAGAACCATTTCGACAATGTAGTAACACAAGAATCAATCAAGTTCAGGGGACTAATTACAAAAACAATGCCAGGGAGCCGAAAGTTGTCCCCATCTGAAGATGGCAAAAATTATAGTGAAAAGGCCATCCTCATTTCTGACCTACCTTTTAACTTTGATTCCTGCGGATTCCTAGTCAATACAAGCACAATCTTCTTTTCAACCATCAAACAGAGGTGCAGTGGATAATCAAGTTCAAAATGTGCAAATCCATGTACCAGCAGCCCTCCTTATTATTAATCATGATGCTCCTTCTGTTTCATTTTCCACCTTTTCCTTCAACCATTTACTATACGCAGTCCTGACTTCTTCCAGCTGGGATTCGGGGATGCCCGTATTGTAATCTAAGTGTTCTATCCATTCGTTCCAAGGGTATTTTGCAGGGTCCAAAAACTTTGAAATTTGAGGTAACATTATCTGATGGTAGAAATCATCCACAGACTCGAGAATTTCTTCTGATTCAAGAATTGTTGTCATCTCTGGCCGTGTTACTTTCCCTGGTCTTTTCCTCAAGGCGAAATTGTTTCCCCTTAATATAAGAACTTCAGACGGTGCGAGGGGCACGACAATCCGTGAGAACTTGGACAGAGACAACTTTATAGTATCAGGCGGAAGTAATTTTCGTTTGATAGCAACAGCTGTCCCCACCATTTTGCGTATCTGGGTTGACCCATTTTGTCAGGATATGGCAACAGCAGGGGCAAAACATGCAATAGATAAGTATCAGAATCATAACATTAACGCAACTTTAAGTTAACAAACTACATACTTAGTGTCAACCTATCATACATTAACAGCTCCACGACTGAGATCTTAAGCAGATAATGTAAACGATAACATGACAATCATCAGAATGATAGAGACTAGAATATGAAGTCACAAATGTTTTTGTTCCCATCTCCACTAGGAAAGTTTTGCTCATGAATTGAATTAACAGATTACGAACTGAAGGGCTCAAGAAAGGTCTAACCTTTCTCTAAAAGAAAAGTGATAATGCACGACAGATGATCAATGTTGTCCAATAATCGGGATCATTCAGATTTTTTTGGGTTGTTATTGTTTGGTTGGGGGGTGGTTGTGCAGGTTTGCATATATGAAAAACTACCGATTTTCTTGCAATTCAACTACTATCTGCATGATGTCGAAACAAATAGAGCCTAGGGCAAAAGGGTCCTTCAAAGCAATCAAAGAAGGAAATGAAATTCTCTAGTCTTCACATTTCAACAAAGAATACTTACTTGATGTAACATAAATGATTCTCCACAAATAGAGATTTCAACGTAATTCATACCAAGCACGCGCTCCAACTTCCCACAGGAACAGTCAAAAATCTTCCTGAAGTGTGAAGCACTGAGTCTATCCTTATTATCAGGTTCATACAGCCATCTTGCAATTGGCAATGAAGAACCTTGCCTCTTCAAGCCCTTTTGCTCTTCAAAACAGCTGACTGATAAAGGCTTACTAGACAAAGCATTATGAGAAGAACCTGGTTCACTCTCCATCACATCTGATGCAGCTTCATTACCTTCAACATGCTCAATTCTATAAGATTCCTCGTCTGCAACACCTTTAGTTTCAGAACTTTCTTCTTCTACACTGTCCTCATACTCAGATGATGATTCCTGATCAGATGATCTAGCTATCGCAGATGAGAAATCATGTCTGATAGATCTTCTGAATGGGTATTGCTTCCTGTACTTCGCACGTATTGTATAGTTGTGAAAAGGGTGTTCTCCCTGCAAAGTCCATCCACAAAGCTTATATCAGTGGCCAAGGTTAAAATAATGTTTAATGAAACTTCAGTGACATCATGGTGGGATTCACATAAAACCGTCAACAGATTTAGTGGCATTAATTCCCGTAAACTCTTACAATTTAGATTCTTAAAAGCTCAGAACATGAAAAGGGTTTTGTTGTTTGCTTTTCAACAGTAGGAAAAACTTTCCATGTAAGAAATACAGAGAGTAAGCAACCTGCTATATGTCAGCTATTGCATGGAAAATTGGCTAGTGACTAAAACTAGACCTCAAAAGATTTCAGGATGTCGCTAAAATATGCCAGGTGAAAATCAACTTCATCCGTGGTAATATCACTCTTTATTCCAATTACTTCAGCAGGAAGGAGATAAGAGTATTTGCGCACGTCACATTCCCTTCTGGCATCAAAGCTCCTGAAATGCCGGAAATTAGGCTAAGAGCACAAACCTCGATATAGCACAAAATACACATTTTTGATGAGTCGAAGACAAGCATCCAAGGAGTAAGCAGTAACAACAACACTGAAGAACCTTCGTTACTAACTCAAGGCCTTTAGACAAGGGCACTCTCCCATTTACGAAATTGCAATGACCAGTAGGAAAAAACAAAATTTCTAGTTCCACCCTTATTTTATCAGAGGACGGGGGGGGGGGGGATTGAGAGTGGAAGAAGTTAAAAAGTGCATTCTTTCAAAAACTTATGATGTCGTGTCGCCACTGATATGTATTTGTATTTTTGCTTTCTCAAAAGTGTAAGAGATATTTTCTTTCTCACTTCTGTCAAAAACTAAACTGGTGTAATCCTAGCATATGCATATTTCACGTACATAAACAATGTAACGGAAATCATTTAATTATTTTGAAGAAGAAACAAACGAAAATGGTGCTTCAATTAGTTGCAAATTTACAGTATGCCTCTGTATTTACAGAATGCACTAGGTGGAAGCTAATTATGTTATGGAAAGATACGCGAGTGACACTTACTCACATTTGAACTATGAAAGCTGTTGGTTGCTATAAATTTCAAGAGCATGCGATAACCACATGTTCTGATAACTTCCGATTCCAGATTAGAAAATAGAACATCGGCGGACAATAACTACGAAAAGAAATGGTAAGAGTTCTGACCTTTGTGATGGTAAGATACTAAAAACTCGTATACTTTCAGGGAGAAACGAATTAACATAATTAGCTAGAGCAATTCCACAAGGGTCATCCCTCCAAGCATTTTCAGGGATTTCCATCTTAAGAGAGATCATCGTAGCGAGTGAATGAACCTGAAAAGTTCATTTAAGAAAGTCATAAAAAGACCCTTGAAATGACAGCATAACAATGAGACTACAGCTGAAATTACAAGCAAAAAAGAACTTACTCCTTTGTCAGTTCGGCTACTTCTTGCCCAACCAATTTTTTGCAAATTCCCGTAATTACTATCACGAATTCCACCAGCTTTATAAATAGCCTTTTCTAGCTCTCCTTCTATGGCTGCATTAGATAACTGTAATATATTAATCACTATAGTACCTTTTAAGGCTAAGCTGATCTGTACATGAGAAGACTTTATGCACTTAAGAGCTTTTAATGGTTATGACTGAAAAGCAGCAGGTCCAAATTCTATTATAGTTTTGTTCACAATGTCATTTCCAAAATAACGGTTGTTTTTTTTTCAGAATGTCATTTCTTCACAGTTGTCTCTTCAATCAAATTACTCCTTTGACAAAGATCATCAGTATAACATAGAAAAAAGATACAGGAGTTCACGCTGAGAGGTAAAAAAACAGCAAAGGGGACACAAACACAACACGTGAAAGAGGGAAAACTTTTTTAAAGAGGTAAAAGGTGAAAAAGAAACAGAACATTCAGAGGTTTGATATAAGCATCAAATAATCAACTAATCAAAACAGTTCACTTGATATGGCGATGCAAATTATAAAGAATCTTACTGGGCAGTGCGTGCTGATCTTTTTGCTTCTGCAGACCTGTTAAGTAACATCGCCAAACGTTGCAATTAGCATCAAACGTAGGCAACTCATTTCAGCTAAAATTACAAATTTGAAAAGAAATAACACTATTAGCCAATCTACCTCGATAATCCGAGCCAACATAGCCGACTCGCATTACTACTTTCTTCTTGCAAAAAGGTTCCCATTTGTTTCCGGTAGGAAAGGGCGGAGAGGCCGCCTCTTCGGCAACGGCGAGGGCGTCGGCGACGGCTGAAGTGGAGAAACGGAGACAAAGTTTCAAAGGCTTATTGGGGGGATTCAACAGGTGGAGTGGTGGAGCTTGGGTAGCCAGCCATGGGAACCACCCGACCCGTGGTCGTGGATAGTAGATGGCCATTGTTTTCGGGGTTTTTACTTTTTAGATTTTTTGAAGGGGTTTTTACTTTTTAGTTGTTGGCCTTCGCAAATAATATGTTGCACCCGGTGCGCTGTGCAGCGCGCTTCGTGCGTCTACTCACCGCTCTCTCTCTCTCTCTCTCTCTCTCTCTCTCTTTTTTTTTTTACCTTTTTTTATTTTAATTTTGTATTTTAGTTATTTTAACCTTTAAAATATTTTCTGAGTGAAATTTCAGTCAGTTCTTACACATGCAATTAATGGATTAGGATCTTATTGAAATTTTTTAATCCAATTTAAACCAAATAAAAAGTTAATTTGTTTAGTGTTTAAGATTTAGGATAGTTTAAGTATTTCAATTAAGTTAGGATTTAGTAATTAATATTTAGAGTTTAGGAGGGTTTAATTATTTTAATTAAGTTAGGGTCTAATGATTAAGGTTTATGATTTAAGAGACTTTAAATATTTCAATTATGTTAAGATTTAGTGTATGAGTAACATGATTAATTTATCAAATTTTTTAATTTAATCAAGTTAGGATTTTAGCCTAATTAAATCAAAAAATTAAAACGAATAAAAAATATAGTGTGTTTGGTGTTTAGGATTTAGAAAGGTTTAATCATTTTAATTAAATTAGAGTGTAAAATTAATAAAAATAATACAATTTTAAAAAAATAAAAAAAAAAAGAAAAAGAAAAAAAGGGGTGAGCGCACGTCCACAGCCCAATGGTACCTAAATAGGTAGCACCAGGTGCCCCATGGAATAACTAATAAAAGTAAATATATTCTTTTTTATAGATTGGAAGGGATGTCTGTATGGTATATAGATGACGACTAAAGAATTCAGATTGTTCGTATATATAGTAGGATTTGAACTTCCGACTTATAATAAGGTCCAAGAGTGGGAGAGTCCCAACTATTCTATCACAACCTTTATTGATAAATTTTTTTAATATTTTAAGTTTCACAAAAGAAACTTTAAAGTTCCTGAAGAAGGAAAAACATTAAAAAGTTAATTTTGTTCTTACAACTTTCAAATATGATGGAAGGGGATGGGAATGATAATGTACTTGATATTTTCTCCTCCCACTATTTTCAGCTGATAGCTAAATATGATGTTAATATTAACTTCGAAATTTGAATAATTAGATCAAGTGATTTGATTTGCCAGTTTTATTTTGAAACACAATCGATTCACAATAGTTAGATATGCATTTCTTACCCCTGTGTATCATTTCCCTACTTTTTATGATAGACATTTTTGTTTTCATATCAAAATTTCCTGAAAATAAAACAAAAAAAAGCTAAGGTGGGTACAATGAAAAGGAAATCATCATTTGGACTTAATTGTTGCAGAAAGAGAAATGAGGAGGACGTAACTATCATATGTATGAAATAGACAGGGCCTCTAAATAATTAACCAACAACTCATCACTCCCTTCTATCCTTTTCTCTTTCCCTTCTTCTTCTTCTTCTCCGCCAACCCCCAAAAGACCACTTGGTCCATTCACCCTTTCCCCCCTATCTTACTCCCTTCATTCCTTAAACCCTGCCAAAACCAACCTCGTACTCTCCGGCCACCGGACAGCCACCACAACTCCGGCTGAGTACACGGAACTAATTCAGGAAGTTCAGTTATGAATCCTTCACTTCTGTTAACCACAAAACCATCTACCCCGAGTCACACCATTTCCCACTCTACTTTACTTCCTCCTAATCCTCTTCGCCTTGCTACTACTGTAAATTACCGCCATGCCCGCCGCCGCCGTTACCGCATATCCATCCCCCGGGCTGCCAGTAGCGCCGCCTCCATTACCTCAGAGTCTGCGACTCCCGCGAAACCTGTTGTGTTTGGGGATAAGAAGGAGCTTACCGGAATCCAAGCCCTGGTAGATACAATGTCTCCGCCGGTTAGAATTGTCAGTTCCGCACTTGTATTTTCCGTCGCTGTTGCAGCTGGTTATGGACTTGGGTCCAAGTTCGGTGGGTCCCGTAATGTTGCATTCGCCGGTGCTGCTGCTGCTGGCGCTGCCGGTGCTGGTTTGGCTTATGCGATGAATTCTTGCGTTCCCGAGGTTGCTTCCGCGACCTTGCATAATTACGTGGCTGATATTGACGACCCCGAGGCCTTGAAGAAGGAAGATATTGAGGCTATTGCCAATAAGTTAGTCTTTCAGTTTAAATTTTACTTTACCAATTCTTTTACAAATGCTACTTTCCTTAGTTTTTTCATTAGAAATCAACAACGTAGGCCTGCAATAGAATCTTATTATTGGTGATGAATTGTAGTAATGTGTCAAATGACTGACTAGTACGAGATTTCCTGGGGTGCAATGAAGTGGCTCTAAGTTAATTTGTACTGGCCACCAAGTAACGATTTTCTGCCCTCAAGTGATGTTACTTCTTCACATTGGAGACAATATAGATGATCCTCCTCAAATAGGAAAGACAATTTGTCAAAACGTTGAACTATAATGGTATTGACTGAGTAGAAAATCAGCATATATGGGAGTCTGGGATTGTGTATGCTTGTACTCTAGCCATCACCTAACACGAGGAGTTGATAAATGACTTCTGCTTGCTTTCTAGGTTTACCTTAGTCCAAACTAACTTGTTGATGAACCGGTAAATGCTCATGAACCTCTCCAGCGTTGACAAACAAGTTGTTAACCTGCAGCTTCTCATATGCTCTGCTGCTCTAGCTTAGGTCATTTAGATTTTGGACATTTTAGCTGGGACAGTTCTGAATAGTTGTCCGTGACAGTGGTAGCTTCATATTCTGCTGTTTCTTGCTTGGAATGAACTTGTTCCTTGGTTTGCTTGTGTTCTTATTGTGCAACAGTTGCAATTTGTCTTCACTTTCTGTATTTGACCCTTTACAATATCATATTACTTGTACTGACACTTTTTTGTGTCTCACGTGGTGTCTGCAGATATGGGATTAGCAAACAAAATGAAGCTTTTAATGCAGAGCTTCGTGATATCTATTGCAGGTGAGATCAAATCCATGGTCATAAAATCCTCAAGAAAAATTTATAAGTTGCTTTTACTTAAATTAATGTTGACTTTTCAGATATTTATCTTCTGTCCTTCCTCCTGGAAGTGAAGATCTTAAAGGGGATGAAGTTGAAAAAATTATGAAGTTTAAAAGTGCATTGGGTCTTGATGATCCAGATGCAGCGGCAATGCATATGGAGGTATGTTTATCGTTATCCTAAAACTAAAGTCTTCAGTGCTTTCTTGGATTTAGATCATAAGATCTTCAGTGCTTTATTTATTTTCTGGGAAGTTCTGCTTTTAATGTTCTCTCTCTTTTTTTTTTCCAGATTGGTAGGCGCATATTCAGGCAAAGGCTTGAGACTGGAGATCGTGATGGTGATCAAGAGGAGCGTCGGGTATGATGTTATTTTGATATGTCCAATCATGATAATGACTAGTATTTAAAATTGGTTATGGAACTTGACCATTCTTAGTGTTTCCAGTGCAGGCATTTCAGAAGTTGATTTATGTATCTAACCTTGTGTTCGGGGAAGCATCTTCTTTCCTTCTACCTTGGAAACGAGTTTTCAGGGTCACCGATTCACAGGTAGAGAACTGTGATGTTGGCCTTCTCTTTGCTTTCAACTCTTTATTTGTATAAAACTCTCTCTTTTTCTTCAGAAGCATTGTTTATAACAGCTCCATGCTTGACCCCCATGAAAAATGCCTTCTGGTTTGTCACTAGGTTGAGGTGGCTGTCCGAGATAATGCACAAAGGTTGTATGCCTCCAAGCTTAAGTTGGTTGGCCGAGGTAAACTTTGTTGGCGCAGTATTTTTTATCCCCCTTTTTTTTATGTAAAGATAGTTTTCAATGTCGTGTCCCGAAATCTACTGATGACTTTACTGTTTATTTAGTACTTCTTGTTTGATGCATCTTGCAATAGTTTTGCTTTGTCTTCATGGATCCTAGTCTATGCCTCTTCTTCCACCTCTTGGGCAACTATAAATATTGAACACCTAATTCCTGCTTGCTAATCCCTGCCCACTTATTCGGCCTTCGGGAATCTCGTAATATGTTTGAACAATGTATATGTTTAGTTCAGCAGAGCTTTTCTCCCAGAAGGGTATTAAGGTGGCAGGATGGCGGGCCTTGCCCTTCTTTGAAACTTTATTATGGATTTTGATTTGCGATATATCCTGAAGAAGGTCAAGTTGCATTATGTATGAATTGTGTCTGTAGTAACCTGGCGATCATCTTCTCAGAATTGTTTGCTAAACATGTGTAAGTTATTGTTTTGAATTGTCTTCAAGTTTCTTCAATATTTGAAAGTCGTTTTGCTTCACGACATGCCACAAATAAATGAACCTGGTTGGGCTTATCAGCTTCTGCTAAAGTTTGGGTTTAAATATGTTATGAGGGGGAATGTTTAGTATAAGCTTCCTTATAGAATGCTTATGAGCCGATGTTTTTGTATCAATGTTTGTGCAATTTATGTTGAGATGTTTCTGAGTTTACTTGGTTCTTTAATCACTCAAAAGATCTGATATTTAATGTACCCTGTACATTTTTCACCTTAATATTTACAAGAGCTGTAATTTGTGCTAGATGTCAATGCTGATCAGCTGATTAAACTCAGGGAAGCACAACTTACATATCGTCTGTCAGATGAGGTATAAATGTTTTAGTGATTTCTAATTGCATGATCACTATGTGTTCCAAGTTGGAGAGCATCTGTTGCTTGTGAACATTGGTTTGTTATTTGCTCACTGATTCTCTTCCTTTGCAGCTCGCTGAGGATATGTTCAAAAATCATACGAGAAAGCTTGTTGAAGAAAATGTTTCAAATGCTCTTAGTTTGTTGAAATCTAGAGCGTATGTGTACTCCAACTCTTTTCATCCCCTTTTTCTTTTATTTAAGGAACACACATAGTGGTTATACTGGAATTCTCAATTAAAAAAACTTTGTTGAACACTCAGGGAAGCCAATTTGATTATTGAAGAGCTCAATAAGATACTGGAATTCAATGATTTACTCATCTCATTGAAGAATCATCCTGATTCTAGCCAGTTCGCTCGAGGAGTTGGGCCTGTTTCTTTAGGAGGTGGTATTTTTGCTCGAAGTTATTGGCATGTGTCTTCATTTTTTCAAATCCATTTGTCGTTCTTGTGATTCGTTTCTTTTATTGGATTAGTTTATTCGGACTCTAGTTCTTTTAATATCTAGTTTTAACTTAGAAGTTACCTGAATCACTATTACCCAGGTGGAGAATACGACTCCGATAGCAAAATAAGTGGCTTAAAGCTTCTTTACAGGGCCTATGTTTGGAATGCATTATTAAGTGGCCGCATGGAAGATAGTAAGGTGCTTTAATATCTTCATTTTCCCTTATGAAAGTTATCTTTTCTGAGTTCTTAAAAGGCTCGCAAATTGTGATAATATTGTCAACTTATCCTGAAGAGCTTGTACATGCGTTTGGACTTATGTCAACTTATCCTGAAGAGCTTGTACATGCGTTTGGACTTAGTTTTCACTGGAATTTAGTATCTTCCTCTCTCTGTACATTTTTTTGTTTGATAGATGATATGATGCTTTTGTAAATGGTATTGTGTGAGGCACATTGGGTCATTTTGTGTTTTGCCAGAAAACTCTTCCAGATTTTCGTAAATCCAATGTAATTGCTGGGTGCTTCTGCATGAGTCTATTTGTACATCATAATTTACTTGGATCTGTTCATTGAAGATGATTACAGTGTGGGTGATGTGATAAAATGCTGACTGAAGCTTGATGTCTGTGTCATACTGTGTTGTACTTGCAATTGATGCAAAGTTTAAGTGATAGACAAGCATTACACTAATATTTAGGGATGCTTGCTTACTGAGGACATCCCAAAGTTCTCGCTTTCAAATGCTTTTTTCCCCTTCTTTTTAGGTGTGGGTGGCTTTTATAACTTCGAATGTTAAACCATTATTTGGAAGTGAGAGTTTTGGCTGCATATGATATAATTTTGGTCTGATGTTATTGAGAGGTGTAAACTTATTGAAGGAATTTCTTTTGGTATTTGTGTTAACATCAACTTTTTTTTTTATTGTTATCTTTGTTTCTCAGCTTGTTGCTTTGGGTCAGTTGAGGAATATATTTATTCTCGGTAAACGGGAAGCTGAGTCTATTGTGCTAGAGGTTACCGCGAAGAAATATCGTGAGCGACTTGCTCAAGCTGTAACTAGTGGCGAATTGGCAGCTGCTGATAGTAAAGCGGCTTATCTCCAGAGTCTTTGCGAGGAGTTGAATTTTGATGCGGAGAAGGCTGTTGAGATCCATGAAGGTAATAGTTTTTACAATAAGTCAAAGTTTTCTCATTATGACTTTCATGGGTGGGTGGACTTCAATTTGGATATTGTTATGTTTTGCAAATCTGCACTGAGACTGAATTTTACTGGTAGGAGCATAGTACTAACCTTATTAATGAAAGTGTACGTAATTAACTCTGAGATGGATGTAAGAAGACACTCGTCAAGATCGAATATTGCATCGAAAAGAAAGTGAGTTTGGACCCAATAGCCAAGAAAAAAAATTAAAGTAGCAAATACGCTTAATGTGGTTTTGTCACGTGTATAGGAGGCCTGTAAATGCCCTGTATGTGTTTCTAGAGAACGGAGAATTATTAACTCATGTTAGAGGAGAGAGAGAGAATGCCTCAGAAGACCTGGATAAAATTCATTAACATGACAAGATGCTTTTTTTGTGCAGAAATATATCGGCAAAAGCTTCAGCAAGCTGTGGCTGATGGGGAACTGAGTGATAAAGATGTCAAAACGTTGGAACAGGTGCAAGTTTTGTTTTGTATTCCCAAGGAAACAGTCGAGGCCGCTCATGCCGACATCTGTGGCAGTTTATTCGAGAAGGTATCTGTAGTTTGAATTTCTGTTTTGAGTGATGATCGATGCCAGATATACTGATGAAATGAGCATGTGGTGGCTATGTAATTTTTATTTGATCTGCTTGTTTTTGAGGATGGGATTTGTCTACCTCTTTTTCTTTCACAGGATCTTTTTCCATCTCATAGCTGCATAAAGAAAATGCTTTAATAAGCTTTAGGGATTCCTTGCAATATGCATATTTTGATTTAGGGGTCCCTTATCTGGATGTTGAGTTTGCCTGTTAATTGGGCTGTAATGATTTGATTTCTTTTCAGATTGTCAAGGAAGCAGTTGCTGCTGGAGTTGATGGATATGATCCTGAAATTAGGAAATCTGTGCGGAAGGCTGCTTATGGTTTACGCTTAACCAGAGAGGTCGCCATGAGCATCGCTAGCAAGGCAGTAAGTATCATAACAAGCAACATTTTGCTTTGATTTCTGCCTTCATATAACTCTTGGTTGAGTTCTCACTTCTCATAGAATGCTTATTTTGTGTGGGACAGACCTGTATTTTTTCCTTTACCAGTGACTGATTGACTGTGTGCAGGTTCGGAAGATCTTTATCAGTTACATCCAGAGAGCACGAGGAGCTGGTAGCCGGACTGAAACTGCAAAAGAACTGAAAAAAATGATAGCCTTTAACAGCTTGGTTGTGACAGAATTAGTGGCTGATATTAAGGGTGAATCATCTGATACTCCAACTGAAGAGCCTGCCAAAGAGGGTGACAAACCAACTGATGAGGTTGAGGAGGAGGAATGGGAATCCCTGCAGTCACTCAGGAAAGTGAAACCTAGTAAAGAAAGTTTGGAAAAGAAGGTCCAGACCGAGATTAATCTAAAAGATGACCTTCCGGAAAGGGATAGAGCCGATCTGTACAAGACATACTTGCTATATTGTCTCACCGGAGAAGTGAGAAATATCCCTTTGGGTACCCAGTTCACCACAAAGAAGGATGATTCTGAGTATGTTTTGCTGAATCAACTTGGTGGGATACTTGGGTTGACACCTAAAGAGGTTGTTGATGTGCATAGAAGCTTGGCAGAGCAGGCCTTTAGGCAAAAAGCTGAGGTGATTTTAGCTGATGGGCAATTGACTAAAGCCCGAATAGAGCAGCTAAATGATTTGCAAAAGGATGTTGGTCTACCATCTGAGTATGCTCAAAAGATAATCAAGTCAATTACCACAACAAAGATGGCAGCTGCACTTGAATCTGCTATTAGTCAGGGGAGGCTTAGTGTAAAAGAAATTAGAGAGCTAAAAGAGGCCGGTGTTGAGGTTGATTCCATGATTTCTGATAGTTTACGAGAACGTCTGTTTAGGTTAACTGTGGAGAAGATGTTGTCATCGGGTACTGGAGAATTTGATGAAGAGGAAGTGTATGAGAATATCCCAAAAGATCTCAGCATAGATGTTGAGAAAGCCAAACGAGTTGTTCATGATCGTGTACGGAATAGGATATCAAACTCGCTGATAGATGCTGTGTCATCTCTCCGTCAGAGAAATGAGTCTGGGGTGGTAAGCATCTCAATTTTAGTAGCTGTTACTCGTATTGGTTGCTCATTCTGTTCATTCTAAGAAAACTTGTATTAATTTGCTTTTCCTCCGTACTTTTATAGGTGGCATCACTTAATGACTTGTTAGCCTGTGACAAAGCTGTGCCATCAGACCCGTTATTGTGGGACAATTCAGAGGAGTTGGCTGATCTATTTGTGATTTATCTAAAGAATGATCCATCATCCGAGAAGGTGTCTAGATTACAGTACCTTCTGAACATTAGTGATTCAACTGCTGAAGTCTTGAAAGAAAGGAAGGATCAAGCCTTGCCTATAGGAAAAAGTGGTGGTGCCGATGACTTCAACTTCTAAATGTTTTAAAAGGATTATTTGTTCTCATTTTGTACTCCTCCAAAGATTGAAAAGGAAACAAACGTTGCTAGCTCTTTTTGGCTCTGCCTAGAGAGAAAGAAGAAGAGAGTAATAGAAAGAGATGATAATAGTAGTGTAAGAGGCATTAGCCAGTTTTGACCAATTCTTTTGAAGCATAGTTAATCATATTACCTTCTTAATTCTGCCTAATTTCTTGTAGCGTTGATTGTTTTGGTCTATGGGGCGCGCATTGGGGGTTATTGGCTTGGTAAGAGCGCATTTAAAGATTCGAAAGTTGGGGATGTTCCACCCCAACCCAAAAACAGGGAAAAGTGAAAAAAAAATAAAATGAAGGTGAAATTTGATTTTTCTTTGCTAAAATACTATGATACATTGACTAATGATGAGATTCGGTTAGCAAACTAGAGTTCACACCAGAACGAACATCCTCATAACTCTAATTACATTCTCGGCATTAACCCCCAAAGTTGAAAAATGCCAAATGCTTCTTTATGTTGATATACTATAAGAGTCACGCCCGTAAAACATAAATTCTTATTTTAAGATTAAAAAAATGAACAAGAAACAAGTAACACTAAGGGAGTGAGGGAAAACGGGAAAAATTAATTCATATAGTAATTGTGAATTGTGAAAGAAAAAAAAAACAGTACTGAGGGAGAGAGGGAGTAATACACATCTTCATCAAACAAACAAGAAACACTAAGCGGTATGGATTCTTCATACACCAACGTACAGCCAGAATTTGCGAACTAATTACTACCCCCTCTCTCGCAAAATTATTGTTCAATTTGAAATTTCACTTTTAATACAATTTGAACTAGAAATGAAAACCCAAATTGGACAATAATTATGGGACGGAGGGAGTATTTCTTTCGCAAGTTATGATTTTTATTTCAGATTTCCCCTATAAAAAACAATCACATTCTTTTATTTTGATCTTCTGAAACCCTTATTAATAATGCCAAGTTAACCTACTCAATCTTCATAATTCTCTATCTCGATGTTTCCTAGTTTTACTCATCTTGGAACTTCGAAGTTTGCTTTTGTGTCGTTAAAATATCTCAACTATGGATAATAACAATCATAACGTTGTATGCATTTGTCCACGGACACCAACCCAATGGCATTTCTGACTTCCCTTATTGGTGTGTAACAAAGAAAAACTGGGTTGTTCCCTTCCTGAAGTGCTATCTTATCGCATGCATGATCGTCTTTTCAGGTTTTCAATAAAGAAAGTCCATTTTTCCTTGCATCCATAATCATCATTAATCATTTACTAACTCCAACTTGTGTAGTTCATACAATCTTAATCGCAACCATGATTATTATAAATTACTATGACCGATGAGAAGTGACACATTAATTGACTGCATAAATTACTGGTAACACATATGAAATCATTTCTTTAACCTTATTATGTATCAATCGTGCATGACTGAAAATGAAATAATTATTATTCAATGTACTACGTTATTAAATATTTAAAAATAGACCAATGTTGATTCGCCAACGAGACCCATTTAGTAATATACTTACTTTTGAAGGAAGATATTACATGATGTTAAGACATAAAATTAATCCTTAAGAAACACTTGTAAGCCCTCTATATATAGGCACCTTCCGTTGGGGTTATCCTCACTTGAATATTTAAACCATGGCATTTTGTAGTTTGTACTCATCGTCCCTGTTACTGCTACTAGTATTAGTCCTGAAAATCTCAGCTTCGGCCGGGTTATCCTCTAGTTTTTACGCGACAACTTGTCCAAAAGCTATTTCCACCATCAGAACCGTTGTGGGCGACGCCGTAGCCAAGGAGCATCGCATGGGGGCGTCGCTTCTCCGTCTTCATTTCCATGATTGCTTCGTCAATGCAAGTCATCTCTTTTTTTTTATTATTTTTTTTAAAAGAAAAAAAAATCTTCTCTACTAGGATAATATATATTGTGCATTAATTATGCCTTGCAAAATATTTATGTTAGTACTATTTGATTATATTGAAGGGATGTGACGGTTCAGTACTTCTGGATGACACTTCAAGTTTCACGGGAGAAAAGACGGCCGGTGCAAATGTGAACTCTTTGAGGGGATTCGAAGTGATCGATACCATTAAAACTCAGCTTGAGAGCATCTGCCCCGGGGTCGTTTCTTGCGCCGACATTCTTGCTGTTGCTGCTAGGGATTCTGTCTCAGCTGTAAGCACGCATGCACAATATCAATATTAATCTATACTGCTGGAGATTAATTAACTGTTGTAATTTGCTTTTTGATTTTCTGGATTTTTTTAATATATATATATATATATTTTTTTTTTAATGTGCTGTGTGTTGATCATGTTTTTGGTCAGTTGGGAGGTCCGACTTGGGGGGTTCAATTAGGAAGGAGAGACTCAATTACAGCAAGTCTTGCGGCTGCAAATTCCAACTCTAACATCCCATCCCCAGCCATGGATCTTAGTGACATTTTAACTGTCTTTACCAACAAGGGTTTCACTGCTAAAGAAATGGTTGCACTTTTAGGTAAAAAATAAATCCATGTATATAGTTTCCCCTTTTCCTAAACCCTTCTACATAATTATATGGCTAAAAACCGAATAATCACATCGTCAAAAAGAAATATTTGAATAATTTCTTCGACGATCAAGGACAATCACATAGTCATTTGATCAAAATTGAATCTTTACTTTCTCATACAATATTATATTCTCGTGATTGGGATCGAAAGATCTAATGTTTCACTAAATGATCTCCTCGTCTTCAATTTGTTATGAACTTAGATATACTTAACAGATTTTGAAAATAATAATATCAATCATTTAATTAGTGTCACATTGAATATTGCACACAAGTGTTAGAGTATACTCTAACATATATATATAAATAAAATGCAGGATCTCACACAATAGGGCAAGCCAGATGCTTAACTTTCCGCAACAGAATCTACAACGAATCCCTAATCGATTCGTCGTTCGCGACGACCCTCAAAACCGATTGTCCACTCTCACTCGGACTTGGTGACGATAACCTTACAGCACTTGACTCAAACAGCCCGAGTTTCTTCGACAACAGTTATTACAAGAACCTGGTCAAGAACAAAGGCCTCTTACATTCTGATCAGCAACTCTTCAGCGGCGGGTCAACGGATTCCCAAGTTTCCACTTATGGAAATAACTTCGTGACCTTCTTCGTGGATTTCGCTAATGCTATGGTCAAAATGGGAAATCTTGGCGTCCTTAATGGAACAAGTGGCCAGATCAGAACCAATTGCAGGAAAGTCAATTGAGGGTTTTGGCCTTCTTCTGTTGTTATCTTGCATTTGAAGTGTACCTATTTGCACTATTTAAATAAACTGCTGTCTTTTTAGTAGACAGACAAAACTAGTTTGTAATTTGTTTGGGTTTGTGAATGGCACATTTCAATTTGGGTTTCTCTCCACGGAAGCTTTTCCTTTAATTTTGTTCAATAATTGGGGATTAATCTTTTGAAATGTTCAGATTGAAAGACAGATTAAATTTGGGCGGGCACGTTGTTTTCATCCTTTGTTAATTAAGGACCGAGAAAAATAAACAAAACCTTGGTTATTTTGGTTTAACACCATACTCCCTCCGTTACAAAATAAAATCCAAAGACTTCTATATTTTGGGAGATACTTTCTTAAATTTACGGATTAAAGCTGGAAATTGACTAACAAGCAGGATGGGGTGGTTGAGCTGTGAAAATCTTCGGTCAAAATGGAACTATATTTGGTGTTATAGAGTCTAATGTGGGTCTTGGCGCGGTGGTTAACAAGGAGGATGCCAAAATCTCACCAATCATCATTCTTTTTTACAAATAAAAACGACTTATAACACACAAAATCATCATAAATACACCACTAGATAACTAATGTGTAAAATTACAACACTCACAACATTTACGGTACAACATTATATTATGTTATGGATATTGAAATATTATTTCTGGTATAAAACAAATTGTATAATTAAGAGTGAAAATATAAAGGGGAAGAATTTAATCATTTTGGTGCGGAAGAAAACCTAAAGTAAAAGGCAAAAACAGAGAGGAGGACGTGACTACGTAAAAAAGTTGTTGCTCTCACATGTTTGAGATAATAATTACAGGGCAATGTTGCGAAGGCATATTATTACTCATAGGAACGTAACGAATCCCACGAATGATAAGTTGGATGACTTCTTCAACCCGTTGAGGAGATCGGGGCATTATTGATTGAATATATATCCTCAGCTTCCGACAATTCAAAAAGAAGTAAAAGAGCAGCTAATTTGACGATAACGATGAAGATCCACAGAGGACAATGTTGATGGATGGTATAATTTGTTGTCTTCTTCCATTAGACATGTAATATAATGTTATTCAATTTTTGTTGATGGATTATGGGTTCATCAATTTGGTATCTCGAGTTTATTATCTAGTTGTGTAAATTAGTTGTTTGGTATAGTTTGTCCCTCTTTTTTTAGTCATAACTGGTTCATTCAGTTGTATATGATCCATGGTTAGATTTAATTTACGGATTCAATTATCTCATGAAAACGATGATATAGCAGCAACATTTTTCTCACCAGTCACCCCCCAGAATTTGGAAGTCATCACCCTTACGCTAAACTTGTAAAGAACCTTTATATCCTCCTCTTTTAGTCTTTGATCAGCCTGGAAATGAGTCCCCTACGGAGGTGATGCTGGAGACGCCGCCATTGCGCCGGATTATGAGTGATTCAAATGCAGTCTGCTCTAAATCCTTTGGTATTTGCATCCAGTTCACGTCGCTTTCTTCAGGGTACAAATTTTTATAAATTTACATGTATTTTTTTTTCATAATATATGAGCATAAAATTAAATTGCGTAGGACAGTGCCATTTTTCCGTGGTGTTATTCTATGACCATTAGGACATGGTCCTTTTGGAGTATCCTGTATTAATTCTATACATTATTTAGTCAAGAAATATGCTGCCGTAAGCCTATAAGTTTCTGATTTATGTCTTAATTTTTGGTTCACTCCATTTAAAGAGTAACAAAGCAAACAATTCTTTTAATTGTTTGAATACTATGTAATTGTTTTCCACAGAAGCAGGATGCCGAACTTAGGTAAGGGCCTTTTTTTTAATTATTAAAGAAATAAAGTTATCTTTGATTTCGAAACTCTGATCTTAACAGTTTAATGTTGAATGTTGAATATTCTTCACCGCATAAATATAATCTCATTCAACTACCTTAACATTCAATCTCATCAGGCATAAGCCTTCTGTAATTTGTAGGAGTATCTCATTTTTGGATTTTGGGAATGTTTTTAATAGTATTCAAATGAGGTTGCCACACCTATTTGCGTGATTAGTAAATAAATCTAGCATGAATACCACATGTTTGTTAATGAATAATCTTAAAAGTATTTGTTGTAGCTAGAGTCTGGAAATTTCATCTTACTGTCCAATGTTACCATTTCGTCTGCTTCATGTATTTGGAGTCTGGACCTGCAATAAACATGAGATCAACCTTGGTAGTATTTTTTTTTTTTTGGGTGAAATAGTTTTTAATACTTTTTAAATTAATTAATAGTAGATTGATATATATCATATGACTTTTTCATTTCATGGAGTAAAATGGAGTATAAAAACAATGTTGACCAGCTTCTAACTGTATAAATTATAAAGCAGAATAACTATTTCTATTCACTTTTACGAGCCATTTGTTGTTACTCCATTTTATTTTCATCCTAGCATTACACTTTGGGCTGCTATTATATATGTGCATTATATTTTGTATAGCTATTAAGTTTAACCTGTTATTTTTTTGATTAACTTGCAGCATTATCCGCGATAATCTTGCGAAGGTGAATTTTAAAATTGGTTTTCTACCATCTCAATTTCTTTCTTTCATTCTCGTCCAAAGATCAAAAAATAATTATGACTATCAACTTTACAGTTCCAATCAATCTTAGTTTAAAAAATTTTAAAGGAAAGAACTAAAAAAGTTACAGTTTTATTGTTTGAAAACATAGAATTCAGACATAAGTATATATTTTTTTAACTAAAAAGTTTCCAAAGAATTCTAGAAATTAAGGAAAAAAAAATTAACAGCATCATTTTATGAAAAAACCATAACTGGGATCTTTTTTGATTTATCCTTTTAAAAAGAAAAAAAAAAAGAGATAAACAAAAGAAAGTTTGTTGCAAGAGAATACGAAATATAATGACGAAAAGTATGTAGAGAGAAAAGTTTGTAAACTAAAAAGTTAAAAAAAAAACCTTACAGAAAGGAAAATTGTAAAAAAAAAAAAGTAACAAATGTAAATTCCTACAAATTCATCCTTCCAATGTACAATTAATTCCGACTGTTGTAACCAACTTAGATTTACTTATACAACATCAGATTAGAAAATACATAAAATTACAAATAGTTGATTACACCATTGTAAAAAAAAAAAAAAAAAAAAACTAAAAGTGATAGTAAGTCAAACATAACAATCGGGCCGGGAGAATATTCTATAATATTTTGAGAATCCGATAGTGGGAGTATTTGAATTCTGAACTATCAAACTAAAACATTTTAAGGAATATTTTGCAATTTATTGAGACAGTGAGAAAATTAAAAAAAAAAAGGAATAAAGGTTGAGAAAGATGATGGGTAATTTTGTGCCAAAAAAAAATAAAAATAAAATAAAAAGTTTATAGGACAATACCTTAACGCAAATCAGTGAACAACTTTCGGCAGTAGAAAAATGCAAATCAACGCAAATCACTAAACTCCCACCGCTGCCATCTTAAAAGGAAAAAAAAAATTAAAGACTTAGAACCTTTCAAGCAGGACGGTATAGAGTTACATGTTGTTAAAGATGAAAAATGAAAATGTAATGAGACATGTGATGTTATTAAAGATAAGAATGAATGAGACTGCTATTTTATTAAAAATGAAAATAAAATGTAATGAGACCGTCAGAAAGACAACACTTTTATAATTTAAATGATAATAACGAACTATTTCTCTATGGGCAAGTAAGTAGTTCTTAGCTTTTATTTCGTTGTTTTTGATTCAACAGAGTGTCAAAAATTATAAGAATAACAGTCAAAATTATTTCAATCTTCAACTACCAAAAACTAATAAATTTTTAAGTAGATGATGCAGGTTGACATGCTGTTAAAAGATAAAAATGAAGATTAAATAAAATAATCGGAAGATGACTCTGTGATCATTAGATAATACTAGCGAAGAATTTTTATATGGACAAGTAAGTAGTGCTTGGTTTTTTTCCTTTTTTGTTGTTTAAGAGACTGTAGAAAATTAAGATGGAAAGATGAAAATGATAGAATGAGACCCGTCGATTTTCTTCGTTTTTTTGTTCAACGGGCTATAAAAAATACTAACATACTAGTCAAAATCATTGTAGGTTTTTAACCTATCAAAGTTTCGGAACCTTTTAAGCATGACAATGCAGATCGATATGTTGTTAAAGATAAAAATGAAGATGGAATGAAATATACTAAATAGCAGATGGAATCATTGTAGGTTTTTTTTTGGGGGGGGGGGGGGGGGGGGGTTTAACAGGCTATCAAAAATACTAAATAGCAAGCAAAACCATTGTAGATTTTAACCTACCTAGGATTCAGAATTTTTTAATCAGGAAGACATAGAGTGACATGATTTTAGAGATGAAAATAAAGATGGAATGAGACTCGCCGGAAGATAGCCCTTTTATAATTACGTTCTATCGAAAAAATTTTCCTTAGACAAATAGTGCATGGCTTTTTTTCTTTTTAGTTCAATGGACTGTCAAAAATATTAAAATAGTAGCAAAAACCATTACAGATTTAAAACCTTTTAAGTAGAACAATGCAGAGTGATATGTTGTTAAAAATGAAAAATGATGATGGAATGAGACCTACTGGTTCCTTTTTTTTTCCAGCTCAACAGGGGTTGTCAATTGTACTAAATAGCAGCAAAAACTTTTACATGCTATTAACCTGTCAAAAGCTTGGAATTTTTGCAGGGGGACGATACAGAGTGACTCGCTAAAGATGAAAATGAAGATGGAATGAAATATGCCAGTTCCCACGTGAACTTCAACAACAAAATATGTGAATATAGAAAATATAAATTTAAAATTAAAAGAACTTCAATCACATAGTAGGGAAATTTTTTGGGAATAACTCAAAGCATCATACTTCATAGTTATAAATTAAATATTGATTAATATTTAGAAAATGATATTACTAGCAGGAAGTAATGATTTATTTTATTTTAAATTAAATAAAACAATGCAGAGTGACTTGCTGCTAAAGATAAAAATGAAGATAGAATGAGACCAGTTGCAAGATGACCCTTTCATAATTATGTAACACTAAAGAAAGATTTCTTTTTTGACAATATAAGTAGTGCGTGATTCTTTTTTTTTGGTTGAAC